CTCCGAGTCCGGGCCCTGCCTCGAGCGCCCCCCACCATCCGCCTGCTCCCACTCTCCGCCTGCTCCCGCTCTCCGAGTCCTGCGTGAAAAATTTGCGCACACACAATTTTGGGCAACTTCCAGTACTTCTTAATATGCTTTTCAATATATATGCAGAGTTTTAAGTGTTAATATTTTACTTTATCGATTTAATTATTTTAATGTCTGAAATAACATCTACTGAACAATTAATTAAAAATGCTGAAAGATACGTCGATCTAGAATTAAAACGCGATCATCAGCTCGATCCAGAATCCGTTTTAATGTATATCTATATCGACTTTATGTCCTAGGAGTCCCGGGTAGCTACGTTTGTACAATACAGATGAATCTACCAGTTATTAATTACTTACGAAACTTATTGTCAATGAGACAAAACTGCTTTCGTCTTCCTAGCCTCGCTATACTTATAACTAATAGCTATTCTTAAACGACTATAAGTAAAGTTCAATTAATTTATATACTTATCTATTTACAACCTACGTACAAACAATCTACTTCTTTAATTTTACTTAAAGAGACATTTCATTAGTATTACAAATTTTCAAATATATATTTTGTACTTGGCATAGTCTTTTTACACGTACTAGGACGACGCGATTGGAGGTCCGTTTGCGCTGTAGCGCTTTGAATCATTTAAATACTATTTAGCCGAATAGAAAAGCAGTAAAAAATGTCCCACAAAATTGCACTTATTGATGTCGCGTAAAAATATTTCAACAACAGGCTTTTTCAACAGTTGTTGAGAAGTTCTATAGTTCCCGGGCTCGTTCTAAGGGTTGCTTTGGGAAACAGCGGTGAGTAGCGGAGAACCTCTGCCCGCCAAGCTACGCGTCCGTGTTCCCGTTTAGCTCGGCTACGACGGGATTCTTATTGTCGACGGAGGCGATGATCACAACATCCTACTTCCGGACTCGCCGCTACGATTTAGCGCCATGCTTTTGGTATCGCTGAAAATCGTAGCGAAAGAGCGAAATCGAACTAGCGAATCGTAGCGTTGTGCATCTCCCTTTTCATCTCTGTCGCAAGTATTGTATATAACATTGTGTACGAGCTAGGGAGTCGTTTTTCTAGGCGTCAATCTTGACGTTAGAGTATCTGGATTATAGGGACCTGTCTTATCGGATTGTTGAAATTGTAAATTCTATTCATCGTCTATGCACATTTTTATCACTCTGTAACTTGCCATTGATTGTCTCTGTAATACGGACAGTGATAATGGAAGGATTAACCAGGAGGTACAGAAACTGTACGTTATCGATGGAAGGTAGTACATTTTTCGTTGTTTGGCTGAAGATAATCGCACGCGTAAAAATTTATCGACAGAGAAATTATAACCTGACTTACCTGTGCATTTAAATCTGTTGGGTATATATTTGGGCCAGACCAGAGCGGAGCACATTGGTCTACCATTTTTTAAATTTAAAAAATATTTATTTCGAAGAATTTTATTTTTTGTGTCGAATTGTATTTCGAATAATTGTATCCTTTGAAGAACTTTCTTTGAAGATTTATCACTAAAGCAATCGTAAAATCATTTCCTTCCTTTAGTTTTACTTGATACTGTAAAATGAAAGGCTTTATATTCCGTACAGATTGCCAAGAAGTAATCGACCGATTTCATTCGTTGCCACCATGAGGAAAAGGGAAGACCGCAGGTCGGGCATAGTCAGATCGTTTTAAAGGTATAAAAAAGAATGAAATTCTTATTTTTTTATGACCGCTGCCAGATCTCCACAGAGGGTTGTCCACCGATATAGATGATATTTCAACAAATTATTTGAATGGAAATGTGAAAGTTTACGATCAATATTGCACGGTATTTATCGTCCATTTTAAGACAATTTTTCATAGTTGGACAATTTTGAAGCTCGATCAAGTTTAACACGTGTCAATTGCTTCTACCGTGTGAAAAAAAATATACAACCTATATTCAAAATTTTGTACGAGCACGAAATTTTTATAATTTATTTAATTATTAATCGTTCACTAAATCTGTACCTTTTGCTGAGTCTGACTCCCAACTGAATGTTAATTCTTACCAAAAAATGTGAATTCTTCGCTTTTCAAAGGAAAAACGTGATATGCAATAAAGGATGAATATTTTAATGTTTTTTTTTATAAGGAATATAAATCTAAACGTGGAATCCCGTTTGAAATTTGTGGAACGTTAAGCAAGAGTATTCTGGGGTTAAGGAGTTTTTACGATTGAAATCATTCACATAGTACATATTGTTTGTATCAAGAGAGCTTTCTCATTTTCCATTAAATTTGCACACATAACATTTCGTATAATTTACTGAAATTTTGAAAGCATCGACTATTTGTCGACTCGCCATAAACGACTCAAGCGTAAAATTATGCAGACATTGTCACGCACGTAAGTCATGTGTGAATACAAAAAAATCATTATATATATTTAAAGTATACATTAATCCTCGAGATTGTAACTTTCATCTGAATAATTGATAGTACGTCCATATAGCAAGTGATAATATTTCTTGTCACTTTCAGGTTAAAACGTCATAACTCACGTAGAAAAATGCGGAGCTTTCATACAGACTCCGTTCTGTGAGAGGCATTAAATTTGTCCAAGGAATGCTTTGTTACTCTTATTAAAAAAAACTGTATGAAACAACTCCGAGAATGCTGCGTGGAATATAAAAAAAGAGGTATCGAATACTTGAGTGATATGCAACGTCAAAGATCCCAAGAATCTATTGGTAAGTTTCACCACGTGCAATACTTTCCTTTTTGGCACTCGAAGCAGATAGTGTAACTATACAGATAGAATGAATTTAGTGGCACGTGGTGAAATATTGAGGATCTTGGAAAAATACTTAATACCATTAAGCGTCCTTAAAGTGAATGGCATGCAGGGAAATATATTTTATTAAATATTAAAATTTGAATATAAAACATTCAACTATAGTAGGATGATAAGACGATTGGGTAACAGTCTGGAACAGAGGTTCCCAAACACATTTGGCTCTTCTTCAGATAAAAAATTATTCAGCTCCCTCTTAATTGTTTCAGTGACCACAAGGTGGCGGTATCGCCCACTTTGGGCAACACTGGTCTAGACTAATCTGATTATTATATGTATATCTAAATATTAATTTCCTGTTTAACGAACATAACAAGGAAGATTGTTAAAATAATAAATTAAGGATCGAATATTCTTAAGGAATTAGTATCCTTCACTTTTCCATGTTTTTAGACGCAGTTTGGATTTGAATTACATTTTAAAAAGGTTGCACTCATGAGGACCGAGCTTAAAGGTGGATAGCCTGAAGGAAAACAATCCATCGGATTTTATCACCGAGAAGATTTTGTTACAGATTGTTCATCGTCCTGGATTCTGTGTTCGAAAGGAAATTTATAGCATTTCAAATCCCTCTAAAACTTGGATGCTACTACAAATATAACTTTAGTATCCACTGTGCCCACTAGATGTCAGACAATTTCGATAAGGCTGTGGACTTCTTCACTATTATACAAACCGTGACTTGACACCAGTTGAAAGTATGACAGTTTACTTGCTTCTTGCGTTACTTCGTACTTGTCATAATTAGATCCTAGTATACTATTTCCGTAAATGTTTGACTTAATTAATGTATCAAGAAATATTCTAAGCTTTATATTCTTTGTTTCTTTATTTTACAGACCGAATAAAGAGGGATAAATTAGCTTGTCACATGGTGAGACGACCCACGTCATACGTTCTACATCACTTTGTATAAATTCTTTGAGAAAATATTCTGCAAAGAACGTACATAGTCGTTTTAATGACTTTAAGGTTATATTTAATATTTTACAACGAAATTATAAATTCGTCATATTCTTTTTGTCGTTTGTAACATTTATAGTAGCAATTAGTATATGGGGATTTTATTATTCACGTGCTTCAATGGAAATATCTCTAAATATGGCATAATAATATCTATTTTTCTTTTAGTTATGTCATTTTAAGATTCCACGTCTTTCTTGTATCCCTTCGAGATACAGATCTCAACTGGATCCAATGAACTGGAAGAAGCTAAACAAAAGAAAAAACTGCACGTGGAATAGAGATACGTTATTGGATGCCAGAGGATGAACTTGTCTTTAAAAAGAATGTATTCTTCAAAATCAAATCGCCGTCTTGTTAACGCCATCTGACAATTTTGCATTATCCGCGTATACTTCCCGTCAAAGATAATCCTACGAACTTGAATTCACGTCGGGTGGAAATCCTCGGCATTATAAGCTAAGAGAAAAATTAATATTTTATAACAATATTATTTTTAATCTCGAAGTAAACGCGCGAGGTGTCTGACATACAAAAATTCTATGCTTTTCAGATGGAGAATAAAATCGGGCGACCATTCCTGGATTAATATTGTTTAAGTGCTACGTTAATAATTTCGCGTTAGAATTTAAGGCATGACTTTTTAATGAGAATAAGGTCTGAAGGTTTCAACGAAAATTCTTGTCACGTGCGTGTAATGAGCTTGTGCAGTGAAGCAAACCTTTGGAGAAAGAAAACAATAAGAATTCAAAATATCAATGGAGACTTCCATCTACGTTACGAGCAATAGGCTGTAATACGAATTTCGAAAAAAAAAAACTCAATGGGATCTATTTTCAATCTAACAAGCGGCTGCGTAGACAAGTTTATGTTCATGACATATGGAATCAAAGTTACCAAGTTACCTGCGTTTTCTTTGCGACTGAAGTAATATACAGGGTGTTTCTTTTATCTCTGTAAGCCAAAATAACTCGTTAATTATCGATGTAACAACAAAATGTTTCAAACAAAAGTTGTACGGTGTGGAGGGGGCCACCAAATGCGACGAATTTTTTTTTTTTCGGTGGAGGCGTTTACGCACAGTGAGGGTCACCTTCACTTTTTTAAATAGAATGGTACATTTTTTTTTCAACCATCTTGTGGAGCCCCTCAAGCCGCATAAAAAAGATTAAGGGGTCAGAGTCGTTCAAGGTCATTCAAGGTCAGTATCGATGATACAAATCTAAATATCTCGAATCGGATTGGTAGTTTTAGACATTTGGTATTTTCAAATTTATATTTTATTTTTGCTTTTCTGGAAGAAATATTAACTGTGCTGCTTGAAGATCTAACCTTGTGGGATCGGCAAAATCTCTGGTATCAGCATGATGGTTGTCCAGCTCATTTTGCACGGATAGCTCGCAATGCTGTCGACTGAAAATTTAGTAATAAGCAGATTAGCCGAGGATCACGAATAGGCTGGCCTGCCAGATCACCGGACTTAAATCCACTCGATTTTCCTTTATGGGGGACATTGAAGATGACTACCAAATATTTGGTAGTGATCCGAGATATTTAGATTTGTATCATCGATACTGATCTTGAATGACCTTGAACGACTCTGACCCCTTAATCTTTTTTATGCGGCTTGAGGTGCTCCACAAGATGGTTGAAAAAAAAATGTACCATTCTATTTAAAAAAGTGAAGGTGACCCTCACTGTGCGTAAACGCCTCCACCGAAAAAAAAAAAATTCGTCGCATTTGGTGGCCCCCTCCACACCGTACAACTTTTGTTTGAAACATTTTGTTGTTACATCGATAATTACCAAATTATTTCGGGTGGCAGAGATAAAAGAAACACCCTGTATATACGTATATATATTGTCCTGGGTTTTTGTGCAATTGCCAGGGGATGACAGTTTTCATAAAGTGGAACGTAGTAGTAGGGTTTGTTGCGCGCGACAGAAGAAAATTAGATTGGTAAATTTGTTGCACAATGCAAGGGCGACCTTAGTAAGATATATTATAATAAAATATACTATAGTTAGAATAAAGAAATTTTCATAGAAGCTCCAGCGTAGGTAGAGAGACATGAAACCGTTACTATTTATTTACATTGACAAGTTGTTAGTAAAAATTCGTCTACGAATTGCAATTGTAATTTCGGCACTTGCTAAAATATAAATGTCTCTTTTATTTCAATTAAAATATCAGCTTTTAAATTATCTTGATTAATGAATAGTGATAAATTGCTTATTATATTTATCGTATATTATTAAGCTGGTATAATCTATTAGATGTTGGTTGTTGAAATATTGAAACTTCCTTAATTAGAGTCTGACTCTTTTGATACTTTAAATGCAATTTCATCGTGTTAAGTTAAATGGATAATTTACAACGGAGCAAGGTAATAAACAATATGAGAGATTATAAGAAATTTTGACAAAGAGTATAATGATTTCCAACAATTGCATTATGGATCTTGACGTAAATCTTGAATGAGTGGACAATTCATAGATATTTAAAACAGCTATTTTAAAAACTATTAAAAAAAATTATAATTGTCATTTTTAATGCGAAACAAAATTTGTCGTACAAAATTTCATGAATTTTGACCTTACGAAAGTCAAAATCTACATAAATTTAACACGTCAAGTATATCTGTATCGTGCGATTTAGGTTACTTTCACTTCGTATATACCAGAAACGTGACGATGTAACTTTTAGCTCCAGAGCACAAAGCCAATAAGGAACAGGAAGAATGAGAAGATCTATCATCTCTTAGAAACTTTGCACCCACGAAGATTATGTACCTGCCAAGAATAACAAAATTTCCGATCAATTACTTGGATTTGTTTTTATAGTCGTAACTCGGTAACTCAAAGTGTATTATATTACGTGATTAATTATTGCCTAGGTAACAGCATCCAAACATCTGATTAGATCACGAATTACATTGAATATTGATAACGAGCAGCTTTGAAGGTATCTATTACCATCTTGAAGATCCTGAATATCGAGAAGAAAGTAAGGTTAGGTCCCAATCTATTTTCAACTTAATCCACCGTCTACGGCAGTTTCAGCTCAGCGTCCATTTTCAGCATCGCCAAGGGGCATAATATCAAGGCTAATGAACTCGATAACATTATATATATATATACATACAAGTTAAATTGTATTTTTAGTAAATCAAAAGTTTTTTCGTATATCCGGAACTTTAAATGAATCAAATATTTTACACTTATCTTTACAAGGAGAGATAATAGTGTCTTAACATTTACTTTAATTATATTATTATACAACTCTTAAATATTACCTGTGACAGTCGACAATATCGCGTGATGTGAATGGAAAAGGTTAGATTAAGTTAGCCTGCAGTTTAACCTGTGATATATCACTATATAGCACGTCTAGACATTATTGATACTCTGAACGTAGTAATTATCATGACACTGTTGCCAAAATGCGAAACTATTTTAACGAGAATGCTTGTTATCGCAGAGTCTTGAAAACTGATAAATGGATACATCAAAGATCGAGAGATCCTTAAAATATGCGAATAAAGTACAGACTTCTTGATATATAGTCCTTTACGATATCCGGAATAACATGACATGGGAGCCTTTGATAACGTGGAATCTGATAAATCTGCCCTTTGTGCCCATACGCAAAAATAACAAATCTTCTTTCTACGAAACCCAAGATCAAAAATGTATTTTTGATGAATAAGCAGAAGATTGAATAGACTAAATTATATTTTATACTTTTACTTTTTGGCAGCAGATTTGATGTGGCTTGAAAGGCTCTTCACGATCTGTATATCAATAACCTTTAAGACATTTAGTTAGAAATCTTTTTAAAATGATTACTTACATTTTCTTATCAGCTATGAGTCTCGTGCTGAAATAAAGAGATGTCTCATCAAAATTTACCCAAGAATATCTTGCAATTTTGCGATACGATTCTGCCGCCTGTAATAACAAGATAATCAAATCCCAAAAATATGAAATACTCATTGTTCATAGAATTTCCACGTCTCGCTATTAATAGAATTTCATATTCTTCCATAATTCCATGGTTCCGATATCTTTCGAATAAATTATTTGTTTCAATGAAAATATAGATTTTTCATCGTTCCCAAAACAAATATACGATTTTACTAAGTAAGTCTAAAGTCAATACGAGGATATTGATTCTCAAAGTAATACAGTTATTTTCATTTAACAAACTCAAGGGTAAAGACTAAACCGCTCTCAAGCAGGAAATTGAAAAATAATGATAATTTCGAAATTTGAAAAATTAAATATTTGCCTTAAATATATACTTTACGGTAGAAGAAACTTTTGAATTTATTAAAAAGAATCAAATATTCTATTTATAGTCCTTCCCCGAAATATGAAATAAAATACAAAAATAAATAAAATCACTGTAACGTCCTACAAAAATGATAAACATTTAGAAATTACAATGCTAATCTTACATAATGTATTACTATATGTCACCTTGCAAAAATATGTATGACCTAATGAATTCTATAGAGATCTTGAGCGCCCCTTGTGGTCCAACAATTTTTCTTCGTTCAATAGCATCATGAAGATATTGAACTTCCATCTGTACAACATGCTGGGGCTGTAAGCTCGTAAGCTTAGCCCATTTCTTGTACCGGTGGAAAGTGGCCAACTGCTACTCGAGATAACCCAAGAAACTTTTTCATTACGTAGCTCAGAGCTTTGGACAGTAGCAAATTTGAGACTCGTGCAGACAATAGACGTTAGACTTAACGAGGATATAAAAGCACCAGATATCAGTTGTTATCCAAACACTGTTACAAACTTGAAAAGTTAATATCAGTCTATTTAATTAATATACGAATTAAATATATGGTATAATAATAAATTTTTATGCTTACTCTACTTCATATTTGATTACACGCATTTATCCCAGATATACCTACGACTAATCTTTAAAGTCTCGAATAAGATTCTATGTGATACATAAGCGCACGTTTAGTATTCAAATCTGTGTGGATCAAATGGTCGCCAGTTTTGGCAAGGAAACCTCTTATGGCCAAAGAGACTGCAAATCTATTAGTTCTGATCAACGTTCCAGCTATACATATATATATATATATATATATATGTATAGCTGGAACGTTGATCAGAACTAATAGATTTGCAGTCTCTTTGGCCATAAGAGGTTTCCTTGCCAAAACTGGCGACCATTTGATCCACATAGTTCTGATCAACGTTCCAGCTATACATTACATAAGCGCACGTTTAGTATTCAAATCTGTGTGGATCAAATGGTCGCCAGTTTTGGCAAGGAAACCTCTTATGGCCAAAGAGACTGCAAATCTATTAGTTCTGATCAACGTTCCAGCTATACATATATATATATATATATATATATGTATGTATAATATATGTTTTCAGAAAATTTTTGGTACCTCCTATGCTCTCAGTGGAAAGTCACTAGATTCCCTAGAAAGTACCAGATGAATCCGAACCGTGACAGAGTGGCACCATTGTTTCGTAAAATAGTCGGAAACTTTCGATCTATTATTATATTATGATGACGTAACAGAGTATGCACTTAAAGTTGTAAAACTATAAAAATAAATTGAAGTGATGTGAAATTTTGATTTTAACGGACAGATAATCTTCATAACGGCAGTTTTTATAGACGAATCAAAGCCTCTTTAATACGTTTATTTGAATGATGAATACACGGGAGACGTGCATAGGCAAAATTATAAGTTAAAGTAATTAAGTAAATCTAAATTTCTCGATTGTGACTTAATAAGCTTGGCATTAAATTATTTCGCGAATCACACGCGTCCATTTAATTACGTAAGAAAGCCCACGGACACGGTAATCAATTGTAATTTCAAAATGCCGGAGAATCGTAATTTAATTAGGCTTTATGTAAGAAATTCACAATGGAATATGACTTTAGTAATACAATGTAGCGATGTGGTCCATGCATCTTGAATCACGTAGATTAGAGCGTGTACTTGATTTAATTGAATGAAATTGCCGTCCTAAGTCTTATAACTTAATCAGTAAGATTAGTATAAGATTAATGAATTAGTCCAAGTAAAACGACTCTTGCAAATAAGGTCGAAGGTTTTGATTGAATGGAAAATAAAAAGATTTTAAAAAAAGCCTGAAATAAAATGCCAGAGTAGTAAAAGGTTATTGGGATATAGAAAAAAAAAATTATTTGATTTACCTACCTCTGCTAGATGGCCAATGATAAATATTCAACTGACGTTGAATTTATTAATTTTTAATTGGAATTAATTACGGGACAATTATGCCATTATCGATGGATGACATAAATTTATATTAATTGCATGTACAGGTTGCACGACAATGTCATTGAAAAATTTGTAGGAACAAATCTTGAGTTATTAATTCACATTACACGTAGAACATTCACATTGATTTTCACTTATTATGCATTATGTAAAAGCCGATCGTCATCCTCAAATTTTACAGGCTCAATGAATTATAGAAATTTGAATATTAAAAATGTAAATTCTGTATAATATATATATATATATATATATGATAACGTGTTTCTTAGATACCTAAAAGCGTCTATCTATTTAAATTATACTGATTTGTCACTAATAAATATACATATATTTATTCATGGAATACATCCTAGTCAAACCACGAGTCAAATGTGAGGTGACTCTTTTGCATTGAAAGTCACCAAGAGATTGCCCCTGTAAAACACATTGTTATCGTGTACGGACTATATTCTTTAATAGCATTGAAAAAGTTCCATTCTTCGATTTAGTCCGATTTCGCAATTTCTATTGTCCCATAAAAAAGATTTATACATAGGTGGTTAGCCGTCAAGTCCCAAATTCATTATTAGTGGAGGTCGGTGAAACGATACCATAATCAGTATGGTGTCTCCTATCAGTTGTTGATCGACAATTCATCCTTATCGTTTGCAAATGACTTTCTGCACTGCTGTGACGCCATTGATTTGATGCGAATCTCAATCTGCCTGAAAATAACAATAGAAAATTCCCATAACCTGTGATCAAACACAATTGCCCTATATAAACTCCACAAATTTAACAACCATAGCACACGCACGTCTCTAATCACTTATTTGAATCCTGAAAAGAAATCATTTCATCCACGATACGAGTGAGCATAGTATTACCCTAAGGAACATAACCTAGAAGTCATAAAAAAAAATTAACCACAAATCATTCATCCATTAAGAAAGTACTTTTTTGCAAATAAAAGCAAAAACCCAGTCTCGAAATGCCTGTAATAAAAAATAATAAAATAAAATTATACAAAGAACCTTCCAGATGATACCAGATCACCCTACGTACTCCTGTTAAATTATATGAGTTCTACGATACACTGAACTATTCAGTCTTCTCAACAGTGATTGAAACTATGTCAGCCACATGAAACCTATAATTAGATAAAAGGTTTTGATATGAAAAAAGAAAATGAAAAATGAAATATGAAAACAGACATTTGCTCCATGTTGGCTTACCAGAATGAGATGGTACCAGGTCTGAACGATTGTGTTTCATGAGATCCTGTGCTTGACTACGACGTACATGCTGACGTCCAAAAAGACAGTAGCACTTGCAGATTATTTGTTGAAAGTAAACTCGAAACCTGAAACAGAAATGGATCTTGTATAAACGATGCACGATAGGCACTTTCAGTATATAAAAATAATGTAAAATAAAACAAATATCCTACAAACTTGTTACCTGTGCTCTGACATTAGTTAAAAAAAATGTCAGTAGGGTCACAATGGCTGAACATCGATAAAAGATCGAACGTGACAGTTACAAATGAGAAAATAAAATAAAAAGTATCCAATCTTGTTACCGACATGATTTATCGTTTCGTTATATGGGCATTTGACGACGAGTCATCTCATAAAATTCACATTACACATCCGGAGGGAGTAACGGTTCGTTGAAATTACAAATTGGTCAATGATTTATGTTAGCAATGTATTTTATTATGAATTGAAATAAATAAATGTCCTTATCACTTTCCAGCGAGCTGGTTTAACACTATGAAAAATCGATGAAACAAAAATATCTGTATTCACGTCATACTTCATCGAACCAAAGCAGAACTTCTCTTGGGTATCATTTTGCCCAAGAGCATACGTTTTTTTTTTCTTCTTCTTAGGTATCTATGATACTTTTTTCTTTTCCCTCGCCCTTACTCGTGCCAGTCAAGTGCTTTTTCACGTTATTAAGATACACGTACGTTTCTTCTTTTTTGCGTGACCTTTCTGTTCTTCCCTCGAAAATTGTTAAGGACTTCTTGAGCGTTTACAAATAAAAAAAAAGGCGGATCCCACATTACGTTATTTCTTCCTAATGGCAAATACGACTTAAGATAAAAATTTTATTGTTATTTGATATGCAGAAAGCACTGTCACGTGCGATTCCATGAATTTTCATTAACACTTTTATCTCATTATATTGTTATGTATATATATATAAGTTATTACCTAGTGTTCATCCAGTAGTATATTATGGGATTCACCATAGCGTTAGACATGGCCAACCAGTAAAAACTGAGGTAAATGTGCTGAGCGTAACTGCTCTCGGTAAACCTGCGGTTGTGATACGAAAAAATGAAGTAGCCATGATAAGGCAGCCAGCAGACAGCAAAAATTGTCACAACGACTATGAACATCCTGACAACCTGTGTTTAACAAAAAAAAAAAAAATATATATATATATATACCAAAGAATGAACGTAAAAAAAAAATGTTAATTAAAATCATACCCTGCGTTTCGATTTCATTGATTCTTTCTGATGCTGCGTATGTTCACCGATCGACCTCGAACCCCATAATTCACGACCCATCAACGTATAACAAATACCCATTGCCGTCACAGGGATAAGATACGTCACGCCGAGAAACACCAGGTTATATCTGTAACAGAGTATCATTGAAACCCTTCATTTTTATACACTCATTTAAATGGTACACATTGTCGGCAAACTTTTCCGTAAGCAGTTTAATTTACAGTAAGGGCTACAAAGTGGGTGCTTCAAATGAACCCTCCCCTAAGCGGATGCCACAAAGTTTCACATTTTAACGTCACTTTGTGAGGGCCTAAAAGGGAATCGTACGGATTCTATGAAATTTCATAGAATTTTTTTGTTTCAAGAGGAACCACAGCCTTCCCCTTGTTGACGTTAAAGAAAAGTATCTTGGAATTAAATTCCATAAAAGATTCTTAAGGACTGTCTGACCGTAGACTGGATTCTTAATATATGTACATATATACAATGCCGTAGTCAAGTAAGACACTAAAATTTGTAGTAATCTCTATGTATAACTTGTACAATTGTTAAATAAGACATTAATTTTTATACAATTTTTCCTGAGGTTCACTTTAATATATTCATTTGTAATAACGTTGTGGGACGTGAGAAACGTCGATCGTGATATAATTCAGAGTTTTGACCTGACAATCAATACTATGACATTCGCTGTGACGAAAACTGTCAGTTTTACCTCGATCAATAATATTCATTTACTCGCACCACGCATTTCCCATATTCCGCATAATTTTATATCGGGTGTCAAGAAATCACGAGAAGCGTATCGACTTGCTGTGAATAGCATCAGACATAGCAATCATGTATAAGTTTTCTAATTAGATAAAGATAAATTAATTGTAATACAATGTGATACGAGTATATCGATTCAATTGATTTTTTGTTTAATAGCTTGCAACAGAAAAAAATTTCGCTTAAATCGTCCTTAATCATTAATTACGCGTCTACCTGTCAATTCTTATACCCTGATTGATTAACTTTCTCAGTAAATTTCTTGTATTCGCATCGCCCAATACCTAATCCTAAATCCTCAGGATGCTCAATTGCAGGTGAAGTGAACTGAGGAATGTAGAAGAATCACAAAGATATTTAATAAAGTGACGTTAATTAGTTAAGCATTCATAAAATATAGATTATTCAAATAATTCAAGAGTCTGATGAAACTCTGAGCGATCCACTATAAAACGATATTAATTCTCATATTTTACTATTCGCTATATAGAACATATATATATATATACACTTTACACAAGCAAAACTCTCTGTTAATTACGGAAGAGTACTTTTAGTAGTCTCCCAGGTTTACACTGTGCAAGGAACTCGAGCGTTCATCCCTCTCGAGGGAGAACACGTATTAACCCTTTGACTTCTGAGGGACACATCGGTTTAAGAAAGTCAATCCTCTCGAATAGTGTCTTACTGTCACGTAAATTTGTAAAATGTAACATTACTTGATTTTGTATTTTTTTTTTATAACAAATAACATAACAATACAATCCAAAAAAAGATTTCTGTAGGATACCTTAGCTTTACACCACTGTTATGAAGTAAATTAATATAACAAAAATCTAGTGACATACATTTTTCTTAATTATCGTATGTACTACAAGAATTGACATCTGATACGAGACTCAAGAAAGAACTATGCAAAAATATTTCAAATCCAGGTAGTTAATCATATCCATCGAACAGCCAGAAAAAAACAGTGTAAAAGAAAAGCAAAGAAGAAAAGAAAAATGAAACCTAATCCATTAGTACAGGTCGTTGTATGCAAATAACATAAGAATCCCCCAAAAAATATGTATATGCTCATCCATAATAAACGTATCACCTGAAGATGATTTTACTATAAAAATCAAATAAACAGCCTAACTTCAGGTGGTGCGTTTCTCCAGAATAAACCTCCTGTGTACGGTCCATAACATAGCAGAGAAACGAATAAAATCCTAGAAAGAAAGAAGATAAAAGTATATTTTTAAAAATTCAAAAAATATTTCTATAATATATATATATATATGACTTCTAAATATTACATGTACTCCATCATACTGTTTGGATAGCGACCATCTGGCCATAGCATGTAGCAAACATTTCTGGATTGTCCATTAGAATATCTGTAACAAAATAATAACTGATATCGTTTATCCATGTCGTTAAGAAAAAAAAGTGACTACGATACCTGCGTGTAAAAGTAGTAGAGTAAAGCAAACAAGGCAGCGCCAAAAGTGCCGAAGCAAACCAAATCAACGCCAATGCTAATCTTGCTCTTCTCCGTGACATGTGATGTTGAAGCGGTCGCATGATCGCCATGTACCTGTCAACAGTGACAAAAATTTTTTGGTTAATATACATATATACTTGTGTATTAATATATCGTATATATTGCAAGTCTTGAACATTGTACAAAAAATATACCATATACATTTCATAGTGTTGCATGATACAGCAATTATATTCTATGACGAGGGTTTAATCCACTTTTCACACAACTTACAGCCGTGTGAGTCTAATGTGACATGGCTGATTAATGTTGGCAGCTCTGTCAACGCGGTATTATTTCGAGCAGTTTCGCATGATGCACGAGTATTAATATTCGAACGGGGAAATTCCAGTTACACCCAGCAGCAATAGGATGCAGTTATTTCCTGAGGCAGCCGAACGACGTTATCAGATACTTTGAATGGTATCGATTGTTTCATTTCTATAATACCGTTGCGAGTAAGAGAAAAAAAATTTATTTTTTTTTAAATTAAATTAAAAGTAAATAAATTTTTTCATTATGTCCCAAGAACGTCTCCCAAGAATGTCTCATGAATTCCGAGTGACGACTGATAAGTACGAATTTTATATAAAAATATTAATTATATGATTATATCACGAGTCATTAAATTTTAGGGGTGATAAAATATTGTGTCTGATATTGTGCGTCGAGTAGGTTACATTGTATACGAGTTTTCGCCCAACCTGATCTAACCTAACCCGAAACCCTTATAATGTTACATATATAACGTGCTTCTGGAAATGTAGGCGTGATATTGAATTTTTCACATGAAAATTTTACGCCACAGCGTAGACGCTGCTTCGCTGTGGGTAAACCCGAAGAAAAACTTACTCGATCTAGGAGATAACGGTAGTAGGAAATATTGAAGCATCTTTTATTGTGTTTGATGTTGGGTGGGAAAAGAAATTTTTTTCATTCACGTATCGATCGAGTTAGTTATTGAATGATGAAAAAAGAAAAAAAAAAATACGTAAAAAAAATTTTTAAAAATTCGGATCGGTCATTACGAGAGAACGTGAAATTCCAATATTTGTTTTGTCCTTGTTTTCTATCGCTTCACGATAAAAATAAATACTCGTGAAATATCTTTCGGAAGATGCTACAGGTGCGAGCGAATGTTGAGGATCTTTGTAACTTATCCAATAAACGCTTTCTTGAAACGAATAGCTATTACGCTTGAGTTGTTCATATTTTCAGGATTCAAGGGGTGGATGGAAAATGTTGTGGAAGTATATATATATCTACAATATGTATATCATAGCGTGCGACAGGATCGGCTAGGAAGAAAATGCTTTTCTTGCGAGGCAGGAGGCAGCCATTTTTTTTATCATTCTTATTTATCTTCGAGCTTCGGAAATTGCGCGCGAGGTAATGAGCAGTAATTTTGTTTTGCGGAGAGGAAAATATGTTTTTGAAAAATAAATTTTTTAGGGATTTTTTCAAGTTTCGAAAGTGTCATATTGATAAGAAAGTTAGCTCTTTTTTTTTAATGTATATTTTCAGTCACTCTTACCGGCGACTGGCGATATGGATTTTTTGGTCAAATTATTTTCGTAACCCTGTATATATGCTGGTAAGACGCCAAACAGTTTTGAAATTGCGTCAAAGCTGCAATCGACACTCGTACGCAATAGAATTCTGGAATTTAGTGAATTTCGTGAAATTCCATCGAGGAGCCAGAAATACAAACAGTCGTTTCCAAAGTGAAATTAAGCCTTGTGTGAATTAGGTCGCCAGGTGTAGGGTCATTTCGCAAATGTCAAAAGTCACAGTGGCTAAGAACGTGACACCTTGATATACAATAATACGATAAAATAATTGTCACGAGGAAATTTTAACGTCTGCCAAGAATAATAAAAATTTTACAGACAATTTGACGATATGGTGAAAAATCAAATGGGACGAAAATAAAAAATATATTACTAGGCCGCCACGTTTCACCGCACTTGGCGAAATGTTCGTTCAAGGGAAAAGTTTCGATTTCAATTTGGCACAGAGGATATCGTAATATTAGAGGAGACCGAAAATAATTATGACCATAAGGAATTAATAATCAAACCAATTCTATCGGTTTTATGAAAAACGTACTAGAAGCACGAAAAAAAAAGTGGGCAATATTTATATTTATAAATATTTATTTATATTTATATTATTTATATTTATATTACTCTATATTATAGAGTAACTAAAAAAAATATATATATAATCTCAAAATAATTTCACCGGTTGACTCGAGCACCTTCCGACAGCTTAACTTGATCGAATTCAATTAAAAGAGTGTCTAATTAGCAAACTCGGATATAACATTAATGCCGTATGGCAGAGAAATTTTGTATCTCATAAATTTTTTAAATTTCGATTCAACCCCTGTAAATATTTTTCCCGAAAATCAGAGAGCCCGTTTGATTTTGCTTTTGTCGAATGATACGTACGAGGATCGATCGTACAAAAATATATACATATGTAATACCTGTATCATCCGTGTCGCAAATATTCGATTCGCGTTATGAGAAAAGCCAATACTTTTATCAGGGTAAGAGATTTCCTGTTCGCAAAAAGGATAAGCATCATCGAGGACATGGCATTAAATTATATTGGCAGGTAATGTCTGTCAGAGCGTAAAAACGACAGAGGATCATTTCAATTGGAATCCCATTATTTTTCGCAAGAGGGCTCGTCGGCTCTAACTGATCTTGTGAGAAATTTACTTTTTCAAATTGAAACAAAAAAAAATACGAAATAAGAGAAAATTTACGAATTTACCCATAGCCTCTCGAAGAGGACGGACTTTGAAAAATATTGAAAAATCTTTCAATTGTATTTTATGTAAACTTAATTTTTCGTACGAGTCACGGATAAAATCTACCCTTAAAATGAATACAAGCACGACTAAAGTTTCTAGATGGTTGATAATATTTGCAAAATTTAATTCCTACGTCATTTACATTACCTGCTTCTAATTATTCAGCAAATTGTTAAACGAACCATTAACTGTACCGTCTATTACCTATCAAAACCATAAGGACTGTCATACGAAGTAGAGTGGCACTCTTGACACGTGCAATAAATGGCATTTGAAGCTGCGCCTGAGAATTTTCACGGGGTCCTTTTTTGTTGCAAAACGTTTGTTCGACGATATAACGAAAATGAAAATATTTTAATATATTTAAGTACTGTGTATTGTAATAATATAATATATGATGATATATAGGATATAGTGTATATCGAAAAAGAATACGTTATATACGAGAGGTAACGACGCTATAAATCGCTTGATGAAATATCATTCTGCACTAAAAGATCGGGATAGAAAAGTTTTCATGTCTGCCTTTTTGGCACGAATTTCCGAGAAATTGATTTTCCATTTTTCACGTTACCTTGGAGTTGCGAATTTGTAGTCTGCGATAGTTCGATAAAAAAAATAGTGATACGAGAAATAACGCTGTCGATTTTACCAAAAATTACAGCACGAGATACTCCAAAGGATTTTTCGTATATTTGTCCTTTCCCGGAATTTTTTTTTTTCGATTTTTAAAAAGACCCACCTGCTTAATGACGCGCGCACGTGTAAAAATTTTCGACAGTCTTCGTCATTATTAAAAACAAATACATTAAACTCGTCGTAGAAAGCAAAATGATCGGCAAATTTTTTTAAGGAATTGCAATTCTGTCAAAGTCGAAAATTAAGGAAAATTGGTGTTCGTTTCATTAGCCACGACCGACGTGTCTACGCCCTTTTTGTTCGTAGGTCTTTTATATTTTATCCTCGTCTCCTTTCACTTTATCTCATCTTCAATTTCTTTTTCCTTTTCTATCAATTTAGCCAAGTAACGAAACGTAGGCGGAATAGCCAATCGTTTCGTAATTAACCTCAAAATACGAATTTCAAAAAATTCCATATGCTGATCACGTGGCATCATAATTTAGTAAATTTGCATGCTACAATTTTTTTCTCAGCAAAAATCGAAGCACCTTCCTAAAAATATATAAATATATTTCCTATATACATCACATCTATCAAGTGCATGATTAACCATCATGCAGTCACAAGAAACATGAACTTTTTTTTTTTTTTAACAAAAACGATAAATTAAAATAAATTATCCATCGCAATTCTCGGCCATTACTTGCAACGGAGCTAAAGTTTCGGATGAAAATTTCATCTATGGAACCAACTATAAAGTTCAACACAAGGTAAGCCGCCTAATATCCCTTTCATGCTAATGCTCCATTTTCCTCAGAGTTACTTTCCTCAAATGAGTTTGCTTGGTTTCTTGATTCAAGCTGTAAACCAAACCCGGCTGATCTTTGCTGACAAGTCGGCAAATAGTATGGGCTCGGGCTCAATGACTATTCAAGGCTTTATCACAATTAACTACACCAAGTGTAATTAACCTCAACAATATTTACACCCCTCGCATTGATTCAGGTAAGTAAAGCAATTTCAAGGGAAACGCTTAAGCCCCTACTTATATATCTGTCTCTTATAAAGTCTCTTGAGTTAAAGGTAACCCTGACAATCAGCAATCACAATTGAATTCTAAATCTTAATGCTAATTGGTTAACAATATATTTATCTTAAAATACAATAAATAAGACAGAATTATAATTAGAGGTTGAATGCCGATGATATATTACATATCAAAACTATTGACTACAGGAAATGAAATCAATGTTAAAACCGACATAATATTATTGATATTTTGAAAAATCAGAATTCCATATAACAGGATGAGATCGATTGATATAAATCTAATGGTAGGACGAGTAAATTTTTCACGATAAAATTATACAATTTCAATTATACTCAAATTACATTCAATTTAATTGCGTAACATGATCTTTTTCCTTTAACCAAATATATTTATATATCGATTATGGACATTGTGATCGTATGTTCTAATTTATGCCTTGGAGGGTATGAGAAATTTCATTAGGGTTTGTTCACATTAAAATTTATCGTTCAACAGCCATATTTAAGGTCGCTAGCCTTATGGTTATAGGACGAATAAAAGCAACTGTACCCTATCACTTTTAGGGAATATAAAACCTAATTTATCCTAGGGTAATAATTATTACGGATCAAGGAGGAAAATCTTTCAAACCATTCCTTACGTAAAAATCCATTTGACATGCTAATATACATAAACGACGTCGTGTACTATATATATTCGACATAAATTACGAGTAATTTCACAGAGCATAGATGATTTCAATCACGTTTGCCTGGCCAGTTGGTTAGACCGAATAGAAATAAGATAACCCAATCTCCATTCTAATATGAGACATGATCGAATTCTCAATTACCATATTGCCACCCCTTTAATATTGTAGAGATTCGAATCTACTTCCTATCTACAAATCGAATCTGCCTATCTGAAAGCTCGAACAGTTTACGAGGCATTAAAGTAATAAGAAAAATAAATCAAGAAAAAAAAACCGATCAGCTTTCAAACAAAGTGATACAAATATATCTTTTTCTACATACATTAATATATCGATATATCCATATACAATATACAGTAGAGTGATACAATTTACGGATATATCTAAATATACCTTAAATGATACTTGGCTAAATACTTTTGCACGAGATTGTACAATGTCGAACAAGTGATTCCTTGATAGACCATTATATTGAAGTCTCTGGACCATCTTATAGCTGAGAGTCTAGCAGTTCCTTCGAGAGATGACCACGCTGCACTCTGGCAAGTAATCATACTAGAAAGTTGTCGAATAGAAAGCCTAATGTAATAAAAAACAAAAGTTACTTGGGGGTTGTGAAAAATAAGTAAAATGAAAGAAAAAAAAAACCAAACCAACCACCTGTCAACGACGGCCAATGTGGGAAGCCGTGCTATATGGACTCCATAGATAAAATCTAATTGTATAAGTCCAGGAGTTCTAATGTTTTTTCGTTCCCTAATCCAGGAATACTGACGTAGCAAAAAAGTCTGTGATTAATTCCGGGTTTTCAATTGTACAGAAACTCCCTCTGCGGCACCAAACATCCTAAGAACGTCCTATGAAATTACAGGAAGTCACGTGGACGTCCTGTGAACATACAGAATATCCTGGTAATATCCCAGAAACGTTTTATGCTCAGTGGGCGAGTAATTTATAATTAATGAATAAATAATCAAACCTCTAATACATTAGCGTCTACATAAAGAATTATTATACAAATTAATGCCTCGTTACCATAAACATCATTAGTAGAAAAATTAAAGCTCCAATAAAATTTTATCCTGGCTTCAACCTAAAGTCTCATTATTACTTTTATTAATTTCATAAGAATTACCTCGTTCGACAAACTCTTTCAGGATGCTCGATGGTTTCTAAGTTAACCCTTTTTTTTTGTCCCAATCTCTACAAGCACAAATTAAATTAAAAAGAAAACAATCCAACGATCGTCCTTGCGTGGCTACAGAGCAAAACTTTCCTCACAGCATCCCACAGAGGTGTGTGAAGTGACGAGAAAGAAAAACAATAGAATTTTTCCCACATCCAAATAACTTACCTGTCCAGCGAAATAGCCATGAGTGTAAAAACGCTCGAAGCCACAGTAACGTTAGCCACAAAATTATTCACTGTACAGTAAACAACCCCAAAGGGCCAATCCGAGTTGACCATAAAGATGAAGTTGAAGACGCAGTTGAGTATGGCCATCATGAGATCCGACAAGGACAGATTAACCAGGAAGTAATTGGTAACCGTGCGCATTCTTCTGTGTGCTGAAAGGAATAAGAGAAGAAAGTATTATTATAAAAGTTCAATCAGACTTTCATTAATCCTTATCCCACTAAATTATCTCTTGTAACTATCAAGTATCGGTATGCTATTGACCAAAGGGGGCAATTCCATGAAATTTATATCTAATATATGCCATCTCGTTTTCTTGTTAAAGTTTCAACACAGCAACTGAATATCAAATGGCATTTTCACCAAGACTTTCCTATACGTGACTATCGCACAGATCAATGACTCGGAAATCCCTGAACCTCCCGAGGGAATTGGCAACCCCTAAAAAATAATCGAAAAGTACGGGATAAGACTGAAAGCAGCTCCTCATCTTAGAGTCCTTCTTCAAGATGTATCCGAAGCTTACGAATGACGATGAGATAACGTGGAGATCTACTTTTTTCTTTTTCTTTTCATATGAAGTTATGATTATTCGATATAACTATACAATATGTACCCCTCGATACGAGTAAAGTTATCGTTATCTTGTTGGTTCGATTTCTTGCAATCTTTTTTTCTTTCTCTCTATAACATACGTAAAGGTACATGGGGGAATTCGTCATATGACGTGGATTGAAATAAATGCAAAAATTCGAGGATACCTCGGGAGAGCTCGAAGGTGAGGTGAATATTTAAGTATCGAGACAAGGAGTATCTTAGATTCGATAAATCGATATTGCAAAATCGAGAGAATCGACCGTTTAATTTTAATATTCAAATTCAACCTGCTCCACGCAATTTCGAGGTTTGAATTTAAATCGGCATTTCTTTTCGCCTCAACTTTTCCTACGTGCAAGATCACATGAAAAATATCAGTCTACGCGCGATTCACAGTTTTTAGGATACTTTGCTACGATTACTTGTTCATCGATAGGCCGACCCTCCGTGAATCCTGTCTTTCGCTCTAATCCCAATTCATCGTTTTCAAAGCCCATCGACGTACCCGAATTTCCCGTAACCATTGGACCCAAAGTTTCCACGGCTCACCGCAATTAAAATCACCGGACGGACAACCAATCGATTGTCGAATGGGGCTCGAAGTAACGTCTCTTAAAGTTTCCGCGTGACGTCATCGGCCGCCAATTGGTATCGCGACAAAATTGACAACGAGAGTTCGATAATTCTTTATAAATCCCGATATACCTGCCTCTGGTTAAGGTAAACAAGGATCTAAATAATGATCACACCTTATATTGACAAATTTCCAAAACCTCACGGATACCTGTGGGTCCTCTAAATGCTAACAATGTGTAAACCAATAATGCATATAAATTGTGGTTGACCATCTTTATCCTGGATTCGAACTTTCCTTCGTGAAATAAATTTGAGGTTAAGGATTTATACATATATATACTATGTATGACGGAAATGCGTTGCGATTTTCTTGATCTTTTGGGTAAAAACAGTTCGACCGTGAGACGTTTTTTAAATGATAAATATTAAAGGAAAAGAAAGAAGTATAATAGAAAAATATTTGAGGTTTATAGAGCGTAAAAAAGTAACTTCGGCACCAAAGGGGGAGGAGTGGGGGGGATTGGCTGACGGTTGAACTTTGGGATCGCTTCCTTTATTTTTTTTCCCACAGTCTTCTATTTTCCGCTACTTATCTTACGGTTTACTGAAACCCCTATATACAATTATTATTATTATCTTGGACCAAATGCCCTTTGACTTATTCGAGGATCGCTTCTCAGTGAATTTTACTGGCAAATGGATGAAAGAAAATTCAGCGGCTCTTTTTGGGATATTTTATGGAACTTCGAAAAGCTTTAAAAAAAAAAGTGTTCAAATTATTTTTCCATTTCCGCCGAGTACTGTGGTTACTTTTTTTTTTTCGACATTACGGTCTCTCCGGGTACTCGAGGAAAGAATGGCAAAAAAAATTTAACTACCCTTAAGAACCGTGCAAATCACTTCGGCAAAGCCGCATTCCGTAGCAAGTAAAATTGCACAACTCGGGCAAGCTTTTGTAAGCGGGCTAAAAGAAAAGAAAAGAAAAAAAAAAGGAAGCACGTTAAAAAGGCAACGAAGACACGAGAACTTGCACGCTTTAAGTTTCGTCAAGTATTTCAGTATTTTATTATACCCCGTGTCTCGAACGTACTGCACTGCGCTGTTATCACCGTAAAGGTAACAAGTGTAAAGTGGCGCTGATTGTAATTAATTAGCTCGATTATGAAAATTTGCTTTTAAACTTTTATTTATACAAAAAAAAATTCAAGCATCGCTAAAGTCCCCACAAAATTCTTATCCGACATTTTTTCCATGCGAATTATTGATTGACCTTTGGAAGGCCGTTTTTTTAAGATTTCGGAATTTCTTTTGAAAAAGATCCAAATTTGTGTCTTATATCATGGATATACTATATACAGTTTCCATCATGGGTCGAGCTTTCCGGTCCTCTAAAGATAAATGGTAAATAAAATTCAAAAAATTAAGTATATATTTTTTATAAAAAATCAGGTACGCTTAGAATGAATGGCAGGGTAAAAAATGTCAAAATTGATAAATTCAAAACATACATATGAAATTTGTACTAGGCTAGAATGCGTTAATGATTATTCGACTGCTTTTTGAATATCTTAAGTTTAAGAGATGCCGCAACAAAGAGATAAAAAGACACATAACATGAGTATACGATGATATATATATTCGAAAACTACTCCCAAGAATAACTATATGAATTGAATATAACCAATTTTTTCAAAAAAAATATAATACATTGCCCGTCATCTATCTTCGAAAGTTTATCCTATCGACATAAACTGTGAAACGTGTACAGTCTCGCACCCCCCACAACTTAATCATTTCCACTTTCTCGATTCTGCCAGATACGGAATAAGATTCGAGTCGAGGGGGAAGGAAACATCGATCGTAATTTCCAAGCTCGCCAGATGTAGCTGGAAGGTATGTAAATTTGGGGTACACAAGAATATTAACATAGGCATACAAACTAAACTGTCGTAGAGTACGATTAATGATAAAATATGGCAACGAGTGTCGCGAGCCGAGTCACAAGAAATACGACAAAATCCATTGGACAACGAAAAAAAAAAGAATGTACCTTGCTCGATTTAAGGGTTGCTTTTTTTATCGCCCAATTATCAGCCGATCCAAATGTCCTTGACAAATAGCCACCGTCTATCGCGATAGATAGTATCAATAGTATAAATATAATAGGTAGTATCAGTAGCCTCAAGAGCCACAATAAAAATATTCAACATCATCGACTGAATCCTACACCCACGTCTGCACGCTAAAAAAAAAAAGAGTTGAATAAACAAAGTTCAGTCATGAATGGCAGCCGAGTATTATTATTCGAATCGGGATGACTTTTTAACCCTAAAAAAAAAAGACACTTTGTAAACCAACGTAAGCGTGACGCGCGAGGAATGTAAAATGCCAGCTTGTCAAATACTCATATAAAGAACGTTGAGTTTGTGATACGTGGCAATGAAGCGGTACAGTCGATAAAACAGATTGCACGGTCGGTAAACAAGTGTATAATTCCACACGTAGTTTGGAACTATGCACTTAGACTTTGTGGAAGAATCGCAAGACGCGGAAGCCGAGTATGTCAAACTGTCGCGAAGAGGTCTTGAACGAGCGGTTCGTGATAAAATACAGTGCCGTGGAAAGAGTTAGTTCAGCCTGGTAGGAAATTGAATTTCCAATTTGTACAACGAGAACGGAATCCGTGGGAACAAAGGAATTTCTTGTTAACTATGGACTGAAGAAATTCAGGAACGTGGTATGTATATAGTGAAGGTCGGGTAGAATTGTGAGCTGTATCGAGGAAGGGGAGGTGCAGGAAGGTTTAAGGAATGAAAGAGAACAAATTCAATTGTACTGGAGGATACCGATAAGAAATTCGGTAATTTAATAACGCGGACGAAAACCCATGGAAACAATTAACTCGACCTACAATGAGCAGTCGGCATAGGTAGCATGCCTTTAATGTCATTGGATCTGCTTTACCCTGCGAGCAGGTACAATAATCGGGTTTCGAAGGAGGAACAAAAAAAATTTCTTATCGCTATCTAGACCAAAAGGTGATCCTGAAATTAGTCCGTGTCTTAGGGCTGATCCTAACATCCTCTTGACGTCGTTATTGCGAAGGGTTTTCGTGTGACCGCTCGATTTGATCTGAGCAATCTGAAAACGCGCCCCTAAGTTTAGGGTTCAATTGATTATTTAACAGAGAATATAAGACAGTGCCGTATGCGTCGCGGGGCGATGGGAAAAAAACAAATTGTTAGTAACTCTCGAAATTTCACGAACCGTAATTTTGAGGTTATGAGAATTGCGTGAGATATTGTTGGTACAGGAACAACGTGTATACTGGTATACGAGGCTATTGAAACTTTTCGGTATAACCCGAAAATTATGTTAATTGAATGAAAAAGTTTTTATATAAGCTCGTATAAGCAAGTCGTAATGACGTCACAACACTTTGTTACGAGTCGTGTGAGACTGTGAATATACAAAAAAAAAGTTAACATACAGGTATACTTATATGTATAGTGGATTCTTTTCATCGCATTTCATCGACTGAACTTTTTGAAATACTAGCTACGACTGTACCTGTCTCATCTATGACAAGTGAATTCTATGGGAAGTGTCCCGCTTAAGCCAGACTTTTTTTACTTCGGACTGCTGTCTGATTTATTGGATACGTGGGTGGGATATTAGCGAGAAGTTGGAAAGTAGATACGATCGTTTGAAGTGACGTCGAATTGTCGAATAGAGTAAAAATTGTTATGGCGAGGCGACGTTGAAGCGGTTGATGGTAAAAAAAAAAAAAATGTAATTTGATATTGATACGAAAAGTTGAATATTTTCGAAATACGATATCTGCCACTTTTATTATTTACATTTTTGCGATTTCGTATACCCGCCATTTTAATTTCGTCACAATCCGTAGGATGGAACAACTTCTCAGTTTCACGTAGTTATTTGTGAAACATGTCAAAGTCTCGAGAAGAGATATTTCAAAAGTTTTTTATGCTTTTTAATTAAATTATTATTCGACACTCGCGTCTCTATTTCAACTTACCAAAGTGTCAGCTGATGCTGTTGAAATAGTCATTTGGGCATTGTGTCTTACCCCGTGAGATATTATGCACCCTGCTACCGCCCTTAAAGTATACGGTAAAGTGTAATCTAATACGGAGTAAAATAAAAAAAAAAATCTGTATAAATAAAGAGGACATAAAAAATTGAGTTGCGAAACTTGAAAGAAAAAAATTTTAACGTTGAAAAAATTCTATTGAATTCAAGTTTTTAAAACTCTGTCAAGTCCTTCCTGTCAAGTTGAATAAACTTATGTCAACTTCTATACTCGGCTCAACAATATATTTACGCATTTCGCGCGAAGTTATTATCGACGATCTATATTCAGGAATTCAATTCGAATTAAATACTTTTTTTTTGAATAATTTTTTTTTTCAATTTTACTCACACGTACGTTCTACGATGACGGTGTCTCTCTATTGTCAGTGGATTAACAATGCGCCTAACCATGCACGAACATTTTCATTGTTTACTTACATCCAAAAAATTTCATCCCGTGTGTACCAATCTGATAGCTCGCTTTTTTGCGTAAATCTTTCCATCGCTTCCACGTTCACTTCACACATGAATAAAATATCATGATATATATATATATATATATTTAATTGCGTTACACGCTACCGTACGATTGGAATATTTGTAAAACAAGATCTTTACTCAAGCTTTTATTGATGTCTTGAGAAATTTGATGAATTCTTGGCCAGATTATTTTCAAAGCAGCTGCTAAGCAGCGACTGCATTATTTATTATGACTAACCTCTCATAGAGACTTGCCGAGTCTCGTAAACGAGGTAAAGCTTACAACCACACTCTCTAAGTTACCCTACCATCTTTTTTTCGAGACAAAAGTGGGAAAGAGAATTTTCGAGAATCCTGCAGTTGTAAAAAAACAATGTCAACATGCATACTACGCGAGTCAAGTTAACATACATATTTAATAGTCCAAAAAAAAAAGAATATTTTTCTACTCCACTTTTTTCTTATGCAAGTTTATCAGCAATAGATTTTTTGAAGACATCGACGACCATGAAAAGATAACAGATTTTGAAAAGAATTCCATATGACAAACGTCGCAAAGGTTCACGAATTTATTGCAGTTGACAATGAAGATCCAATTATCCTTTCACTGTTCGGTGGACGTCATTGTATAAGAATCAGATAGCCATAAGAATCTATTGAAATGGATAATAAAAAAAAATCACCATAGAAAATCTAGGGACATAAATTGTAAAAATAACTAGAAATTTTCTCAGCTCATTTTACAAAGTTCCTGCCTTGCATTTTTCTATAGGGTATTTTAAGCACGGGTCCCTTGTACTGTATGCATGCACAAAACTTAACAAGCACCAATCAGAATCACAATATAATTTACGAGCGACACTGTACAATACAGCGCGATATTATTCATGGGGATAGACTTACTTATGAACCCTGCAAGACGACGACAACAGCGTGAATGATTTTGAGTTCAGACCGCGAATATAAACTATTGCGTATATCATAGAGAGATATATTGATATATTAAATACGCATCTGTGGATATATATATTCTATAGTCTATATACTTGATGCACCTCAAATACATATTTCAAGCATTAAATGTGAATTTAATAGAGCATAGTCTCCGTATTATTTCAACCAGTACTTATCAACGTAGCATTCCACGAGTAATCATTAATGTGGCACCTAATTACAGTAATTAATGAATACCGAAATGGACTGTTAATTGCAGTACAAACAACAACACGGAAATGATTATAAAGACAAATCAAGAGTCTCGATTTTAAATGAAAATATCGATTACTGATAATAGAGTACTCAGCGATCGTCCTTTGCAGAATGGAAAAAAAAAAACCATGAAAATTGAAGCAAAATCAATTTTATGCAAGCGCATTCACGAGAATTGATGAGTGTAATTAAAATTGCAGATTTACTCGGTATACACGTACATGAAAAAAAATGTGCATAAACCGAACCAGCCCAGGGGTAATGTATTAATATCGAACCGGGGAATAATTTTATCGTGAAATCGACACACGTTGTCAATACGCAATCAATGCCTTTTGAATCGTCGTTAATTTGGATACGTTATGAAATTACAAAATTTTGACTTACCCAAAACAATCCACATGACAATAGCATTGCCGCCGATTGCTACCAGTAGCATGGATGCGAAAATCGATGCCCAGGATAATTTTTGCCACCACGGCAGATCGAAGGGTCGTCTTTGTCTTGGAAGAAGACAATCGGATAGTATATCTTGAAAAAATTCCTTCCGTATAGAATTGTCCAGAGCTTCCTTAAGTATGTTCAGAAGCTCGCTGCGATTCAGATCCACCAGGAAAGTAATATTTCGCTGAAGCACAATAGCACTGCAGTTGTACAAGCGAAGTGAATCTATACCGTTCATACTTGTCGTTTCTTTTTTTTAAAAGAGTATCCGCACTTTTCAAAACTTTTTTGTCTCTGCTTCTGGACAAATGCAACTTTAAACAGCAGCTCACACCTTCTTTATGAAAGACGAACATCAATTCTGTCGCGAAACGAACTTCGGGCTGATGTTAGGTTATACACTGTTTGCCCGATCGGATTGACTGACGTTTAAAACTTGTACACCAAAAATATTAAACCGACAAATATTTATTAATTTTTGTTTTAAGAAAAGTTTCCTCGAACCTACGCCAGAGTATGAATTGACTAAATACCGTGATCGCGTGTTCGTAACACTCATCTTAAAAACTTTCCCGCACTACTAACTGAAATTAGTCCCGTATGTAATTAGAGTAAATGCGAGTAGTTATTGATACAGTTAAAGTCGATGAATTTATTTATTTGAAATAGAAAATTTCTTCTATGCCTTATATTTATTCTAGTCTTTAGTCTACTTCACACTGATTCACTCTTTATGTTCATTGTTAAATAAAGGGTGTATTCATTTTATTTTTAAGCTAGGCAATTTACACTTTTTCCTTTAGTCACTCTTTTATGTTATATTCACAACTTTCTTTGCGAAAGGAACAGGTTGCCTGACTTCCGTACTGCTTCCAAGACCACCGACGTGATACTAAAGTTCAAGCACAGTCATTCAATATTGCGTGCGCATCTGTATACAGTTTACCCCAATTCGACTCATTCCTTTCTACGTGTAAACGTCAGCTGACATCGTAGAGGGATGCTTCTGCATTTCTCAATAGCACTCTAGTATCTTTTTATTTGGATCCTGCTACGTGCAGATAGGTTCAATAATGCCATTGTGGAATTACCCTCAGAACGCCATTTTGCATCCTAATCGGAATTTGGTTCGATAAGAGCTTATCGCTACGAAACTATTACACTAAAGTGAAATTGCTGCTCTATAGTACAGCGATAACATGGTAAACACTGTAGGGATATTATGATATTAAGTAACACACGAAACGGTTAGAATTAGTATTTTTTAATTCGTAAAGTATTGGTAAATTTTGAATGAGCAATAGTTGTGCGTTTAAAGATACTGCGTTACTTTATTTAGATTTAGATTGGATTGAGAATCCTAATTTACCGTTCTATATACATGGATTTGATACGTTCTTCCTTTTCTTACTTATTATGGAGGTCGAGTCTCTTAACTTTTCCTGCTTATTATTGAAGCTGAGTCTCTTTCCAGAAACGAAAAGTTTTTCGGTCACTTGCGCGGCTATTTGAAACTCAATGGTTGCCAATACTAAAAGCATAAAGTTCCTGCTTTAGAAACGTGTTGGTAATAATTGGGGTATCCGTAACATGGCAGCACCATCGGTTAGTTACATTTTCTAACCTGTCCTTTCAGCATTGCGTCTCAGTTTGAGTGGATTTTGTGCATTGTTACTCTGTTTTTCGCGGTGGATTTATTAATTGTTTCTGTTATTGAATAAAGAAATTGTATAACAAGATGAAGGTGAAAAAATCGGATGTTAAGCAAGAATCGAGTCTTCGGAAAGCAGTGAAAAATGTCAAACAAATATTGAAGGTAACATATCACATGGTCGCATAACCTATATTTATTATGTTATTGTTTTTTCTATATACATTATAATATGAAAAATCAAACAATATGTTCTATTTTATAAGTTTATGTATTTTTGGATTTAATTTAGGAGGTCATTATGTGTATATATTTATACATTCTATAGTAAAACTGTTGGATACGTTATCTCTTTGCCACATACTTGTTTAGCAAATATTATATATACTTACAGAAAAAAAAAGTAGAACCAAAGGTCGAAGTGATCAAGAAAGTGATCAAGCAGGGAAAAGATCTACGACGGAAAACTAAAATTCCAGTGGGCATTGTTTATATTGGACACATACCACATGGATTCTACGAGGAACAAATGAAGGATTATTTTAGTCAATTTGGAAAAGTAACACGTGTCAGAGTGGCTAGATCAAAGAAGGTCAGAAAAGAACAGTTACCTTAATGTACTAATAAAATTTATGTAACTTTTATACAATGGGTATACTTAAACTTTAGAATGGACGCAGCAGAGGTTATGGATATGTCGAATTTGCACATCCCGAAGTTGCAGAAATTGCTGCCAAGACTATGAATAATTACTTGATGTGTGGCAGACTTATAAAAGGTACTATTATAGTATACTATTCATTATCTAAAAGATTGTCATTATAACACACTGTATCTATATAAAAATATATTATTTTTACAGCCAATTACATTCCACCTGAAAAGCAGCACAAACGTTATTTCATGGGTACCAATTGGTCCGTGAAAAATTATGCAAAATTAACAAGAAGAAGAAAAGAAATCAGATCGAATAGAAACTTAAACTTAAATAAGAAAAAAGATAAAAAATTAGTTGAAAGATATCTCACAAAATTGGCTAGCATCGAAAGAAAATTGAAAACTAAAGGAATCGAAATGAAAATAACACCCGTCGATGTACCCGAAGTAAAATAAAGATTGTCTAACATATAAGTCTGTATAATTCTGAAAATTAATATAAATTTATTGATTTACTTACACGATACATAACAGAGCTTAAAATATTATTTACATTTATTACCTATCTCATTGCATAATTTCCAAATTAACCTAATCAATGCGTCAGGACATCACAATCCTTATTTTGTGTATTTGCCATACCACCCTTCGTCCTTTTCCACTTCATGCGTCTATTTTGAAACCACACTTTGACCTGAAATAATATCCCTTAGATTAATGATTAAGAAAACCAATTAAAATTCCAAACTCTCACCTGTCTCTCCGTCAAATCCAAAGCCACAGCAATCTCGTAACGACGAAGACGCGTCAGATAATTACTGTGTGCAAATTCGCATTCAAGATGACGCACCTGTTGTTTCGTAAAAGCTGTTCTTTCCTTGCGCGGTTTGTCACTGCTGCTGCCATTACCCACTCTCTTACTATTAGACTCTGTAAATAAAAATACCACAATTCAAAAATAACGTCCTCACATCAATACCGTCAAAGTAATTAATTGAATTTCGTCTTATCGTTTCAATTTGTGTGATCATTGGAAACTCAAATTAACGAAGTTGCCCTAATTTCCCAAGCTTCTTGCCAGACGCACTTCTCGGAAAGACACGAGACTATATGCATAAGTGATCGTAGCAAAACAGTAAGTTTCACGAGGCCGCCCTTTTTGCCAGCGCGGTTTAGATGAAAATAGCTGCATATTCGATGCGTCACAGGATGACGTTCATCTAAGACTTACTACCAGTGATACGCGCTGTTTCAAATGTGGGTTGGTAGAATCTACCATCTTTTACAGATACCGACATCAGCCTTGCTTCCGTGCCGCTATCTCTTGAACGTCATACGGTAATTGAGCGCTGACGCAAATACGTAAAATCACGATTCAAATTTCCCCACGTAACTGGCAAGTGAAAATAACGAAAATAGCGGAATACGTAATAACCGTTGAAATAAAATAGCCAATAGCCATTAAAAAATATCAGATTCCTATACAGCCACGATGAATGATCCTCAAAATTTTTCACGTATGATCAACAGGCTGCTAGATCAGTCCAACGGTTCAATATTTTTGTCCAATTTATAACTAACTCAAAAAATCATTCTGGGACTTGTTTATTTTCTTCGCGGACAAACTAAACGTCCTGCTACTATCTTTTTTTTTTATACAGATCTCATATAATGTCTTTTTTAGAAAAATGGGATTTAATTGCACTACAAAAATTTTATCTCTCTACGCGCCACCTTCTGCGTGTGATACGAACTATGGTATAGTCATTCAATGGTTTTTCATTGAGAATCATCATAGGTTTACGATGTTTTCACTCGGTTGGCTTCATTGAGTTTTTGGGCGGTGATGTGACAGATGTTCTAAGGTCCCGAGGACACGTGTTCAACTCTGAATTGCTATCTGGCCTCTGACTCAGAGATTTACACGGGTTGTGCGGACATACCAGATTGCTCCATGCGCCACGACGTTGACATATATTTATGTCTTTTAGCAATGGCCAAATAAAAAGAAATGTACACAGGCACAAAACATATTTGCAAATATCATTAAAAATGACTTTCCTCTCTACCTTAGATTCAATTCGCTTTCTAAATTCTATTATACAACTTTTTTTTTTGTATTTAAAAACAAAAATTATCCCAACGATGATTACCGACTAGAGGTAATCTCGATCGTGTTACGTAATAGATACAAGTCACAGGAATACATATAATTACGATTTCTCGATTATTAGATAAATATTTAGACTGCGCTGGCTCCGTTATAGCCGCATTGGCGACAGTAAAGACATAAACTTGACTGTTATAAATGAATTATCAACAGACATTCTTGTACACATATGTAAGGTACATCTACATACAGTATTTTTTTCTAAAATTTTCTTATCGTCAAATTGTCATACAAAAATTGAAAATAGTTAATTTACATTCGTTAGTTCAATGACAGTCGATGTACATCGATCCACACTGATTGGAATTAATCCAAAAAAAAATTTAATCAAACTTCAAATGTCTTACCGTACTCGGGTTCGGAAAGTCCACTGGCAGAATTAATTTCCTCCTCGCAGGAAAAATTGTTTGGATATTTTGACGAAGGGTTTTCGGAAATTTCTTGGGAATCCTGATATTTAATCTCCTGTCCTACGGGGGTGTCCTGCAGGTAAGGTATTTCCCAAGCACGGAACAGCGTGGTGGTTGTGATATGCTGACCTTGATCTCTTGAACAAAATTGGTCCTGTGCAGAATCCTCAAGCGTCTTGTCTCTTCTGGTTGTAGGAGATGAGTCCGTCGCAGGAGTATGATCAGGGATAATATCATGATGCGAATATTGTTCCCACCTGATGATTCATTAAATTACAATTTGATTGGTAGTTATAGCTAATAAAAAAAAATTATATTCATCATGCATTAAAATTGTCATTTACTTTTATTCAACATTAATCCCAGTTACCTGCATATCTGATAATTTTTATTCCCATCGCCACTTTGCATCGAACTGTTTATGCACTGCATGTCAAACTGCTGTCCCATTTCAAGAGGAGGACTGGCTGTTGTCGATACGTCCGCCGAGTCTGTGGAAATGTCCCATGGCCATTTGTAGTACCAAGCAGATTCGCGGGTTTGATTGAAGCGGATATTTTGAAAATCCATATGAAGCGACGGTGGCGTCGGCGGCGTCGGTGGTAACGCGAAGACGTCCTCCGATGCAATTACTCTTGTAATATTTCCTTCCGTCCAAATGTCCATTATAACCTAAGAAAACGGATTTCCGGTATATTATTATTTTTTAAATATCATTTCTTACCTAAAACAAATATTCGCGTATACAAACGGATGGCAGTTAAATAAAAAGTATAAAAGAAAGTAAAATTGAAAATTTTTCAAAGCAACATTTAACATTTACAGTATGAGTTCAATAAGAATATATGATTGTCATGTCAAAATGAAAAATAAATTTTTTTATAAAACTCTCATTGATCCTCTTACCCAATTTTTGTACAGGCCTAATTATTTTTAGAAAAGTCACTGGTTTTCCTTCTTTGAGTCGTAAAACATGAAAAAAAGGTTCGAAAAGTAACTGAACGTCTCTCACGAGTGTCACTATGCTCACAGAACGAAGAACCGTCGTAGCCAGCGTAAAATAATGCTCGGCTCGTGTGAATTGTCTCGGTACTAACTTCGAAATGTCAAATGCGCACATGTGAGGTCACTATGTGCGAGTTGAGTAAAGTAAATGGGAAAGAAGAGGGTTGGGTGAGACACGAAGACCAGAGGGACCGATGTAGGAGTAGGGCTCAAAGACACGGAGGCCTAGCCAAGTTCCAGCTCCTCGTTCGAACCAACCAATCCCAGCAGTTCATATTCCTGGATAACAGTGGAATTGTCACCAATTGCATAGAAGTCACAGCTGGAGGATGGGCGTGCACGATTTTTTTGACAATGACAATCAAACTGAAATCGCCAAGTATGGCTGCTAGGCAAAGATTTATGGACTGAGAAATTGGAAAGGAAATTTTACATTTTCAAAATCTCTCGGTATTTTGATAACGAGCTCAGGCTATTTATTTCAACATAACCGGCGCTGACTGATCACCGATACCGAAAGACAGATTTAGGCTGATTGAATGTAATTTTGGAAAAAAAAAATGGTAAAACATTTATTGACGTGAGAATTACGTTATTTTGGATTAATTGATTTCGAGTAATCACAGAATCAAGGTATATTTCAGATTACGCCACTGGGACTTGGCTAAGACCTAATTAGGGATATTTATGGAAGGTCGTATTGCCCCTCTGTAATTTCAACCACGTGTGATTTGCAGTTGCCCTCACTGTACTGATGTTTTGTAAATAGTTTTTATTTTTTCTTTTTTTCTTTTTTTTTTCACCTACCAGAAACCATCACAGCACTTATATGATCCCATGTTAGTATGTAGAGATGTCCTGTCGGCAACATTTCCAGACGACAAACGATTTCTCTTAGACTTTTTTTTCGAGGGGAGAGAAAAAACGCGATAAACTGCACCAATTACATCGACTGGGCGGGAATGATCATTTAAAATTCAAAAACGTCCCTCGTTCCAAGCGCCTGCGTTCCCTCCTCGTGGTACGGGCAAGATTTATCCTTTTCTTCATACCCGAGACTCTGGGTGAATTTGAAAAATATTCTTTTCCCCTGTATATTGTTATTATTAATTTTCTTAATTTTATTTAATCTTCATCGAGTACCTGCTACGTCGTCTCTATTTCTGGACCAATTAGCCGCTATACGTCATGGTATCAGAAACCAACATTCTAAACCTCTAACGGAGGCTGTTTGTACAAGGGGTGGGTACGGTAAGTACACGTTAACGATCCGGCAAACCACAGCTGGATATCTTCTCGGTGGATTGAGCTTTTCCCGTGAGTTTCCAGATTTCGAAAAAACATTTGCTTGCCACTAATTGAAGTAACGTTTAACCAAAGAGACAGGTTAAAGCCGGACGACTGCATTTACAATGAACGAAACTCTTGCAGACACGAAGAATGAAATATTAACCCTTACTGAAAATCAGTAAAAAAAAAAATTGATAGCCTCCAAAGCGTAATTAATATATTAAAAAATTTACCCATCCTTCTCAAAAATATGAAAGCATAACAAAAGAAAATGTGAAATTTGATTTTTCCCGGTAACGAGAATCTCATGTAAATGAGAGCGAACTTAAAATTTAAGAATATTTGTCGTTTCCGTAATAGGAGTATTTTTTTCCCATTTTAATATATATAATACATGGCTTAGGTTTATATAGCAAAATACATATATAGTCACGGCCCATTACTGTCAGGACGTTGGAGCATGTCCTCCGAGGAAACCGGAAAAGTTTCAAGGATCAATAAAAAAAAATCAACAAACTTTGTGTGGTGACGTAAAAAAAAGTATTTGCAATTAAGAACACGCGTTGATTAAATTTCGAGATAAATTGATCTTTTCAATCTAAGTCTAATCCGTATCTACAAATGGAACAAGCGAGTCTTAAATTCTTCACGCACAGCCCAACGTAGAAAGTTGTTATTTTAATTTCATTCATGCCTTTAATGCCCGGATTTCATTGAACGTCAGCCATTACTGTGTCAACTAGAACATAAGTTAATCCAAAGGCGAGAGAGAACCCACCTAAGAAAACATTTCGCTCACTGCCAGAAAGGCGAGTGGGTGGTGGATGTCAAGTTGCACGTTCCAAAGAGTCAGGTCTTCCCCAAAGATCGTATTGCTCTATTAATCATGGCTATGTTGTGTTTAGTTTCCTTCTTCAAGGCATTTTACCTATGGGCAACCATTATGGGTGCAAACATAGAAATAAGTTTCCGACACGTCTCATTTTCTTTGTGAAAACTTTTCCGTCGGCAGGAAGCCAAGCTTGTCAAACGGCGAAATTGGAAACTTGGTGCCAAGCGGTCTGGGACTTTTCTTTAGAGAATGAAGGATAAATTCCAGTGGTAACTAAGGCATTGAAAAATTATATACAATAATGTGCAATAATACGAATGGCTTGTCGTTACCTTGGAAATGAGGTTATACAAAATTAATGATGACATCGACGATGTTAAAGAATCATTCCTTCCCGTAGGAAAAGAAAAATTAAAGATTTTTCTTGAAAGAACCCGTAGATTTACCCAGCAGCCACCGCGTGGTCTCAACCCCCTCGAAAAGTTCAGACTGACAGAGAAGCTTCTGGAAAAAGTAAACAACGTCATACTCCAATTATCGAAAAAAGAATTAACCCAGGACTATAATATACAATACCTGAGCCAAGAAATCCGAAACAGAAAAAAGAACTAAATCATACTGATTTGATACCTCGAGAATCCTATCGTCGATTGAAATTTGGATTTTTCCGTCATTTTGATCCATCCAATATAAATAATGGCGAGCAGATCCAAGTCCGTCGGATGCGTTCACAAAATGATCCTGCTGAACAAGAAGGAAATTGCTTTATATTATTGTTTAAGTTACACAACGGTCATGCAAGACGCGAATACTTAATTCGATACAATTTAATGAAGCAAATCAATTAATTAGGACGATGCAGATAAGGATATTTTTGAATGTCCATTACAGATACTGGAATGATATTCTTGTTGAACCCAAACTAATCGTATTTGCGAACACGATTCAAATTTTGAATAAAGACGGTTATGGAATTTCGTTTTGTAAAATTGAACAGTGTTTTTGACGGTTATAAAAATTTATCTGTGTCGGTGGACCTTCTCTTTTCAAGATATCGAATCTTTATCCTCTTCGTGATTTAAGCGCTTGATTACTAGCTGGCTCAAAAATGTGGGTGTTAACGAATGTGTAATATGCCGTGATTATGACGGAGTGCAATGCGGTAGAGGATGGTGACTTTTTAAGTGAGTTGGGCCGCGTGAGAATTTCTTGGGGTGATGAGAAACCCAGACATCTTCTACGAGCACCCGGTTTATATCAAACAAGTCAAACCCTACATTGGTTATATATCCATTGTGGGAATTTGAATCCAGAAGGATTACAAGTCAGCGAAATACGGTTGATTGAAGAGAATCAATAAGCGCTTATATATCCAACTATGAAACGATCAATCCAGTGAGGCAAGTTAAAAAAAGCCTATTCGTTGGTATCATTTTGTTTTTAATATCGACGTGAGAGCTTTTTTATTGAGTTCATAATTAACGATAACATTTTTTATTACATTTCCAGTAAAATGGGGTCAGCAATAGTGAAATATCGAAAAATATTAAAACTGTCTATTATTATATTTTTAGGAAATTTTGTTTAAAAAAATGTTGTTTGAAATCTTTAGATTTTTTATAGCGATATATATCGTGTCGAGCTCACGATAACAATTATGATTCAGAAATCACTGTAGGTCCGGAGTGCGTCTATTATTTTGGAAATTATTTCTAATTCTGTTGATAACTTGTATGAGTCTTATAAATAATACAAGCTCCGCAATAAATGTCCAATAAGCATATGATGATCGCTCAAGAACCGCTATTGGGTTACAAGAGCAAAGATATTTTTGGTTATCTTACCAAGAGTAAGAAGTACGCAGCATCCTGCTGCGCTTCTTCGACGAAGGCAGTCGCTGCTAGTTCGCGTACATTGTACGGACCACATCTCCAGGGCAGGATCTGAATGATAAAGTCATACAGTTAAATAGTAATTATGGAAAGTCGTAGAAAGTATCCAGGTAATTACTAAAGATTTGAAAGAAAAGGCTTAAACGTTCGTTAAGGCATGTGCAACTTCACATTCAGTACGATTATGAATAAAAGTTCGAATTTAAATGTAAAAAATGTGAAAACGTTTCATTTAACTCATTATTATTTTTCAGATATAGCCGACATTGCTCAACATTGTCAATCTAGAAGATTACAACAACAAGGATTTAGCATTGAGAATTGTTTAAGTACGCCAATGAGACGATTTGGAATATACTTACTCATGGCTTTACTATGCCTCGTGGTTGTCTATTTGTTTATCAGTCTCGTAATACTGATATCAGGCATAAAAAAAGACGTGGGAAGTAAATCAATTACAGCAATTAAGTTACCAGTAACGGATTCAGTTACGTTAGCACCGGATGATAAATCAAACTTTACGTCACCTATAGCAGCAGTATTGACTCCACTTGAATATAAGTAAGTTTGCTGAAGATAATTTTTTTTGTTAATATTATTTGTTTCGTTTCTTAAACTCTTTGACAATTATTTTATTTCTCTTGCACCGTTAGTATACGCATTTTCCCTCTTCTGGTACAAGACGAGACCGGAAGCTTTAATGCAAAGTGTGAAACAGAAATTACTGTAAAGTCAAATCGTAACACTTTGCGAATTCCCGTTAACATCAGAAATATTCATATCCAAGATGCATTTGTTCTTGATTTTTATACGAGAAAGCCACTGGAGATAAAAACTGTCTATTGGGATAAACAAAATGATATTTATTTAATTCATATGGAGCAGCCACTGAATGCCAGTCATATGTATATCCTGCGGTATATATACAGCCTGAAAATTAATAAAGGTGGAATTGGATTGTATTGGGAATCTTACGTGGAAAGTTTGAACAGGACAAGGTAAATATATTGAAGAAATATATGATTTATGTTAAAGTATAATATAAAAAATATTTAACGATACTCTCAGGTATTCCATCATTTCTAATTTATCACCCAATTACGCGCGCACTGTCTTCCCTTGTTACGACGAACCAGGATTCAAAACTCCATTTCGAGTAACTATCGGTCGAAATAACACTACGAGAACCCACTCGAACTCGAAAATAAAAATAACCAAAGACATGTGAGTATTAATATCTAACTATAATGCAAATTGAAAGATAAATGGAGAAAAAAAATGTCCCAGTATAAATACCATGAATATATTTTTCTTTTTGTTTTCTTGCTTTTATTTTAGGAAGGGTATGCCTGGCTTCGTATGGGATACGTATACTAAAACAGTTCCTATGTCCACTTATTTGCTTGCTATAATGGTTACCGATTTTGATAATTACACCGTCACTGAAGAAAACCGCTTTGGCCACACGATCTATGGACGCAGTAGTATTTTACCCTATACAAAATACACGTCGACGATGGTAACTAAATTGGTACCAATTATAGAGGATTTGACAGGGTTTCATTACGAGCTCGAACAGTTGGACTTAATGGTGGTATCAGACTTAAAATATGCGGCTATGGAAACTTGGGGCCTAATAACTTTCCAGTAGGTACACGCAAAGATTTTTCATATGGATGAAATAAATGTTCAAAGATATCCTATATTCTCAAACAGCGAAAGTAGCTGTGTTGTGATCCAAGACTTAACTAGTCAATCCTCCTTAAAACACTACGCTACAATTGCAGCCCACGAAGTGGCTCTTCAATGGTTTGGTAATTTGGTAACACCACTTAGCTGGTCCTACGTATGGTTAAAAGAAGGATTTTCAATGTTCTTTGCATATATATCAATGAACCTTGTAAGTATAATATATTGATATAAAAATTTGCCAAAGTATCTTCTTCGAGTCATATTCATTATTTCTCTTTAATTGAGGTCGAACCTTCTTGGGATATTGATGAATTATTTCTCAAAGATTCTACGGAAGCATTGACAGCTGATGCACTGGATAATACATATGCCTTATTGACTCCTCTTAAAAATACTAGTGGTCCCATTGATATATTTCACCATATTTTATACATCAAAAGCAATAGCATAGTCAATATGATGTACAATTTTGTGGGAAAGGATATTTTTATGGATTGCATAAGAAATTACATACGTGCTTATGCATATGGATCAGCTGAGCAGGAACATCTTTGGAAAATTTTTGATAATGTGCTGTCACAGCAACAAGTATTTCCTGATCATCTCTCCATGACTGAAATCATGCACTCTTGGACGTATCAACATGGCTTTCCAATTTTGCAGATCAATAGAAATGTGCACACTGGTACAATTCACTTGATTCAGGTTTGTTATATGACATTATTAACTTTTAGAAAACAAATCTGTAGCAGTATAAGTAATTTGAGATTTAGAGTGCAACTGAGGGTATTTATTATTATTATTGATATAATTCATTTACAGGATAGATTTCATCATGATGGTCCAAGAGAAGAAAGTAGGGAAATGTGGCATATTCCAATAAGTTGGGCAACTCAATTAAATCCTCAATTTAATGAAACTAAACCAAAATTATGGTTCAGTACTAAGCAAATGATGATCAACGAGACATCGTTAAGAAGTGCTGTACTGAGTGATCATTGGATCTTCTTTAATCTGAAACAGACTGGTAACTTGTATAGGTGTATGAATAAATCTACATGACAATGATAGATTGAGTCTCTCTTTTGTATTTAAACTATTTTTCTTTTAGGATTTTACCGTGTAAATTATGACAATGGCAATTGGCAATTGTTATTCAATGATTACAAAAATTTTCCACCAGTGATAAGGGCTCAAATAATTAGTGACATTTTCGCTATGGCTTCAGGAGGTTTTTTGGATTATAATATAGCTTTTCATGGTGCTAGTAAATTACAAAGTGAAATTTCATTAATAGTATGGGATATTGCCATTACTGCACTCAAACCTATTCAAGTACATTTCTATAATACGTCAGGATTCCAGGCGAGTGCTTCAAAATTAATTAAAATAATATTTACTTTGTTGAACAATTATTTGATATGGCAATTAAAGACGCTAAGAGGCATTTTATGTTCCTCGCGTGTGATAATGACGGGTTGCCTATCATCAGGGTTCAATACTCTAGAGGGTTTATACCGATAATTGATTTAAAAAATATTAATATTGTATTTTATCTTTTACAGCAACTCATGAATATACTTGTCGACAATGTTTTTCGTTATGTTGTAAATTATACGATTACCAATTCGCATGATGAAATATTAAATTATGCTTGTATGGTGGGTAACGTAGAATGCTCGAGAAAAGCTCTGAATTATTTACGACAACGTACAAGTGGAAAATTAGAATTAGGGTAAATACGATTTTGTATATAAAAAATATTTATAATTATTTTTAATTATATACTGTCATGTGAATATATTGAAATTACAGAGTTCCTAAGCATTTAACATATTGGGTATATTGCGCAGGGATACGTAGCGGTACTGATACAGATTGGTATAAACTGATGGATCTTTATGAAAATAACACATTAGACAAAGATCCAATGACGCATGGATTAGGATGTTATAAAAAATCAAGTTTTTTGGAAAAGTACGAAAATAAACATTTTACTTAACTGGCACTAAACACTTATATAGCAATTTTAACTTATTCACTTCTTATAGGTACTTGGATAGGTTAACAATAGATGGACGTGTTACTCGAGAATTATTTTTAGCGTTGTTATCCGTTGCGGCAAATCCGTATGGAGCCAGAGTGGCCTTAAATTATTGTGAACACCATTGGAACCTCATTGAAGACTAGTAAGTACCGGAAGTAGTAAGAATTCTGTGTTATTAACATTATTTACAATCATATTTTTTAGCGGTAACGAATCCAATACGAATTTGATCGGTTTAATCACCTCATTATCAAATTCTTTGAATACCAAGGAGGACTTGGAAGTGGTAAGTGGCTTAGAAAAATTGAAAATCAAGTTAATTACCTTTCTTCTGTACTGTATCTTGAAATATAATAAATTCTTTCAGTTAAAGTCGTTGAATGTAACAAAAGCTGATGAAGTCAAAGCGCTGAAGAACGCCATAACCAAAGTGCACAATAACATAATGTGGGGTCATAGATATAAAGCAGCCGTGGGAATAGCGATTAATTCGATCCTCCATCACACGCATTTGTCTTCATAATCATTGTAAAAGAAATAGTGACGAAAACAGTAGATCAATCAAATAATACAGACCAGAACTAAAATCTAAGCACAACTCAAAATGTCAGCATTATTAGAAACGGCAAAAGGAAATAAAATCAAATTAAAGATTCAGAAAACACATATGAAAAAGTCATCTTTTAAATATCTCGTAGTCAATTTCTGTGACTAAATAGTTTAAAAACGACTCCTGTACATTATATGTTATCTGCAACTTATTCACGTGTGAAACGTGCCAAATTAATATATTTCTAGCGACTAATTATACTATACTATACTGAGACCATACAATATTGCGCCATAACACTAATTCTTAAATACCAGAAATTCATAAGGAAGACGTCAAAGGCAGGCTGCATACGAGCGAACACAAAAAATTGAAATGACCATTGAAGAATGAGAATGCGAGAGCCTGGAATGGTGGTTTGCGACAAAAAGGGTAACAAAGGAAGTAAAAAAAAGAAGTAAAGGAAAAATGTATAAAAAGTGAGCAAAGCGAAAGAAAAAAGAACGCACGCACACGTCTCATGTATGGTACATTGTGTATATTGTGTCTGAAGTTAGCCCGAGTCACATAAGCGAGACCCCTCGTTGTTAGCCAGCACCTTCGTGTAGTGAAGCGAAGAGGACTCGTATAGCGAGCGTGAGTTTCGTGTGGTCAGGAATGTTGCTAAGTAAGGGATTGATTTACGAGCAGTTATCATACCGCCAAACCAAAGCCCTAATAGATTCAGGTCAACGCCACCACTATTCTTCGAAGTCGTTTATAATAAGTCCGAGGGGCCCTTTCTTAAACTCTACCAACCCCGATACTTGGAGATTTTATAACCTTGAGAGAAAAAAAAAAGAGCAGAAAAAGGAAAGAACTATTTACCATTATATTATTCCTCGAGACCATCTTCTTTATCCCGTATACCTTCACGTATAAATTTATTCAAACGAAAATCAGCAGACTTCGTCTGTCAGTATATCAAGTATTGTATGTCAAGTGCAATAAAATAACGCGTATAACGATTGAGTGTACTTTGTTCACGTAATAAATTCTTTCTCGATTATTCTTTAATTGTATTAATAATATTTATAATGTCAATTGTGTAACGATCTAAGAAATATATTAATACAAAAATACGTACCTCAGTCTTTTGTTGGATCAGCGTAGTTACGTTCGTACGACGTAGTTTTACCGACGAACTTAACCTGGCGTCTTTAAACGGAATGAAAGAGCAAAGATGGCGGCAGGACAGGGAAGGTGGTGAATCCTTGATAGAGACATAAGGTGCCGGTACCCGTAGCTTCTTACAGAGGCAGGACCCTTCTTGAAGCTAATGATTCGGTCATTGCAACGGGTGCTAGCCGGGTGGTGGAAAGGAGTGGTATGAGTTGGAGTAGAAGGAGGAGAGCCATGGCGAGGAGACGAGGATCGGCCGGCCAGGAAAGTAAGCCCGATCCCAGTTCGAACGCTTCACCTCGATAGACACTTGCCTACCGCGACACGGAGAATCGATCGATCGTCTATGCATAAAGGATCAGCGGTATTCAGTTATCAGTCAATTAAAATTTTTATTTTTCCTTCGACTCGATTTATTCCTACTTGATCGACGGGACTACTCATAGAAGCTGCTCATGTTTCTTATTTGGGGGTTGCTACTACTACGCACCCCGACGTACGCTGCTGCCGGAAATAGCTACCAGACTTCGACATCCTTCAAAAGTACGTAGACCTATGTAATATAAAATTAAAAGTACAGTTAAGAGACTTTTCAAGAATTTTAATACTTTTATCGTACAAGTTATCAGCTGTTCATGCACGTTTCTTTCGAGTGACATATTAGTGTATCGTAGACCTCGAATAATTTAATAAGGATGTTATCTCTGTTTCGCTGGGTGATACTTCAAATTATTTATTCTTTCGTATTTGTTCTTTCGATTTTGACTGTTTTTTAAATCAGGTTCAATTATTGAAAGTACCTTTTTTTTCGCTCGGGATAGAATGGTGGCCGTGGTGTTTATTGCTTCCGGGCTGTCTGGCGTCCTGGACGAAATACGTCGAGGAATACGATTCTATGAGGGTCGCACGATGCGACGCACGTTGTGGCGAAAATCCACCTGACGAAGTAAGTAGGTCACCCGATATTAGCAGTGTAATTTAAATTGAATAGTCTCTATAAAGAATCAAACTCAAATTGAACACATCGCATGCATTATCGTTATCTGTCCATTCATGGTATATTCATTTCGAGAAGTGTATGAAACGTACAGAAGCTTCTGCTCGTAGGAACAAGTAATATATTGCTAAACATTCATATGGACCTCGTGCTGCTGTTAGGTGCGATTGGACGTGAGTCATTCGACGTTAGCTGTTCTTACACATGTTTTTGCACAGTCCAAATGTTATATTCGAATATTCCCAGCACGTATGCGCATACAAATATACGATTGTATAGTGCCAAGCTTCGAGGTACTTATTAATAAAGAAGCAAATATTTGGAAAACCGGAAAGTGATTTTAATCGCATCGAGCATGAATTTCTGATATAAAAAAGGCATAAATAAAGAAAGACAAAAAGAAGAACTTGATCGCGTTATAGCAAGCGACGGCAAGAAAGGTCCAACTCGTAAGAATTGACTCGGGGTCCTCTTGCTGACACATGGTAATAAAGTCCCGATGTAATGGCCCATTAAGGCCCAATGGAACACAGTAAATTTGCAAGTAGAGTTATAATCAAAAGTGTACTCTTGCAATTATGTCGAAATTGAAACATCTTGGAGGATCGTGAAAAACAGGTTTTTCTGGGGATCAAACAAGAAGCCGCCAATAGGCATATTAATCGATAAGGTTATACACGGGTAACGCTATAATATAATTCGCACTGTAACATTTAAATCACCGCCTACGCATGACCCAAAGGACAGCAGACAATAAAACGAGTGTAGAAATAAGATAACGTAAAATGAAGTACATAACCTCTTAACGTGTCATTAGAAAGAAACAACGCAAGAAAGCAAAGCCCGAGCAGCTACTTCAATATACTTAAATGAAGAAAGAATGAAGAAGAAGAAGAAGAAGAAACATTGATCCAAGCCATAATACCAAGCACCAAATACATCAATGTCCCAGCCGGACTACGCAAAGAAATCTGATCCTGTGCAGGGTCGCGTTTGGCAGATCGATTCCTCTCGAAGCCTTTAACCTATCAAGCTCCAAGATGGCCACTGGTCATCAACCGTAACAAGTAATTCTATTCCTACGAGGGTAATAAACAAGAGCAATCTAAGCGTCGACAGATATCATTGACAGGCCCGAGTTCAATCAATGATACAGAAAACGGTATCAATAACAATGGCGGCTAATTAAATATAAAAAGGACGGACCACCTCGACGCATTCGGCAGTAATGATGTTCATCGTTTGACGTTCTTACAGTAAACTTCATTAACTGGTCAACGGCCCGGCAATCGCGAGCAGGCATAGGCCCTCGCATGCTTCTGCTTTACTTATAAAAAGTAGGCCAATAAGTAAGCGAACCAGTTTCATCGCCCGTTCGAATGATATATGCGTTCCAAGCTGAAGCGGGACGCGAATGCCGGCAGGCGAAGGAACGCCAGGACTTGCTTTTCTTCGGGCTCCGGTCGACCGACCGGAGGCCGGAGACCATCGACGTCGGTGCAAACCTACGTAATACTAAACCGCACGAAACTAAAGACCATTTCGTTTCGGTCAGCTTGCAGCGAAACCGCCACTGCCACTTCGCTCTGCCTCCGTGTTCGTTCAGTGGCGGCTGAAGAGTTGCTAAAATAAAGTTACCAGCCTCCCTCGAGGGCATCGGATATACTCAATTCACTTTCACACGACGAGACGAGAGACGGACACCCCTCTCGGCCACGATCACCTTTTATAACTTGATTATAAAATTTGTTTATATTTTTATTATTGCCATTTTTTTTACTTAAGCACCTGCTAGAGTCAGTTATGATTTAAAAAAATATATTTTAATACTTTTTTGCTCTTCTTTTTATTATGCTGTTATAGTGCATGGGGATTTGCTTGACCTCCAATTACACGAAGCCTGGATTGTGCCCTGAACAGAATTCCATGTCGTCTTTCGAAGCCGCTTGCTTAGATGCCTGCACCGGGGATTCGCATTGTCCTGATATGGCCAAGTGTTGCACACATGATTGCGGTATCACTTGTATGCATCCTATAAGTTTGGATGGCAGAAGTGGTAAGAGCTCACTGATTCTAGATATCGATCGGGTTGATCAGGTTGTAACAATTACCAGGAATATATATATGCAATAATCGTTAACGAAAATGGATTCTCTTGGAGAACTGATTGGGAATGCAAATTGCTGTATATTATGGGGTTCCGTAGCAGTATGCAAGATCGTAAAGTCCCATAAAATCTTCATTTTTATCTTCTTTCAGACCTTCCGGCTATACCGGAGAGTGTTCAGATCCTTCAGCAAAAAACTAATCAGGTACTGCTCAGCTGGCGAAGTCCTCATTCTGCTGTCAGAGGCGCAAACAATGAAGACGCCGGTGTCAGGTATCTGGTCGAGGAACGTCATCTACTGGGACCCAGATATTTCGAATCCAGATTGAGTTCCTGGTCCGTCAGACACGTGTCCAGGAAGCCTCACGCTACTTTGCGTGATGGACTCAGAATGGGTCATTGGTATCAGTTTCGTGTGGCTGCAATCAACAGTAATGGATCCAGAGGATACTCCAAACCATCGAGACCATTCAAGACGAAAGGTAACATGAAAAGTGAAAAGCAAATGACGTCTGAAATTTTGAAAAATTTTATCACAACATATTATGTACTTTGTATCCGCAATAATGCACTACATGGATACTTGTTATTTATCTCTTGTTCACTGTCTTTTTTTTTTTTATTTTCATCAACTGTCAAAGTCCTCTCATGGAATCGGATGCTGGATTAATATTTTTTTATTCTTCTTCCTTTTACTTCACCTTCAGTAAGAACAAGCAAGCTGAGTAAGAATTCTTCAGTATCTGAAAGTATAATCGTATGGACCAACGGTACTTGGAGAATAAATCCATTTCTTACCCTCTGTTTAAAAGTCGTTAACGACAAGTTCTTACCGCCATGAAGGTTGGCAGAGTCAAGTCAACGACTCCACACATGGAGAGGCGACATTCCATTTTATTCGAGATCAATATCATTGAGAAGATACGTTTAGTCGATGGACCGTAAGCGTACCATTTTTCGTAGAAGGCATCGTGCGTCATGGCTGTACTCTAATTTTGAAAATTTATTTTAGCTTGGATATTCAAAAGATTTACACAGTCTTTGGGATTAACGTCAATTAAAATTACCGAGTCCAATAAATTTTGAGCGCAAAAGCATAACACGTATACCTGCATCAAGCAAACGACAGTGTACGAACATACCAAAGCTTGTATAAAATAATCACCAGAACTCTGATAAAAAAAGAAGATTCAATATATACATATATAAGAAACGAGTGTTATAATCGAGGAAATATTGATTTGAAGGAATAACAAATTTCGTTCTTACCGAAATCAGTAAAAATCCCAAAAAACAGAAACGAAATATGCAATTCAGGTAGACGTAGACGACATTCAAGACCAGTAAATTCTTCAGGATTTTTCCAATTCTAAAAATAAAAACTGTTCTTCTTCAACGTTCACCTCTTGTGTTATTACGTAAATTCAATCATCTTACTCCATCACAACTTCACGATGTCGAATCCACTTTTTTAATTCAATCTGTACAGTCTTTTCGATTTTTTCATTTCTCTCATTGTCCAACGATTCGAGATCACTTTTATTAATATTTTCGTTCTTTCCATTAATTATATTAATTAGTTCCAAACTTAAATACTTGTACTGAGCAGTAAGAAGGGTAATGACGTGTATCAAGTAAATATCGATACTAGCTTTTTTCAAAATTGTATAGAATCCACCCAGTGTCTCGAAAAGAATGCCAGCAATAAATAATCCAGTCGAATAAGGTTCACCAGGTATATAAGCAGGTATACGAAAGTCGTTGTAGCTAAATTGATCCTTCTTAAACACTTTGTAGATTGGCGAACCGCAAAACAAAACTACTGTCACAGTAGCGAATATCGTGTAGAGCTTCAAGGGTCTCTGCAAAGGTTTCACAGTCTTCTCCACACATTCCTTTAAGGTTTCGACATTGATTAAAACGCTGTTCATCTGGCCAATCAATCGATAAATCAAACCCCGTCGTAAGTTCATATAAAAACCCAAAATAAGAATCTCAATAACTACAGCCTGGTTGACGGTAGTGTCTTGAAAAATGCGTTGGTTAGTGGTAAAAAAAATTCCAAAAGTCGTAACGAGAAAATAAGTGAATTCAAGGATCCAGGTGAAAGCCGAGTAAAGTTTCTGAGCTTTAGAAAATTTCGTAGCGTCGTCTGTCAACGGTAACAAATTTCCACAGACAAAATTAACCAAACCGTTGAATCTATTGACACTAGAAAAATCCATGTAGAATCTTATTTTCCCGACTACCCGCAGTTAATTACAGACGAATTCTCTGCTCTGTATGACTTTATAAAAACTTTTTCTTTTATCAATCATTCTGTCTATGCATAAAGAACCAGAACGATAATCACAGTCGGGATAGTTAATATGCAGAGCCAACTTCTCTTTTATTCCTTTGTCTTCTTCCCGTGCAATTAACCTCGACTGCTATCAAACTAATTGCTCGACTTTATTCGATGAAAATAATACAAAGGAAGATAGGCTATAATTATACGGCCGAAGTCTCGGAAATGAATGGCACGGAGAAAGCTTGAATAAGGTATACGCCACGAACTGTACAATTTTCTCACTCGACTACAAACTGTCTTTGCAGAGCCACGAAATCCGAAAGTTCCTCAAAATCTCACGGTGAGCGGCGCTCGCGTCGTTAACGACAAATTACGTATTAATCTACGATGGAAGCAGCCGTCATCGGACGCACCGATATTGTTTTATCGAGTATTTTGGACTCGGATGATTCACGGACCAACCAATGACTCTATCCTGGTATACCGTCGCACGGTACCCAAGGTAATGATTTCAAAAGGTATCGCAATCATTGACTATATTCATAATGGATAAGCCACGCGTGCTTTTGGTGTCGAAGTAAAATTTAAAAATTCTCACCAACCTCGTCGCCCGACTTTAATGACTTCCATTAAAAACTTTACAGGACAAAACGTGCTACGAGCTTAAAAATTTGGAATTAAGCTGTCAGTACTTTCTTCAAGTCCAGGCAGTAGCGATTTACGGCGGCGAACGTCTGGTTTCTCAGAAAGCTTCGAAAGTCTTCAACAGCACCGACTACGGGAAATTCGGTAAGTGACTTCATGAACTTTCCTTTCCATTAATCCAGCAAGGTCCCACAAGGTCGATCGTACTGAACCCGTAACGACGACCGAGTGCAAATGAGTGCGATGATCATCGGCGAAGTCTGCTTTATGCGAAGCTGCCACTGGAAGACGTTCGCGTAGGTGCGAACGGCATCAGGATGGTCTCCACGTGCGCCGAATGATCTGTCATTGCGGCGAGATAAAAGCACGTCTTGTCTGGCCGGCAAACGCCAACGCGGACAGGTACAACGTCACCTGGAGACAGGAATCTTGCTCGGCGTCATCTCGGACACGTGATCCGGATTCCCATCGCAAAACAATGTTCAGGGTCACCGAGGTAAATTGACAAGGACATCAATGACACTTGGCATAGCGACACGTTCCATGGTGTATGACGTTCTTACGTATGTTAAGTACCATAGTACTTACACTTGACCCGTGTACGTTTTAAAATTGAGAAAGTGGAGAGTCTTGTGAATTCCGTAGCTTTTTTGTTCTTTTCGTTTACACCACTTTGACACGCTGATTCTTTTCATGAGTTCTCTTTTACAGATTTTTGTACATTTATTTATTTATTAGAATCTCTATAAATAACGATCGAAACGAGGGGTTATACGATAATGACTCTTTCTTAATGCAACATTATTTTTCAATTGGCAGAAAAGTCATTGCGACGTCCTTCAATTGAGGAATAACTGTACGTACGTAGCGAACGTACGGAATATACTTGGGAAAGGTAAACTAGAGGAACATGGAAGTAGCATAGAATTTTTGGCAACCGGATGTCATCATGGCAGACACAAAGAAATCGGCCAAGATAAATCGTCTCAGTGCAAAAGTAAATCGAGAATGAGAAGACAGTATTTTGGATTTTAGGTAGACCCTGTGAAATTATTCTTTTTATTATTACCTAAGATCGTTCTCTTACTTTCGCGAGCATTAAAGCACACGCGAATAGATATTTCAAAAGTTTCAAACTCATTGTTCCATCGTACGAAGAAGCCTTAACAAAAATTGTAGTTCGCTTCTTTGTTTTTTTTTTTTTAATAAAAACGCCAAAATTCGAGTTACACGAATATCATACGATTTTTATACTTAACAGTACTTCTAGGCGTATCGTTATTTATATTTTAATTAACATATATAATTCTTAGATTCTGTAATTAAAGCGCTTTCGCAGAATCTATTCCGTGTCAGACTTTATTTATAAGCACTATAAATCATGCCAGTAGCCTTATCTTGGCACTATTTTTATGGCTTTACGAACCCAAATTTATTGGCACGTCAAAGAATCAATATTAACCTTTGTGGACGATGCGTTATGAAAATGTTGTCGTTCTTCTTAATTTTTTTGATACCTTAAGATTACACGATAACAGGCATAGTCAATTTTCCACAATAGTCGCAAACTATCCGATCTATTTACGTAATTATCGTATTAGGATATATGTATTGTAATATATATGTGCACCGAAAGTGTGTGTAATTTAATTCGCACTTGACAAATAATATCAAAGAAATTAAATCGCGTTGAAATCGACCACGTGCGGATACCGATCCGCGACAGATTCCCTTAATCATTTTGATTAAGACGACTAACGACTGCAGACAATTAATTGCTAGATGCTCACGATTCAGAGCGGAATTTCAATACCAATTGGAACGCGTGTTAAATGATTAAATAGAAAATCAGTAGATCGAACAAATCATTTAAGCAACTTCAAATAGATAAGGAACATCTGATTAATAATAACGATACGTTTACCCGATAGCTAATTTCGATCCACGCAATAGTAAATAGTTGGCAGATATTACGATAGATTGTTATCGCTCCGCCGAGTAGTCAAATAAGTTCTTTATTCGATAACTATGTACACGCGTTATCGATAGAACTGATTTGAAAATGGCACTGGTACATAATACTGTATAGAAGCTTTGGAAAAATTCAAATTCAATTTGGATTAATCAAATTCCCTATAGATCACAGTTCCTATGTCTAAAGTAATATTACTTACGATGAACTGTAACTATGACTAATCAGAGGAAGGTTAAGCAACGTGAAGAGAAGACTAGATCGCAGTACAGATGACGATGCAGCTGAATAACCTTCCAAATGATGATAGACTGTCCGAGATCCTAATTCTTGAAGCGGCCTGTAGTTGTAAAATAATAAGCCAGAGTTCGATTCTACTCTCATGAAACTCGTCAACTGTAAATTGAGTAAAGGTAATTTTTCATTTTACTTTCCATCGGATATACATCGCTCGACGTTGCATTAGAAATGGCGCTGGTGCGGTATGAAGATTAAATAAATCAAAGCGAAGAGGAATTAATTATATGAATCAATTGATTTTACCTGTGACTGAGAAATCTTCAATTTCTCCGTCATGACTGTCCAAATCACACCCTCCTTGCATTCCGGGGTCGTTAAGGATCCTTGGTATCTGTAAAAAGTTGTGTGATCCGCTGGCAAAAGTAGGTATGGAATTATCTTTGTCGGAATCTTGGCTGTGCTGCCCCCTACCCATGTTGACACTGACTCAGTGGCGTTTAGAATGGATTCAAGATTTTCGTTGTCTTCTTCGCTTAGCTGGAATTTAAAATAAAGAAAATAACTCTTCGGCCGCCAGTCGCTCTACAAAAATTTCTATGGAACAGTCAAATCTTACCTCGAACAACACAGCTACGACTGCTATGCCGTTCTCGTATTCCGAGGCCACTGTCATATTGTCATACTGTTTATCGTAATGTACGAAATGTAATTCCAGCGCATCGCGCGTGCCATCTATGGTGTGTTCGGCTCCCCAATGAAAATGCATCTGCTCCAAAACGTACGTGGACGGTAATCCTCCTCCTTTTAAATGAATCGGTACTCCGTTCAAGGTAATTTGTACTGAAATAATTAAAAAATTTTTTTCACAATCTTCTATGTATCATATATGTATTGTACACGTGCATAATGTTGTACTTACCGGTATGGCCGTTATTGATGATGTTGGCAGAGAAGGCAAAGTCATAACGAATAAATTTAAGGGGCGCTAAGTCTGTTTTGACTGCATCATCCGTTACGATGTTGATTGGAGATTGGTTGGTTCCTTTTTTACACACCCCTGGCCAATAATTCGGACCTGCAAATCATCAAAGTGACCTGACGCCTGCTGCATGATTCGCCGCTGTTGCATACCATGTGTGCATTGCTTAAAGGATAACTAATAACACTTGAAATGCTAAAATAACTATGCATCGTAAACGCCCTAGGTACGGGATCGGATGAAAATGTGAGGCCGTCGATTTGACAGCTGATCGGTAATTGATCGTGCCGATTAGAGATACTGCGAATTATTAATTTCAATTAAACAGTCATATGGCATAATGCTGACAATATAAAATTATTTAAATATTTATTGGCTCTATAGTCTATCACTGGGATTAAGGAATTTTTAATATGTCCGATTTAAAAAAAATGATACATCGGCTACCTGTCCAAGCGATATTTACCCGTCAAATTTTAAAATTCAAAACATCACGCCTATGAACGTGCCAATGTGATCATATTTCACAAAACATGCTAGTGTATCGTATGTGATTCGCTTATCGGTCACGTTGTTTCAAAGAATTAACGTGGAATCGTATTACTTTTTCTGAATACGCCAAACAGACTCGAGCGCTTCAAGCAAAGCATTTTTGCGCCTGTTAATCTCATTCTAATGTACGTTATCATTCAATTTGATAGACTCAATCAAAACCATCTGATAATATCTCGCTATCTGCGATTATCTATTTTTTTAATCAGTTTATGGACAATTTTCAAAATACAAAGTCGATATCCATAGTGACGTCATTTTACAACTCTCATGGTGTTACTGTGTTATCTGGTAGGACCGTCATGGTAGTTTACAAAGTTAATGACGAAAATTGAAACAAGGACTTTTCAGAGACTCGCAAGTATATTGACAATGCGTTATAACGCTGCCAATTCTTGTTATATTTAATTTCAAGTTTCTTGGTTATTTATTCATACTTTTAATACCAAAAGACGTACTTTTCACTGGACGAGTAATTTTATAAGCAACCCCTGTAGCTTTGTCCTAGCTAAATAAGCCTCCTTTAGATAGTTCTAAGGTTGTGCACAGTGTTGCCAGTTGTCATGTATTTTTCCCAAGCCATCTTTATACAATTAATATTTATATCTAAATTGCAATTTTTCTTATCACTGTCCAACCCATTTAATTATCTCGGTCATGCGACTGAGTCTAGAGCTTTCAGTGCATATTCTAAAGTTCATGGGAAAAGTATGACATTTTTTTTGTCCATTTCAACACACAAACTGCACTATTGAGCTCTAATAATACGTCGCTTCTATGACCTGGCACAAGTAGCAAAAAATATCGTTACTGCAACTTGTCCCTGATATAGAAAATAAAAGCATAGCAAATCAAGAAAAAAAAAATGTAAGGATTAATCAACCGGACTAACACGTATCTCCAAATGGGATATTACTCGCGAATTATAAAAGTTACATAAAAATTGCCCAAACACTAGAGTTTCCCTAAAGACCATAATAATTTAAGTAAAATACTATGCACTCGTTGCTTTAGATTTTTGTGCACTAAACCTATATATCTTATTCCAGGTATTGATCGAGGCAATAAAAAAATCCTTTCTGACGACAGATCGTGGCTTATCACGTTGAGGACGACGTAAAAGAGACACGAAGACTTTTACTCGAGAACAAAGCGTGCATAGTTCATCTTGCATGCTGAGAAACTAATAAGGGGATTTGAGAAATTATAAATAATTCTCACGACACTTGCGATCGATATAAAATCAATTCTTAGAACAATAACGCAAAATCGATCGGTTTTATTTGTCATGAATTTCGTCGCTGGACGACACTGAGAAACTTTTCGATAATATTTCTCAGATATATTGATTACCGTATTTTACATCGTCTTACGATAACGGTATGGCGTTAAACAAGTAAGGTTAGTCGCAAATTGGCAATTATTCAATCCGTTACTATAGCGCATCATTTCCTCAATCAGTAGCCCACAGCGAGCAGAACGATCCGTTTGAAATGGTCACTCGGTCAGTCTACGAAATCATGAGAGTCATTGAGACGTTCAAAAGACCTTTTTTTTGATATCAACATTTTCAAATGCGTAATTAAAAAAAAATCAATAATTTACAATATGGACAATGCGAATGACCCATGAGATAAATGAACGTGAGAATTTTCGATTATTCGACAATTTTCGTTTTTTCTAAATCATTATATTATTTGTATACACGCTCGATTAGTTTTCAAACCAACTGCCATAGTGCGCTACCCTAATCAGTGTATGAAATTAAATAATCATAATGCATTACCGGTCTCCCCCCAGTAACTCCAATCGGATGCTTGTACTACATATTGACCTGAAATAGAATTTTCGTTGATTAACTGAAATAATAGTGATTTATTATAGGCTTATATGAATTATTTTAATTGCCTTAACATTCTTACTACCGTAGTCAATCGGACGATTAATTTATAAAGAGCTTGCAGATTCGGCTAAGCGATTACCGAATGATTATTATCTTGCTATACTTTTATCTCATTGTAAATTCCATGCGAATCGTATAGTGTCAATCAAGAACTGTTAAAGCGTTGAAAGATCTTCATCGATTGATTTAATCACCATTGGAATCATACTTTTTATTAAGGATAACCAGATGACAATATAATTGACACTATAGTACGATTAGGTGAAGCTATAATCGCATTGTAGCTAATTAATAAATCTGAATTATCATATTTTAATTAATAATTTTATTTCTGTCGCTTGAAAATATTGCAACGATCTAATATTTTTAATCTCATTCTTGCAATTGGCTCCAGTGCCATTTCAATTAATTATTTAATCATTTAATTTTGCAAATGACGTATATAATATAATTTATAGGCTGATTATGTCGCTTTTTTTAATTTCTTCTTTTTCATTTTTGGCTTTGTGCCCCAATCGAGGCCTAAGTGCCAGACGATATAAGGTTTATTGGCTGATATTGACTGATTTGTGGATATTATAGAAATATACACAAATTCACTCTAATTATTTATATAATTTAATAAACGATCAAAGGGAATATTGGATTTGCATATTAAAATCTTATTATGCTATTAAATTATTGTTTTTTAAAGAAAGTTCAGTACCATTCCTATCATGTAAATAGTGGTATAAATTATCTGCACGTCAATTTCTGACAGAGCTTAGCAATTGCAATTTTTATCTTTACAGATCTTGATGACACTTAGAAAATAGTGGTCTAAATTATCTGCACGTCAATTTCTGACAGAGCTTAGAAATTGCAATTTTTATCTTTACAGATCTTGATGACACTAACACTGTTGATAAAACAAATTCAACATAACGATAATAATCTTTTCTTATCTCCTTGTCTGGCTAATTGACAATACAATGTGTATTAATATTCTATTATTTTTAAGTAAATTACATTTTACTTTTAACGACCAATTAATCAGGCAAAAATCCTGAAGAATCAGCGTCCTTCTTATTGTATTTATTCCATTGGGAATTTGAGATGTGAATTAAACGCAATTAACTATTAAAGAGAAATACTAGATTCTAGTCATACGCTAAAGCTTTGTACGTTACTTCGTGTATAATTGAGGTACAATTCTATCTAATCAAAAATACTAACGACTCCTTCTTTATTCATGCTTGTACTTTGACGAATGATTGAACGAAAGAACCCGCAGATTTTAATAACTGTAATACATGCTTCCTGTCTGACATCCAATGGATGACATGCAGAAGACCTCATCACCTCGATGACCTCCGCACTAATACACTGGGTCGAAAAAAACTTTTGCGGTCAAGTACAAGAATTCTTTTTTAAATAAACCTAAAAATAGATAAAATTTCACAAAAAAATTCTTAATTAATAAAAAGTCAACCCCTTCGAGCTGTACGACCGTGTACAGGAAGAGTACGAGAAAAAAATGAATATAGAACTCGAAAACAGAAGTTAATAATTAAAATTCGTAATTTCTCTACAGAGTGACCTAATTAATGCAATAGCTGCGATCCATTGGATAAATTAAACCTTTCCTGATATAAAATAATATTTTCCCCCAATTTGATTTTTTTTAATTTTCACTCGTCAAGCAACACAAAATTTTTTTTTCATTTCTTTACCTGAGAGTACAGTCACCAGTAAAAATATGATAATGCTCATTGTACACAATTTAAGAAACACTATCGATTAGCTAATCGACGAGATGTGACCGGTACAACGACAAGTAGACGACTGGACTCTCTTAAATATACTCGCCAACCCTCCGAGATTACACAAGATCCCATCCTCCCGCTGAATTGAACTTGTACGTACATCGTATTACGCACTACCGAACATTCGCTCCACCACTACAGTTTTATGCCATGTATAGATACAATATATGCCGTTACGATATGTGTATATAAATTCGCAAACGGAACAGGTACACGAGGATAATAAATTTTAGACAAGACAAGCGATAGACGTAGATCAACTGTGGACACGATTTCTGTCGTGAGTATCCGTATCTCTGCAAGGAGATATATTCACTAAAATTTTCCGACAGTAATTCGCAACGGATTATGAGCTAAGTAAAAAAAATGTAATGCCATTCGGATACCTTTTGAAAAATCGTAAAACGATAACAAATATTTTGTCATTCAACACCCGTGGTAAAGAAATAAGTTTCTGTGGATTAAAGAATACGAAGGAATAGGAAATTTGTCAAACGATATTATACGATAATAAAGATAATCCGTCATTTGATTAGTGACTGTATTTTTTGTACATATATGTATATGTATACGTTAGAAAGTAAATTGGGCCAGGGAAACAAAATTTGTATTTCTTGTTTGAAAGAAATTTTAAAAATGGTATATAGGTACACCTTAGCTCGTGCGTTGGGGTGAGAGTTCATTTTAACAATATGTAAATCTTTGAGGTACACTATCGGTGACGCTATGGGGTTTCAAAATTATAGATACGCTTGATTGACGCACTTGATTGGTATCCCACGGTCGTTAAATCGAATTGACGGGATTTTCAAATTAATTAAATTTTTACTTTATTAGCGCGATTCCTCAGCTCGGACGCTCTAGTTTATTTGACGAAGAATTTTATTGAGGTTATAATGAGACCCGGGGGTCACTGAAAAACTTAACCTTTATGTTTTCAATTGTACGGCTTAGGTTCGTCATTGTCGTCTCTTAGAGGATTGACTGTGAAAATTCTATGTTTTTCCCAAGCAATAAATGGGCCTTGGCAATGGCGTGCTACGATCGCGTGTTTCTTTCGGCACCATAACAGTGGCGTACGTAGTACTTCGGGGCCCCGTAGAATATCCGACATTGAAGTATCTTCTGATATGTGAACGGAAAAAAAAAACGTTAAGTAGCTACGTTTGTGACAGGCCCAAAAACGCCATGTCATGATACACATAACTTAACTAGCCGACCAAGTGATCAAACTTCACATACACAAATATCTTGTAAATATTTCTAAGCTTGTAAACGTAAAAACCTGTTTCGACTGTCTGACTTAATAAGGTATGTAAATTATTAAATTCATCACAAGACATACCAATAGTCATGGCCTTCCGCATAGAGTTACCATTTGCCATCGCGTTAACAATTAATCAGAACTCGGCACCAGCCCAATTACTGCAAATGACCAACCGACAGGATTAACGTTGTAATTGCGGCGTAACGTCAGGTTGGGTATGTATTATACAATAGAAAAACTATTAAAGTTGAAAATTGATTTTTAACATTGTTTAAACTTATATCGATCATCACTAAATACTTTATATCCCATATCAACCATACATAACACACCCATACGTTTGTTCTTCGCTCAAACTATAATTAGCTGTCCAATCACTGTTACATACACTAATATTAATAAAGCTATAAACTAATATTTAATTACCAATTAAAATCGTGAATCCAGCACTAATTAATTTTAACATAATAATTTCTATTATATTTATTGATTATAAGCAAACTCTGATGCATACAGTATAACGACTTAGGAGCAACTGCGATTCTAGAAAATACAGTAGTGCTATGGGTACATATGTATATATATATTCAACCCTCAAAGTAGATTGCACAAGGCAGTACCAGTAGCCATGTAACGAAGTCACGAATGATTTACGATAGACACCTTGCATGCGAAAATTCGCGAACGAAAGACTCGCAAAATGTTGATTCGCGAATTTTCAAAATTATCCCAACAATTCAATGCTCGAGGGAATACATTGGTTTTTGAGATTTTTTATACTCCTTTTAAACAAAAAGAAATTCCCTCTGAACCTTGAGGTCACCGGTTCGAATCCAAGTCGGGTACAAGTATTTTTAGATGTCTGGGCATGAGATGATCTCGTCAGCATCTTACACGCATGTACGATACGGAAAGGAGTGTGCAAAGTTTTCCGTCGAGCGACATGTCACTCGTGATCGATTGCTACTTGTAATCGAATAGACCTTATCGTCTATATAATATTAAAAGATACAATCGATGATTACTTTATTTACTGATACAGGGCATTAATTTCTGGCTTTGGGGCATTACTTTCGAAATTTACAACGGAGGCGACAAATAATTGGTGTCAAATTTTAATTTATGATGGATCGAGCACCTTATTTGATAATTATTATTTATATTGGCACTGTACTTTAGGCGCGTTTTAACATGCTCATAAGACGTTTCGCCATTTTCAAAGCGAAGTGGAAATTGCCCGGGATATTTCCCCTTAACCAGTTATCTGGTTATAATTAATTATATCGTGTGAGCTTAAGCTGATCGGTCAGGCAATTTACGAGTCGACCTCTCTGTACAATATTATTCATTGATGTCCTTCGACGCTTGATGATGATTAAATATTTACGCTTTTTTAATCTCTATATATATTTTATACTTATTTATAAACAGTCTGACGTTGAGTTAGTTTTTTTTTATTTATTCTCTATTTTTTCCCTTCTTCTATAGCTACCTTACGCTTTGTATCTTTCTTTATTTCAATTCCTTCTGGCGCGCCACGAATTCCTACAAAGGATTCTCGCTTCTATTGTTCCTACGACTGGTTTCTATTTCGACTATTCTGTACTTGGTATCACTGTACCGGATATAGAAAATGTGTAGTGGATGTGGAAAATGTAAAAAAAATAATTGGAAGCCATAGAATCTTGTAGTCAATGAATCTTAAATAGCATTGCATTATTGATAAACATTTTTATTTTCCCCCTAGAATGTTGGAATCTAAAGGTAATATAGACTTGCTTGATGTTGACTCAAAGAAAAGTCGACCGCTATTTTTTAATCATTCTTTGTCCTTGTCTCATTTTTGACTTCAACGATTCATATGAAGCATAACGTTCCAGTTTCAGCTACATCGAGTGGTGCCATTAAACTCGTACGAGTGTAAATAAGCAAATATAAATAATATAGTCTTTAAACCTGACACACGAATCGGTCATAGCCGCATACATAAGTATCCAATAATTCAAACAGAATGAATGGCTCAGTTGCGAAAAATTATTTTACAAAAACCAGATATGCTAATGAATTTCGCAATACTTAAAAATAAATTGCGCGATTAAGTATTTTATTCGTACTTCATTGTACACCCTGTATAAAGCAGGTTGGCACTAGTTGGCACTGAACACGGTGAAATCTAACTATTTCGAGTTCCCGCGTACGAAAACGTGAGATTCACGAGCACTTTCAAAATCCCTACTTCTAACAGGAATACAGATACGCATCTACAAGCTGTACAACAATATCCTTAAGGTGATAAGATCTTAATGTTCAACCTTAATTAATAATCCCATCTCGTAAAATCCAATGAGAATTAACACACAGCGCAAATTGAAAAACTAACCTTACAATTTTTCAACATAAACATAAACATCAACCAAACCATAAATTTGCATCACTCAATTCCTCACAGCATATCTTGACAGCCTGCCAAACCGCTTCAACCAATGAAACAAAAGTTTTAACGCATCCACGCACAGCGCGTATCATTTAAATCAATTAAAACCACCAAATATAAAAAGTATCAACAGACAGTACAAAACCTGCGTAACCACTAGATTCTCATAGCCCATTCTAATGTCCGTTCTACAACAAATACTTTCTCATTTCTTTCACTCCGTACCAATCTGACTTAGAGACATACTTTTTAAAATTACCCCAATGACACAATTCTCATTCTTAAAATTCGCTTTCTAGTCCCCTGATACACTTTGGCAAGGTCTCAATTGCACAATTCTTTTTCTTCTCTTTACTACAAACAAAATTTAACTCTGTCGCATCAATAGTTCAGAGCCAGGAATGAGCTACAACAAAAAAACCTCCCTTACGCCTTAAGAGCTACTTAAATACATTAAGAAGTTCCATATAAAAGTCCACGATGATTATCCCATGGTGATGAACATTTGGATGATACCTGATGATGCCAGAAGACCATCAGTTACACCGGTAAGTGGGAGTGGCGTAGCTGCCACGTCCGAGGACAAGCGACTGACAAAAATAGAAAAGCGTACGAAGTCATAGTAGTATCCAACGAGAGGTAGCGTTCCATGTGAGTTCCTTAGTGTTCCGTAGTACGCGAAATCCAAAAGACATGGCACGAGTCCCCATGAGATCATCCCTTAGAAGTAGAGACTCATCGAGCACCTCGACCGGAGCGGATCCTCGCGAGAGGATAAAGGACTGCTGTAGAAAGCTCGTAGCTTTCATGTGTACTCAGGTCGGCGTCGGTGGTTTGGTCGTTGGCTACGCCATAGTCGGTGCTTTCGGTTTCATGACCATCGAGACACGGCAGGAATATTCCCACTTGGCCGAAGTCGACAAGCTTCGTAACATCAGTGCCAAAGAACTCTGGATAAAAACGGCAGCAGATCCCGAGGTGAACGTCTTAAATAAAACAGCATTCGACCTGAGGACAAAGTTGATATTAAAGAAGTTTCAAGAAAATTTTACACTTGCCGTTAAACGTGGATACGACGGTAGAAAGGCTATAGAGGTCTGGTCATTTCCGGCTGCACTTATGTTCTGTCTTTCTATATTTACCATGATCGGATATGGTAACATGGTACCACGTACCTCCTGGGGTAAAGGTACCACTGTGATGTATGCTGTCTTCGGCATACCATTGTATGTACTATACTTCTTGAACATGGGTAAAGTTTTGGCACAAACATTCAGATGGTTGTACAGGTGGATTCATGAGTGCAGTGGCAAGCAACGTACTGGTCCGCGTATCATAGTACCCTCGACAGCTTGTTTATGGGTGATATTTGGATATATCGCAGCTGGCGCCATAATGTTTGCCGAATGGGAAGGATGGAATTATTTGGACAGTGCTTACTTCTGTGTTACGTCGCTCTGCAAAATTGGTATTGGTGATTTCGTACCTGGTGCTAATATCCTGGAATCAAAAAGTGGCAGTCAGACTAAATTGGTTATTAATTTTGTATATCTTCTACTGGGTATGGGATTGATTGCCATGTGTTACAATCTGATGCGAGAGGATGTCAGAGTTAAGGCTCGTGAACTACGTGAAGACTTGAGAGAGGCTTTGGAAGATATTAGGATTAAAATGCTTACGTGTTGTCGGGGTAATCCAGATTGAAAGGCGCTGTATCGATTGACGTATTGATTCCGTGAATGGTAAACTTTTGGATGGTCAAATTAGTTTTTTAAATTACTTCAAGAATTCTTGCAGTACCGGAAGTATTGGTTGTTCAGATAATCGAACTGGAATTTTTTTGAGGTTAGAAATACTAGACTGCACTCCGTATATGAAACCAGATGTATTTGGAGTCTGTATTTAGAAAGGAAGTAAGATGCAAGAAAAGGTCATTGGTCTCTTTTATTATTGTTATTATTGTTATTATGCTAACGAGACTTGCCAAAATCATTAACACGTTATTCGTATATCAGCTTTGGCACATCTCGAGTGTTTATTTTGCGAAGGCGCAACGAAATGCAAGAATTACACAATATGAGGTCTTTATCAATCGTACGTGAAGATTTTGGATAAATGATAAAAAGTGCGGTATAAAGATTTTGCGGACGCAACTTTTCTTAAATTGAGATAAAAAGTGGGAAAAATGTATTTATGGGTTGTGAATATTTCGCAAAATATTAATTTTTTTTTTAATTACGTTACTCAGGTGAAAGTGAATGCGATGACGTCGTGAAACGCATTCGTTGCTTATACATTATTGAACATTCACATTTTGTTATATTATTTATACGTATTAACGATCCAATTTACATAGAGCACGACGCTTGTTTGGTACAATGACAAATAACAATTGTAATATAAACAGTTGGTTTACGATACAAAATGTATTTTTATTCAATCCCTTTTTATTTAAACAACCTCACGATTCTTTATATCCACCACAGCGATTAGTACATAATATTTTTATTATTTCTTAATATAACAAATACGCACTGAACAATATTTTTTAATATTTGTTATCGGATAAAATTCAATACTTAATCATTATTACCTCTCTAGAGAATCGAATTATCTAAGCCTATATTAAATACATCTCGGAAAAAAACCACTTCATATATATCAAGTATAATCTGTGTATGAAAATCCTGTGGATATTAGGTCATAAATTTAACCAATAAACAGATAAAAGCAGGGCCAATGGAGAAACCCTTACTGAATCACTGCATCTAGCGAAACCTAGTAAGGGCAAAGTACTGGGCCTGCTTTTATGTTTGCTGGGCTAATCTATATGTAAATATCAGATTGCAGAAAATATGAGCAATTTAATCTCAGAACAGTCTCAATATACGTCTACGTTAATTTGACATCGAATCAGTTTATCGTGGACGAAACGTTTTTAAATTTCAATAGGTGATGAATTCATTGAACCGTGACGCATAAAGATACCTTTCTAGTTTCAGTGAAATAGCTGTGGCCTAGTAATGTTACGAAAATAAACCCGCATCCGCTTTTATAACTTTCTTAGCTCTTGCCTGTTCCAAGTGAGTTATATTTGCGATTTCATTGTGCATACGGATGCTACCAAACAGCTATATTAATTAGGTTAATTAGTAAAACTTCATATTAGATAATTATTAAAAGCTATTACGAAGATACGTCATATGTTCTATCTATTAATGTGAGAATAGATGTGTAAATTATTTTTGATATTTAAAGTATGTTAGATCATTTTCTCATAGGTTTTGTTAGTTGATCCTGAATTTAAATGTACGAAATCGATTGCGAGCTCGCCAACAATGTCTGCACAACCTCCCTAGGTTGAGCTTTGTAAAATAAGGGTAGTACTGCTTGGTCGTTTTATGGTACGTTACGTTCAGATTGATTGAAATGAATTTTGAACGAGATCATTTTTAGTTCTGGTGAAGACTTTGTACGTGGATGTTTGTATGTACAGCTATTGATAAGTTATTGATATGGAATCCAAAATTTTTTATTTAAATAAAATTCCTGGATTTGCTGGACGATGCAATGATATTTTGTACTCATCTCCATTGAGAGTAACAGCGGTGCATCGTCTTATTGTATTTTTTGGCGGGGATGTACAAGTATGTTTTAAATATATAAGTAATCGAGTAATATATATTATAAGGTTTTGGAGCAATTTTATAGAATTTGTTTGCAATAGGATTTGAAATCATGTATGGAGAAACATAATGACAGTAAACGATATCTCATGTGGAGTTTGGAAAATACATTATCTATTTTATCTAAACGGTTTCCTCAAAGTCATATAATGATTGTTCGACCATCAAGGTAATAAAGAGTATTGCTTTGTTTTGGAAGACAATAATAATTTTGTGCATGCACTTTAGGATGGAGATTAAGAGTTACGCAGTATTCAGTTGCTATGACAACTTTGTACCAGGAGATGAATATGGGGTGCCATCGTTTAAACCAAATAACAATGCGTTGCTGCATTTAAGTAAACTGCTTCGCTCTGTTTTGACTCAAGTTTCTCAGCAGGTGAGGTCTGTCGTATGGAATTTTGTAATAGAATTATTAATATCTTTATCAATACCATGTTTATTGATGGTATCAACAAAATTCATTTGTATTAGGATATACTTGGAGTAAACTTAACGTTAATGGCATTCAGTAAAGGATGTGTTGTATTAAATCAATTTCTGCATGAATTTCATCATATACAAAATCAAGAAAACTTGGATGAAAATTTAAAGGATCTAACAAAACGCATTAAAGATATTTGGTGGTTGGATGGTGGTCATGCAGGTACCAAAGACACATGGATAAATGACAAAAGAATTTTAGAATCTTTTGCCAAATTAGGTACGTTAGTATTGGATATGAGCTGTGGGAACGTTAAACATTGGATACTTAAAAACTTTTATGTTGTAGGAATTAAAGTTTATGTATACGTGACACCATATCAAGTTAATGACAAGCGTCGTCCCTGGATTAAAAATCAGGAAAACTTATTTTGTAAAACTTTACAAGAATTACATGTACCTGTTCAACGCACTTTACATTTTAAAGAGGAGAAGCCTAGTCTTACGACTCACTTTAATGTGCTTACTGTAATTAAGGATATTTCTACGTAATAAACAACATACTTAATTAGATATATTGCTTGCACATTCTTTTACATCTCATAGGTCGTTTATTACAAAATAGTAACATTCTTGTGTAAAAAACTTTATCTATGTTACTTACCAAGAACTATACTTAGTTACATTCAGTCATTTTTTTTTCAGTATCTTCTAATTATCATTTATTTTACTTTATATTATTAGCAGTGATTTGAGCAGGGAACTTGGTAGCGTTTTAACCGCTGTTGAACAGCAACTAAAAACAATAATATTATTTGTAACAAAATATTAATACAAACCTATCTAAGAATTTTCCATAAATAGCATTATAGAGTATAAGTAAACATACTGTCAAGTTTATTGGGTAATGTAATTTCAGCCCATTCATCAGATCCATCACAGCAATCGCAAAAGCCATCGTTTACCTTATATGATGAAATTTTCTCTAAAATTAATCAACAAACACAAACATGAATTAAACTTGTCAAAATTCATATCATTAAAATGAATAAAAATAAGTTATTTGTTACCTGCAGAATGCAAGGAGGAAGCTTCACAATAGAAGATACCATTGTTGCATGCATTGGTACCTGGTTCATCACTGCCATCCAAAGGACAGTCACAGTAGTCATCATTAATTTTAATGAAATCTATTTCATCCTTTGATGTGAAACATACAAATTTCCCTCGTGCATTAGGAAGATACTTGGAAATGTCTTTGGCTTGGGTACCTCGCAATGACACATTGCCTTTCCCAACAGGTATGAGTTTAGAATGTAATGGTTCGTTCCACTTGGAATTTGTTTTCTTAGCAATTACATTGTCACCATTATGACTATTGTTAGTGGTACTCCATACGATTACTCGATTTAACTCTTTAAAATACAACAATTGATAAGACACAAAAAATACACCTACTATAACAACACTTAGCAGCATGTATTTAATTTTCCTCCGAAAAAGATGTTTCATCCAAAACACTTCATTTTTCATTGTAAATTTTCGTTTGTTACTTTACCGGCACAATTATGATGTAAACACTGCTGAGAAACAAATATGTTCAATATTCAACATTAAATTATGCGCACGTTATGAAGAACTCATGTTCACCAATCTAAAGCAATGTCTTGCAAAATAAAGTAAGGATATGTACATTGAGCTACTGAAACGTGTTTCTCTAGGAAATAAAATACATAATATAGTTTACATGTCACATTTAAAATTATTTGTTGTTAACCTTTTTGTAGGAGACACCCGGTATATTTCTCTGGTGGATTCTTTGAGAATTCACTAGGGTTTTAAAGTACTTTGGTATACCTGTTTAGTGCTTTTGACTACTAGTCTCTTTGGCGTTGTCGTTTGCTCAACATAACCTTAACTTCAATTTCAAGTATATTCCATCCACTTTACTAGATATAGTGTTATTACAGTAAATATGTCTATTGAAATTGAGTCAGCCGAGTAAGTAATTGATAATTGAAAATGCTATGGTATAGATATTATATGCGATTTTATGTTTCAGCGTTATACGATTGATTCAGCAATATTTGAAGGAATCAAATCTTGTAAAAACTCTACAAACTCTTCAGGTATTCTATAGAAAGTATAATTAATCATTCTAATACTTGTCATTATTTGCAATTCGTTATACAAACATTTTTCTGACAGGAGGAAACTGGTGTGTCTTTGAATACTGTTGATAGCGTTGATGGGTTTGTAGCTGATATAAATAATGGACATTGGGATACCGTTCTTAAAGCTATACAGTCCCTTAAGTTACCTGATAAGAAACTTATTGATTTATATGAGCAGGTACACCAAAATCTTTTGACACATTATTTAAAGTATACTTGATAATATATTTGAATCATTCCTAAGGTGGTATTAGAATTGATAGAGTTACGAGAGTTGGGAGCTGCAAGATCATTATTGAGACAGACTGATCCTATGATTATGATGAAACAACAAGAACCTGAACGTTATATACATCTAGGTAATTGTACATTATAACTGTATAACGGAAGTTCTTGCAGCAAAATTATATTTTTGATTTGTTTTAGAAAACTTGCTTGCACGTTCTTACTTTGATCCACGTGAAGCATACCCTGATGGTAGTACAAAGGAAAAACGACGAGCGCACATTGCAACTGCTCTGGCAGGAGAAGTATCGGTTGTACCATCCAGCAGGTTACTCGCTCTCTTAGGACAAGCATTAAAATGGCAACAACATCAAGGTTTATTACCCCCAGGAACTACTATAGATTTGTTTAGAGGAAAGGCTGCTGTAAGAGACCAAGAAGATGAAAAATATCCGACTCAGTTATCAAAGCAAATTAAATTTGGACAAAAGGCACACGTAGAATGTGCTCGCTTCTCACCGGATGGCCAGTATCTTGTCACTGGCTCAGTTGACGGCTTTATAGAAGTGTGGAACTTTACAACAGGAAAAATAAGAAAAGATTTGAAGTATCAAGCACAAGATAATTTTATGATGATGGAGCAAGCTGTCTTGTCAATGGCTTTTAGCCGTGACAGTGAAATGTTAGCTGGCGGTGGTCAGGACGGAAAAATTAAAGTTTGGCGAGTCCAAAATGGACAGTGTCTACGCAGATTTGAAAAAGCACATTCCAAAGGTGTGACGTGCATCCAATTCAGTCGAGATAACAGTCAAATTTTGTCAGCCTCTTTTGACACGACAATTAGGTAAAAGAATCTTAATTGACTAAACTAATTACTTTGCAAAACACATTTTACAAGCTAAACTAAATATCGTGCTTACAGAATACACGGATTAAAGTCTGGTAAAACTCTAAAAGAATTCCGTGGACATACGTCTTTTGTAAACGAAGTAGTATTTGCACCCGATGGCCATAATATAATAAGGTAAGATTAAATAGACAAATTATTTTGAACTTTAATAAATATTTTAAATAATATATTTCATTTATTCCTTTTAATTAGTGCATCTTCTGATGGAACAGTGAAAGTTTGGAGTTTGAAAACAACAGAATGCATAGGCACATATAAGTCATTAGGAGCAGCTGATCTCACTGTGAACAGTGTACATTCATTACCACGTAATCCTGAACACTTTGTCGTTTGTAATCGTTCAAATACAGTGGTCATTATGAACATGCAAGGTCAAATCGTGCGGTCGTTCTCAAGTGGTAAACGAGAAGGTGGTGATTTCGTTTGTACTGTCGTGAGTCCTCGTGGCGAATTTATTTACTGTGTTGGCGAGGATTTAGTACTTTATTGCTTTTCCACATCATCAGGAAAACTTGAAAGAACTCTCAACGTAAGTAGACTATATCAGCTACATTCTTTAATAAGTCTATACTTTAGCTTTATATTTGATTAATTATAGATTCACGAAAAAGACGTTATTGGATTGGCCCATCATCCCCACCAGAATTTATTGTGTTCATACAGTGAAGATGGTCTTCTAAAATTGTGGAAACCTTAATAACCTCTTAACTACTGCAAATTGGATAAACTATATAAGGCTTTTTTATTAAAACTTGTAACGACCTACTCTATCCCTAAACTCTTAACATACTTAGGGAAATCTGAAAGGACTATATTAATATACTATCTTCCTAAATCCAAAATTATATCCACACGACAACATAACAAATTTTACTACTTCGTTCATTATTCATAAAATATTAAGTATCGCATAAGTCTGTATTGTGTAAATATACAAAAGTAGTACAATATTTGTACGACACTTATAAATTATATGAAACAATTTCTCACGTTTGTCTTTCCTGCTCCAGATCACAAAATCTGATATCATTATAGCCAACTGATCTTCAATCACTCAAATTAGATCAAACGAAAATACCAGTTTACTCAATAACGAGGACAACACGTTCTATTATATTAAATTATGTTCCTTATTGCTCTGAGACATCAAACAATCTCTCTATGACGTGCATGAATCGTCGATAGCCGCGGAATTATTGTTAGGCCCAATTGTATCCGCTCGTTCGGGCCTAATCATTACCCTGGCCCGTTCAAAGTTTGAAGGTACCTATCTGCCGACATATGCGGGGGATCTAAGGGCGCAGACTTACAATAATTGGGCCCAAGCAAATAAGCAATTACTATATTTTGCTTCGGCAAATATTATAATAACGGGCTGGTTGGGTTAACCGGGTTATCTGGCGTGTGATCACCTATATGCAGGCGCCTTAGACAGCGTTAAAACCGGCACCAGTCAACCGATCGATTTAACGCAATTTATACACACGGTTTCCCTCAAATAATCACCAGCATAATATCTTTATAAGAAACGAGTGCCGAATGTAAAATTTATGGCTTGATCAATCAGTACGACATATTGAAGACATTTTTTAAAGGGTAAATGAAAATCATTGTGAACGATTCTTTTTAACGGAGTGGTTGTTAAATATTGTCGTATCATACGGTTTTTTGAGTCTATATTCGTATGTTATAGTCTTAATAGTCTTGGGGCCTACGAAGGAAACTGCATGGAAGTTTTGTAGAAAATTAGACAAATGACTTACGTAGCAGATCCCGTGGAGGATTGGGAATGATGGCAGGGGGCAGATTCCCACGTAGGATCCTAGAGGATGAATGGACCTTAAGATCGTTCACTTCCTCTCATATATCTAATGCGACTTTAATGTCATTGGTACTTTTTCAATTTTCAAAAATTCCTTCAGGCATTTTCATTTGTTCGACAGCCAATTACCGGGCCACCCACTATTTCACTTTTCTTTGAACGTCATTCGTAAACCTGTCACTGAGTCCAACCCTTAATTGAATTAAATTTAATGTCCCGTTTCTTAAACAAGATCGAGCCGTTATAAAGGGACGCGCCATATTGGAAGTTTGAAAAAAATTGTTGCGCAATCAGTTAACGAGCGGTAACATAGAATTTGAAAATTTCCTTTCGATACACGGTAACAATCAAATACTCATATCGATTTTAGTAGACATCGACTATCAAATATATTGAAAATCGTAGATACCCATGGAAATACAGCGAAACCTCGTCGGTTAATCGAAGACAGGTTTTGTAAGGGGAAAAAATCGATAGCGCCGTGTCTGGAACATAAGCTTTCGTTGGTGGTTAATTTCCCACTGTGAAATTTGAGACTTTACACTTTATACTGTAAGCGTTTTATATTCCAAAGGGAATTAAAGGCGGCCATAACATCGAGGGATAATAGCTACAAGGCGCCAGATTACTCAATCTTTCATAATTCACGGGATACTACCAATCGAAATCTCTCACACTCTTCTACAGAGCCCTTTCTCTGTTAATGTAACACGTGGTAAGGTGATTTCTATGTTCAATCAAAATGATCTAAACGATTAGAACAATGATTATTGACCTACCGCAGTCACTGCTTCTGTCATTAAATAGTTGTAAAGTTTATGGAATTATATGCTTCGCGTTTAAACGTAATCTTAACCAGATGCCATCATTAAAGTTTTATTCATAACTCGCTTTTATTTTATAACATAACGAAAAATTTCATTGGCAGTAAGCAGGATTACGTTCGTGAATGTCCTGCTATTTAACAGAAATTTACAATTTGCATTGTAAAGAGGAGTTTTGGTCCTTTAAAAAAATATATGTTTCTACTAGTGCAGTCCTTGATTGCTGTATAGTCTTTATTTTACCAACGGAGAACGACAGGAAGAAACGAATCATTAGGACGCTAATATCCAGAAGATCATCTTCTAGGAAAAGAACGGAAACCTGCTCTTGCAAAACACTTTGCGAAGCCTGTCGCACGAGAGGAACTGCGATTGGCTAGACTGGACACGAGGCCTCAAGGACATTCGCTTGATTAATTTCACTTCCTATGATATCCTATAAGTTCTCTATAAGATATAGTGACAATCGTAAGGCATCTGTATTTCATTTTCTCTTTTTATTTCCTGAAAATTAATGCCTCTTAAAGGTAGCTACAGTGTCAAAGTGATTCGTCTGGAAGAAGAGGATCAAACTATCCTTTACGAATTAGTTTTCTAGTTACTATTTCATGTGTCATACTGTAACTAGGGTTATAATGGCGGCAAGTTCTATGATTTATGTTTCTCAAAGCAGACAATTATTGCTACCAACCTATTCTAGTGATCTAGAGTCCATCCTGAGAAAACTGACATCTAGCACGTGCGCGGTAATCGAGGATTGTTCGCAAGTTCTTAGAAGTAGCTAGAGCAACAGGCAAAAGTTCGTTTCCGGATTTCCGGAATATCCTCAATTTCGCGGTTATAATTTGTTAATAATTGAGCATTGGTTGTGCCGTTGGTGGAGGGTCTCTCGCTGGCCAACTGGCTCCAGGTGTGTGCATGGGGAGCGTGGCGGACGCGTGCTTCTCCCCTCTTTAACCCTCAGTGCTCTTGAGAGGTCGTGTAAAGGAAGACACGACCTCTTCGATATTTACCCCAGGAATCCATACTTGTACTAGGAAGCAGGTGATTCAAGGAAAACTAACTGATCTCTCGAAATGCCGAAAAGGTTGGTAGGTCGTACACGTTTATTTCCCGCGACAGTAACTTGACAAATTCCTTGGGCGAATTTACGACGTTGACCTAGTGAACACGTAGCAGTAGAAATACTTGCATGATATTAAGTTTAAATAGCCGTCTTTGACGTAAGGTATTCATTGTTGTATCTGTATCCTTTGTAATTTCGATCTCTGATATTCCTCATTCACTTTTATTTCCCATAATCGCGTTTTATATCGAGCCGTTATCCTTCAGAATCGATACATTTTTATTTGATAGAAGAAATTATTTTTTCAGCTACGATGACGTAGGATTTAGACATAGTTCTAAATCATGTAATCTTCAAAGATTACGTAGTTCTTTATGCTTTATGGCGGAACGTTTCCCAATTATTAGTCCTGAATGTGAAATTGTTGAGGATATTTCATAAAAGAAGTACATATAGTAGCAATGAAATACTGAAACGCACGTATATATGCAGTAACGTCAATACGCCCGATAGGGTAATCGACGTTAGACGGTGGATCCGCCTCGCGGGATTTGCATTCGCGGAAAGGTGGTATTTAGTTCTGGCGGAATGATGCAATTATCAAATTAACTCTCACACCCCCACATAATTGTTCAGGACGCAGGATGTAAGTGGATGATTATTGGGAACCGTAGGGTCAAGCGGTCAGAATTTGGCAACGTCAGAATGTCGAGCGCCATTTTAGCGATGCTATGTAATTTTATCCGTGCACACGCACCCTCCTAACCTTATTGTAATCGCGAACGCGAAAGTATAGTGATTCGATAAATTCAATTTCTTCCGTTTTGATCGTCTGTGTTGTTGCTACGTAAATCTAGATCATTCGATTTATAAAAGAAACTGACCATTCAAATGGACGTCATTAAAAACCATATACACTTGTATTCTTGCAATGGCTTCCTCCCTAATAATGTATTGTGCCTTTTATGACAGGAAGGTGCGAAAATTTTCAAAGACTGCCGCTGCGAATGGTTTGTTTCATGGATACGGTCGTTAGAATGGTCGGCAAGTTAGCCTATTTTGTTCGTAAGTAGACAACGTTAATTATTTAGGAATACTGAACGCCATTGTCCATTTTTGTATTATGTTCAGGTAACTGGTGCAATTCTACGAAAACTCCGAGGCTCGAGGATTTCCAGTGTGAATTTAACGTATCACTGTATATAGCCTGTTATGCTCTTCTGTTTTGGTATCGTTATACAGTATGTTACGGAAATTAAGGTTAGCTATGCATTCTATTTTATTGGATATTAAAGGTTATATAACAGAATCGAAATCCTTAATCGGTCTTTGTTTCAATAATTTATTATCGCCTGGATTTTAATATTCTATTTATTGTTTCTAAAGGACTATTTATTTATTTATATTGTACAGTCTATTGTACGCTTCAAAATTAGTTGAAACTAGTTAGTGAAGCTGAATTGTTGAAACTCGAATTTTTATTATCAACCAGGAAACTGATCCTATTCTTTTGAACTTCTATGCTCAGGTAGCGTCCTATTTTCTATTATTATATTCTACCATGGTCTTTCCATTGTTACCTGCAAGTTTTTGTGGTCCTTTCTATATTAGTGAATTGAGAATGGTACAGGCAACTAGCAATTGTTTCATTATTGTTTCGATTGTCGGCAATATAACGATTGGTGTTAATATTGATCGTTAACAAATCGATGTCACCAACGAGCACGAGGCGGATTAATAAAGTCGCTAGTCATTCTTTTGAATTTCACAAATTTCAGTGCATTCTTCATCCGAGAAAAAAAAACGAAGGAAAATTGCGGTATAAAATTGTTACCTTTGTATCAGACGGACATTCTTCTCAGTAATTTGCAAAAATTGTAATATGCCACCCACATTGTACCTAATGGAAAATCAAAAGAACTTATCTCCGCTTGATTAACAGTAATTTTGTCGATAATGAAGGAAATAATTTGCGGAAATGAATTCAATACTTTTCTATAGGCGTACGAATCAATACGCGTGTCAAATTTGTAAGTGGTCTCATTTTGGGAATCGATCTTGGGACCACACAGCTATCCTTTATAAATTTTCAATTTTCCTTCTTTTTTTTACCAAAAAACCAGCCAAAGTTCCCATAAGTGTTTCATTCTCAGTTTCTATCAAATTTCCAAAAATTTTGCGTATACAGGCATTGATATCAATAGGGTCCATCCAATATCCATTATATAATATCCTATTTCATCCCAGCATACATACACATACCTATATATATAAACCATAATACAAAGAAGCGCTACGAAAGGGATGAAGAAAATTAATTGTTCAGTTTTAAAAATTCACTTCTTTCTCCCCCTGCGACTACCAATCGACTTCCTGTAAGCATCTGTAACTGTCTTAGAATCGAAGGGTAGAATCCTAACTTTGAATTTCAGGCGCCACCCCCTCGTTCCGACATGCACTTTACCAACCCTAATCACTACCCTACCGTTCGTCCTGCGACTAGTCTTAATTTTTCAAAGGCCCTGATCAGTCTGAGAAAGTTTTTCATCCTCCCTCTGGCACTGGAGATTTTACTGATTTGTTAAAAAAAAATGCATCCCCCAACAATTGACAAGAGGTTATATCACAGTGTGCTCGTTTTCAATTGTTGTTACAGTAAACAATTAACTCTGACATTCATATGTATAGACAGGGGTAATACAGACTTGATCAATGTACCATAATAGAGTTCATTAATATTCCATTGATCCTAGTGGCGCTAGTGTCGTTTCTGGCCCGCAGCATTTTCGTTATTATTCCATCGACTGTCTGTGCACCGTTCAATATTTGCATTTGTAATATTGGCACAGCCTGCTATAGCCCGCGATCAAAATGAAAGAGCAAAATATGTACGCAAATAATTTAACTGGCGATCAATCTGTTTCAGGGGATGCTGCAAGGTTCACGACCCCGTCGGGTCATCTTTTGGGATGCTCCCACGAGTAATACGTATACGAAGTATGCCAATAGCCTGGTCTCTGGTTGTCTATCAATTACAAGGGAGATTCCGTGAAACTTAATCTCATGAGAAAAGCTCGAGAAGAGTAAGGAGCGTGAGAGAGTCACGTATTATAAGAAGCTCGTGTTCCCTGGACCACCGCTAAACTCTCATTGGAGGTGCACGCAAATTTGATATCGCACGAAAATTCCTCGTTATTTGCACGAGTAACTAGACCTCACGCCTTTTGGGTACTTATGTATTGATTGACCTTCATTGCGTGACGATTTCATGGGAAATTAAGCAGGAGTTATTTTCTCGGAAATTTGTCACATTCCGTGTCTCGTATGAGAAATGAAACACCGTAAAGGTATTACAGCGATAATCGTTAGCACGCAACTTTTGGTGTACTTAAGAATTGTGAAATAATAATATTCGCTTGGATCACCCACGATGAAAAGTCAATGGCATAATGGCGTGACGGATTTGTGACGGTTCACCCATATTTTCATAGTCTCCACCTCTTTCATCTGTTTGGTGTACGTTTTGCTGATGATATTTTCGCACGTTATTTTTATTTATTGTCCCAGGACACACCCACAGACCATCATTCGATTCATTGCCTTTTATTTTTTAGGAGTGTGAACTGTACTCATTTACCTCTACGGCTGCCGCTAACTGTCTGTCCATAATTCTCGAAGGAGGTCCCGAAGGAAGAAAGCCTTTAGTTACCACTGCCACAAAGTGTCTTAAGGGCCTCCAAGGATTTCCTAAACCATTTTCGTTTTGTCTCTGTTCTTATTTTCCTCTTGTTTCCACGATAGGCAACAAGTCTTCGGCGAAAAATTAACACTCAGGATTTAACAATTGGATGGAGGTCAAGTGTCGAAGCGTCGATTGCCCTTTTAAGTACTTGAACACAAATTCCAATTGAGGACCAAGACTAGGACCCAACCGTGGCACCAGAAGATCACTTGACTCTCCTCCTAATCCCGTCAAGAGCACATGACTTGACGCCTTCCACATTCACACGTAGTTTCTCTTTATGTTTCTTGGCGTCATAAAGATGAATGAACCGTCAACGGGTAAGGATGAATGGTTAGGATCAGAGCTGAGAGTTTAGCAGATTTAATTTCTTCGCTACTCGGCAAACCTTTATGGGTGGTCAAGATAATTGTAACGGTTTTGGAAAAAAGAAGGAAGTAGGTCATTAACAAAATCTTAAGTCGCTTATATAATAATTACGGTCCTTGTATTTACAGTAGTACATTTTTACTAAGAGCTCATTTTGTGCAATAATTTTACGTACTTAACGTATACGCAGAAAATTTTATGGTAGCCATTTTGGGCCTTTCTAATCCGCTTATAAAATGGTCACCGATATACATTTTATTAGTAGCAGCACATTCTGCACAATATTTTTATACGTTTATTTGTAAAGATTCGCCAGGAAAGAATCGATGCAACACAAGCCTTATCCACCGTGCTGTAACCTTCGTTTACAGTCAGGAATTAGGAGCGCTTTGACATACCTAATCTTCTGAAATATATTCGAATAATGAAGTTAACAGAGAAATATATCGTGTCGGATTAAATCCTATTATAGACGATGCCGCGGTCTTAATGCATGGCAATAAAAGGTGTTAATAATAATCCTACCGGTTACTAATATAATATGGGTCAGGATACGTTCAATAAGGATTAAACTGATAATAAATCGGGCGCCAACCTTTTCAAAAGTTGCGGGCTTGACTACGTTGGTCGAAAATCAAAAATAAAGAAAGAAAAAAGAAGCACGCCATCTTTCAGGAACGGGTCAAGATCTCGTGTCTCTTTGGTCTTGTCCTTCTCTTTCTTTATTTTCTCGGCCGGAACTCACTTGGGCGTCTCAGCTGGGAGCGTTTTTAGCCATGTACCTTTGTCCTAGTTATTAATCATGCTACAGCTACCGCGGCTATTTTAACATTAAGTGAGACATCTCTTGGCGACATAAGTCACCGCCACATACTGTGAGATTAATTCGAGAAACTTCTATTCGCAGCGGGTTATCGTGGATCTTGCGATACAAGGACGCAAGGACAATTCCTTAATGGCGTCCTCGGATTCGACGAGTCGATTAATCTGTGTCTTACTTATCGTACCTACCTGGGTAGTCTTGTCATATTTTGTGAAACAAGATGGCAAAAGGTAATGCCGATTATGATATCCAATATTTTTTTCAATGAAATCTACTCTTGTTTGAATCTCAAAATCTTATAGTTCTCTTTTCTTCATATTCTCAGGTGGTCGAAACGGAGGATTTACACGAGACGAAATTCTTTCCGCATTTTCAAAATCCCAGGAAATCCATTGGCGGTATAATTACTACCGCTTGGCAGCTAATTTTATCCTTTAGCAAGGGTTTTTATTAATAAATCGGCTCCATTATGTGATAAAGTGCGGTGGGTCTATGTATAAAAGGTCGCTTGCCGCTGACTTATGTGGGCATCCGAAGAGGAGCACGTGATAAATGGGTACCTAATGCCCACTGGTCCTCTCGTGATGCCCATTCTACCTGAAACATATGTATATAATACAGTACATATGTATAGTATACCCCATTAGATATCCTTATTTATAAGTTACTCTGTCGCCCCAATTGGAATCTGTGGAGAAATTCAATTTTTGAGGTTTCTTCAAATTTCAGGTAATATTTAATCTTATTATGGTCATACCACTTTGTGTAGAGAGCCTTATTAAGTTTCATGAAGACTTTCGATATCGAAATTGAACTTAATAATTGTACAATTTACACGCATGATATGTCTGACAATTTTGAGTTAGTCCTCTTAAAATTTATTCGTCTCATAATTAGACCAGAGTCTTGGAATAATAATATCCCTCGGGTCAACTTCACACCGCACGGCTTGTCGGCTGCCTTTTTAGCTAGACGATTATCATATACTAAACGGTTCGAGTTTGAATATAAATCATATGTTAACCGTCATTTATGCTATGCACCATAATTGGAGATTCACTTTTGGCTTAAAACGACAGATTACCTATACTGAAATCATTCCGAGTCCTGCTATTTGGTATCAATCTTTACTTTGCTACGTGAGAACGTCACCTAGTTTTATATTTACTCAGGCAAGTTCCACAAACCTTATGGTAGATAATTCTATCGAGGGAAAACTAGTTTATGCAATCCTGTTAATCCAAAAGATCTACGACTTGCTGCTTCCCTTTTCAAGGTGTATTAATGTCTTTCCGTTCGAACCCGTACGTTTGTCGCCTCTTTCTTGGAATTTCCAGGACCCAGAGTCACCGACGTTCCCATATTTTCTATTCGTTTTTCTCACGTCTCGTGGGAGAGACCTAAGAAAGTAGAAGTGAAAAAAAAGAAGAATGCCCAGCCACCAAAATTATTTCTTAAAAAAAAAAAAAAACTGAAACTACAATACTAATTTTTCTTTCTTCATTGCAGATAAGAATAATTGCAAGAAATTTATCAAGATCAATTGACCTCTTAGCTGCTCCCTGTCTCAGAATCTGTGACAGTAGGTATCAAGACTATAAAGAAAGGAGTCAGCAATTCAGGACTCGTGCTGCTTTGCCAGGATAATTACGATTATTAAGCCAAGTCTGTGCTGGTAATTTAGCTCGAGGGAATCATGGGAACCAGGGGAGTTCTTTGATCCTGATCCTGGATCCCCCAACCAACACGAGTACCACTAAGACTCGAGTGGGATATAAACCGTTCTCGCGTAAGTACCAACAATGCATCTACAATCTGAACAGTACTTCAAATACACTATAGTGTAAATATCATTGTTCCCAGGCATCCGCGACGAGGTCATCGAAATTTCACAAAGGATAACAGACAAGCATCCTCGCAGAAGCATATTAGATTCGCATAAATCCAAAAGGAAAATATCATTAGCAAACCGTAAAAGCGAACTGGAAAAAATTCAATTTTTATTTTTACCAATGAAATCTTCCAATCATGACCAAGTCACTCAGGACACGTTTATCGCGACTGTACAATGTAATACAAAAGTTTCGCACGTTAATTGCTGACTCGAACTTCTCATTCTAAACGGTCATCAGCTCATCATTATAATTTAGCAGGTAGCCGATCCATGGAGCCTCGTGGCCCGTTTTTACCGTGCATTCTTCGCACGTATTTAAAAGCGTTTAAGGGAGCCCTCGAGACTCGAGTGCTCTCGGTTGGATCCACAATGGTCCTTGCGTATTATTTGTTGGTGAAATAACATGCTGTCAGTTAGGAAGGATATGCTAAATATACGCTAGCTCGAGAAGAATCGATCGAACTCGTCACGAATTGTTGTTACCAGTCATGGTAACTATATCCATAGGTATACGTAGGGATCTTTCACGACAATTCGATGCTATATACCAGCGTATAAACTCACCTTCGAATCTGAATCAACTCTGAGGATCCTTTATTATTATTAACCTGCATCATTTTTTTTTTCCTTTTATCCTCAAGGTGCATCGTTATTTTTACAATGGTAGCTAGCGCTCGCGAGTTCGTTCACGCGAGCTGTGTAACCCTTCTAACATATATTTATATAATCAGTACATACGTACAAAACACAATTGCTATCAACTTGGCAAATTAAATAACGTGTCTCTTTAGCAAAGTGAATACTTACAGGATCACTTGTTAAATGGCTAATTTTCTACGAAGCATTGTTATCGACACGGGGAACAAGAAAAGAATTTATCTAATATTCTTTTGGTACCTTGCAAAAGTTTTACGTTAAGTCTACTAGCTGTATTTACTTATACAGAGGCGACGGCCTATGATCCTGCTATTATATCACGAGGGGGTCCTATCTTTTGTCTTAGGTAACCATACAGGTCTTTAAAGCATAAACTTGAACACAGGGTCAGGAACGATCGATGATAACATTCTATGCACCCTTTTCATTCACTGGATATTATGTAGTATATGAGGCTTTGTGCAACAGCTATTGTACTGTACTAAAACAACACAGGGGATACGATACTGGGATATGAGTCATGAAATAATTTTTAGAGAATTAAGTAGAATTTTGTTAATCTATATTCACACGTAAATCAGTTTCTTTATAAATTATTTATTATTAATTTGATTTAATCTTTATTTTATTTTTTATCTTTCAGTACTCCAACCACCTCGAGCCATCCAGATGGTGACCTATCAAAGTTATAGTTGTCGGCGGACCTGCTAGTCGCTGGACCTGTGATTTAGATGGGGCCAATAATCCGTTCACACACTTGGGTACAAACCAGATAAATTCATTGGCCGCTGGACAATGAAGCTCTTACGCTACAGTTGCCAGGGGGAGTTATATCTTTATAATGGTTACTGAGTTAAAAATGACTTGTCATAAATAGTTGTGACTATACAGTACTGAAGCAGGTAATCCCTTCTGTATTCTATTATATTATAGATATACATTATGGTTGTACCATAGTTTAGTCGGCACGTAAAAGTTGGAATAGTTTTTTGGCGGTACTTTGAATTTTGAAAGGGTCCACTTGTTGATTCCTTTTGAGACTTTTTTTATTTTTTAATACATTCCTTAATGGGCACCATTGTGTTTCTTATATTTGAAAACACGCACGATGTAGTGTGTTGACCTGGTCAGTTTTTATTAGAATTTAAATGTTACAGATTGATAACCTATAATTTACTTGTTTTTCATAATTTTCTAGATCAAATCTGAAACGGTTTTATCTCGATATTTTGAAGAGGGTCCATCAGAATAATGTGCGTGATAAGTTTTTTTTTGTGTATCAGACTGTCTGATTGTTTTGTTTTATCAATTCTCATTGGACTCTTGTACTCTTGAATTATTCAACAACGTGCCATTGTAAATTTGGTGGAATTTGCATTTGAGCACCCGAATGAAATGTAGGACAGGTGCATATCAATTGTATTGCGATTGATTCGCCAAATATATTATGTCAAGGTAATCTGATTCTTCCGTATAAGTATCTTATGTAACAGGTGGGTAGGTTTATAATTTCAATTCTAAAATCGAGTAACTGTTCTTTTTTTCTTTTTTATGAATCGCAACGTATTATTACAATGGCTACTTCATTCGTGATCAGGTGAAGCCAATTCAAGTGAAAGCGAGGAAATGAGGGGAAAAGGAAAGAGGATTTGACAACATCCGGGACTTTATTACTCATAAAGTACAGGTTCCTGCTCCAAATTTTCAGACTAAACGTCGATAATGTCTTAATCAACTGCGACCACGTAACACCTCCACTTTCGTCGCCGCCTACATCCGCTGCGGTGAAACCAATAAGCGTTTGTTGGTTTTTGATACTTTTTAGAATCGAGAACCTTGAAGGATCCGGTATAATTACGACCTCACAATATATATCCTGATATTATATATATATTCCAGGAAGGAAACCCAATATTCCCCATATTAGGTATCTCCGTTCTCCATTATGAAAAACCATAGGAAATGGAAGAAAAGAGACCAGTGAAAACGACACTTTACGTAATAACGTGGATAAATAATTATTTCCACAATAAAATGTGAGTATAAAAACACTTTTACTTCAATGTGAAACTTTATTTTTATGCCAAAGTCTGTGTTTTTAGGTCGAAATTCAAAAAGGGAATATGAAAAAAGTATATGAGGAAGAATAAGAAAAACGGATATTCCACGTAACCCCAATCTCAGGTCACCTAATTTAATAGAGCAATTAAGTTAATACTTTGGGAGGAGTCCGTTATTATATCCCCATTAATTATATGGAGCTGCGCGATCGAATCAGTGTTCGCGTTATTTGATTATCGAATTAAGCTCGTATAAACTAACAAAGGGGTGGAGTAGCTTTTATATTTTTTTTTGCAGACCTTGAACCGTGCAAATTTATCATCAGAAGATTGAACCATGAGAAATTCATCAATGATGATAGCTGTCATGATGATCGTGCGACTTGCGTATAACAAGATGCACCTATAATTTTTGATAATAGATTGCTACAGAGCAGACTGAATATTATTATGAATAATTGAATTAAAAAATCCGATAGGCTCGCTTTAACTGCCACTATTAAACGATTGGCTGCTTTAATAAAATCGTGTATTGCCTTTGGTAAATTGGGGTGCTTTAAGATTCTATTAGCATTACAGATTTATCTCGCAGTCCCTACGGTTATTTCATTTCAACCGGTTACCAGCCCTGGATTATATTATTACCATAGCCATAGATACTATACAATTTATCTTGTCATATATGCACTTCTTCTTAATTCCATTTATGCTGCGGTGGTAGTCAGTCTGACAATTAAGTCTTAAAAGACTAGATTGAATTTTATAAGTGAACAATTACTCTACCTTTTAAGTATAAAATTAATTCTGACATTTAATTTATTTCCATAACAACTAATTCGAAGTTGATCGATTATTATACAGCTGTTTCCACAATACACGTGGCGCATGTTATGTCGATCCTATCCAATGTGGTTACTTGCAAACAGAACAGCCACGTGACCCAATTTAATTAAGACCCACGGGAAAGGCCTGCGGCTTATTCAACCGTATGAAGAAAAATTAATCGCACATACTACAAATATTTTTGATAAAAATATTGTGCACGATCCTTTGTCTTCTACTTAATTATCAAAATTTTGCTCATTTGATTTCAGCCTGTCATGACGTCATTGCAGCTGGATATTCTTGAAGGAAAAAAGGAGTGCAGCGTATATGGTACAGCTTGGAGGATGCTGAAAAGAATGTAGTTCTATTAGGCTCCAGTCCAGTTAACGTTATGACAACCATCCCTCGGTTAGTAATTATGATATTACGTTGTAACACTAGAGGTGGTAAAATTCTGACAGGGTCACAAAGCTCATCTCTTGCTGCTCTCAAGTAACAAGCTGGATGCGTGGGCGGACGTTGGAGTTCTTGCGTTTTCAACATATCCCAAGTCCTGACGGGATAATATTCTGCCCCTCATGCAATTCGTATTGCTGCGTTGCACCGCGTCCATAAGTGCTTTGGATAGATATTTAGGAGCTTAGAGAAAAATAAAACGAAATTGAAGCTGGTAAGGTATACTTTTCAAGAACTCGCAAAGCTTATAACACGAGTCCTAAGAATGTTCTATTACAGTTTCTCACGCTTTAGGAATATGCTTAAATCTGAAAAACCTTTCTCAATTTCTTAAATTTCTTTCAGAAGTCAGAATACGAGATAACTTGCCCAGAACTGACTATGGCCCAACAAGAAATTGGGCGTGAGCTGCATAATTAATGTATATACTGAACTCGTTTGTTGTGCAGTTTCAAAATGAGAGGTTCCAACGAAAGAGATCTTATTTATGATACTTGGACCAGAGTATACTGACCATTTGGACTTAGCGAATAGAAACATCCCCAATGTGCTTATGAATTATTAAAACGGACGTGGGTGGTCTTACTAATTACTGGAAAGCAGATAATTGACCTCCGAGTATCTCATGTGATAAAAATTAAAGACTTGGATGAATTTATAAGAAGCCTATAAAAAAAAGTCACTGCAAAGATACAATTAGTACATTTCATTATCACCTTATAAGGAGATAAAGGTATGAAATTAAAAAAAAATACATTATCACACCATGGAACACTTTTAAAATTATTAAATGACCCTGTCTATCAGACCCAAATCAATGGTAAAGAAAGGTCATATTAAAAATGCTTTTGAAATGTACATCCAATCATTTTTCTGACATTTCCAGCAGGCGATCACAAAGCTCAAGCTATGGGGTGTCTTAAGAGGTGCCAATTTGGGGTGTAGCAAGGTGCCATTTCACGCGATAACTACTTATTAACCCATTAATAAATATCGATGCAATTAAATCGCTTGGTCAAACAGTACGTGTCCGAATACCATGCCGAAGCAGGTCTCTTATGCGGGGTATCATTATGGCACCCCTAATCGGATCAACCAAGGGGTTGAATACTGCTTTTAAAAAAAAAAGCAGGAATATTATCCTGTCATCGTTGGTCTTCCTGGCATTTCTTCATTATAATTACATTCTTTAACCCTTTCGATTTTCGAAATCTCATCGATGGCTGGTTGGTTTTCAAAATTTTTTTTCTTTCACAGTTATTATATAAGACGTGCTATATTTTTATTATCGTTTGACACGATCCTTGCGCTTTCAGATTCTTCCTTCCGTCTGCTGGATGTATTCAATATTTGGAAAATTTGAATTTTTAAACTACCCAGTGAGTATGCGAATGCTCGTAAAAGTGTAGACAGTAAAATTATTGTGTGCGAAATGAGTCCTGGACTGTGCAACGTGGACGCATATTATATATACATATACACAGTGACAGATACGCAATACCCAGTAATGTAAGTGTTATTTGATTTGTAGCTAAGAAAGAGCGGCTGTCTGTAATAAGCGTTCCGCCTCTTCCTCAATATCTGTCTGAAGTCTTGATGCCCTCAACATAACTTATGACACGTCACCTGAAACTTATACGTTAGGATCCACACGTGGTTGTACATAAAAATGTTTCAGCGTGACAACTCAGTACGTATAAAATAATGATTTAAATATTTAAGTAATAAATATACCAGTAGTTCAATGCACCTGGGACATATCAATTTGAATGAAGAAGTTGATTCTGTATCATTTTTTTTTGTTTCCAGTGATAAATTTTACACGGTAAATACAATGTGGATAAGTACAGTCTGTTTCAAGCGGAAATGACGAAAGAATCCAGCAAAGATCAAAGGGACGATGGGACTGCGAGTATTAAAAAATGGTTTTACCCTGGCACCATTTTTTTTGTTGCGTCGTAATCCTTTAAAGTATCAGGACAACGTGATCCTCAGACCAAAAAGAACTTTGCCTATATTTTCGGAGACTTTGGTCCAGATGGGACAGGAAGCCGTATAACACAGGACCGCGATAAAAGCCTTTAGACACCTGCTGGATCGCACAGATGCTCTCCGCTTGATTATACAAATGAGCTACTCACCGGAACCACCCGCCGTTCATAAACGCATACTCACCCTTATGTGCGTCGTTACACCCCAAAGCGTTCAACGTTTTGCAGATAGGAGTTTACATTTTTTTTTTTTGAGACATAGAGGTAGTACGACGTCAGGGCCATAGGGGTAAGCAACATGAGAAGAGAATGATATTTTTACTCTGTGCTTGTTTAACGCTGTGATCATGGGATTTGTGAGATTTTGGCATCTGATACAATTTGCTTTCGGATGAGAAAGAAAAAATGGACTTTTCTGCCGCAGTGGCCAACGCTGACCAACTGTCATTTTCAAGAAGCGTGGCTGGCGCGTGCTCTGGTCGCCCTCTTCTCCATTCTTGACGTCATGAAAATTTATACCTTGGAAGACATCTTTACTTCCTTGATACTATGGAAATGTATTCTTTGGGCATATGGAAAATTATGGCGAAGTCACTTTTCGAGATGCAAGTATTGGCTCTTGATATTCTGCTACCTGCTGCTAATATAATTTTGATTATGCTTGTTGTAGGGTGCAATGTCAATGCGGAGAACATTGTGCGTGTGAAATTTTTAACAAAAAAACTTTTTGAAATTTCATGGCTTAATATCCAATTAGCCAATGTATTTGCCCTGGGAGCAAAAGAATTTTTCAAAAAGGTTGTACTGTCCGTCCAAGGGTTGCCGCAGGCAGATCAACGAGCACTAATGACCAAAGGGGTAATCCAATAATTTGGAAACGAGGAACGTCCTTTTTCTCAAAGTTTCGTTAAACTCTTCGAAAATTTTGAGAAAACCGACCATGCATGTTCCAATATAACCCTGTACCCATCGTCGACAATTTATGAGTTGTGTCAGCCGAAAGTGGCGACCCTTTGTCGGCGGAGAAACGTAACTTGACCGTAACGTTTCACATAAGACCAATAGGTATGTCATATTTTTCTAACAGACCCAAAACCCCAAAACCATCTCAAATCAGACTGTATCAGACTCAAGTAATATGTATCTAATATTCCAAAATATGACTTTACATACTTTTTGCATATTCACAAGTCGCGAATAGTCCCTGATTAGCAGTAAAGATAATTTCTATTTGTGTAATTCAATTTTTCATTAAAAAAATATTCTTTCAGAAAATACCTCCTTCAATTTACCGATGACCCGGTGGTCACTTCGAGGCGGTCGCTTCTTCAAAGTCTCAAAATCACAATCGGTCATTACGGGTTAGTCAAGAAGCAAGTCTCGGTCAGCAGAGTAGCCAGCAGGTACTTATCTGTTTTTGGAATATTAGAAGGCGGTCAAAAACGGTAGGCGGGCGGTTTGTTTTAGCGAAACTTTTTTTGAGAGAGACTCGTCGGAAGCCGAGACCACCTCTAGTTCATTTTTTGGGCCAAACCGTATAAACCGAAGCAATCGACAATTCTGATAAAGCAGGTATGATAGATCCTTACTATAAAAAATCACAGTAACAATTCCTATACCTCAGTACCGATACCATTTCCTAATTAATTTAATTTCCAACACTTTTCAGTGGTCATCCATATAAGGAAACGTCACGCTTTTAATTTGATCCACTTTTGACACGTCTTTCATGGACATTCAAATGCCTCAGGCCATCACGTGCTGGGTCCGTTACTCCAAACGACGGTCCCCACATTTCTACAAGCTGGACCAGAACAGCATACAACGTGCCGCTATTTTCTTAATTATCGTTAATGATTTTTTAGCAAGCCACGAAAGCCCAACGTTCTAAATTGACTTGTAAAACGTCACACCGCATTTACTTTCGCATTAGCCCAGGTCCCATCGAGCAGCATTGTTTTAAGGCCCACGGCATAATTTTCCTGTTAATTCAAAACGCGTCTACGGATTTTCCTTTCGGCGGACGCATAAGAGTGACCACCCAAGTGGAACGTCCTCAATTCTGGATCCATTTTTATCATCCGTAACTTGATTAGAATTACCACACGTACCTTAGAGCTGTTAACCTTTTTCTTCATTCCAAAAAATATATACGTCCACTTTCTTCATATTCACATCAGCAGCCTAGAAAAAAGAAATTCAAAAACGGAATACACCATCGGTCCTCCCATTTGTTCTAGAACGTGACCCTAGGTCAGTTCTAAGTATCCTAAATACAAATACCATATCAGACGTCAGTCCAGACACACTGACATAGTTCTAAACACATCGGTATTATGTTCAGCGATCAAAAGCATATTGAATCTTCCACCAAAGTATCAAAAGCATCATATTTCACACGTCGAGTCCTCTCGAGCAATATAACCTCGATAATCAATATTTTTAATCGACTCAACCGACTGATAAGCTCATTGTAAGTAGGTGCGAATAATCAGAATTAATTAGGTCTTAACTAATACAAACTTTATGCATTTCTAATACTCTTATTGTATTTAAAAAAAGAAACACTATAGTCTTATAAAATAGCCACAAGCTGGTGACGTCATCGTGCACTCATAACCTACTTTTATATTTTCTTTTGGTGTTACCACGGAAAGGATATATCGTTTATGGTTGGCACGAACTATGGTTTCGGTACCTGAACTGTCAGTCACTGAAAAGCATTCAGAAGCGGTTAATGCGGTTTTAAAGGTAGCCCCACACTGGGTAACTGGAAGTAAACTTGTCGGTATACGAGATGAGATCGTGTATAGATAGGATCTGAAGTACCAGGACCACCCGGGCTATTTAGAGCGATGTGGCTGATCGGCAGGGACCACGATTATGGTGTCCGGTGTCCGGTGTCCCATAGGGAATGTTAACACCTGTAAGCATTAATAGTACACTACTACTACTTACTTAGACACCCGTTAGCAGGGATCTTGGATTAACTGTTTCTAGCTCGAAGATTCCATATGGTATCTCTGACACAAGTACTACTTACATATAGAAATATAAATCCTTTGTTCACACTGGAGGTTATGAAGTAGAAAACTGGTAGAGGATAAAGTATTTTTTTGTTAAAGATAACCAAATTTTGATCATCTAGACCATTTTTGTTTGAGGTGCTATTTGTGGCTTTGGGCTGATTTGGTTTTCTCATTATCTTGATCGTATTATTGTTTTTGCAGGTTATGCATATTCAAAGGGAAGGAAGAAAGCGGCGGGAAAATTTGGATGGGACATGGAAACTGTAAATTTTTTTTCCTTTCTCTACATCTTTACGAAGGTCTCTTTGGGACTAGACATTATGCTAAGGTAATCTGATCACGTCACTGTAGAAACGGCAGAAACTCTCAGCCTATCACTTTGGTTTCCTTAGACTTCGCACCTATTTCAACACGGTCTTATCCGGCTTCGGATCAGCCAGTATTTGTCTCCTAAACGAGGATTTCTGGCACCATTTCACCCGACATGTTTCTTCTGACGATCTGGATCTTGGACCATTCATCCCTATGAAACTTTGGGACATCGTGTTTTACAGAGGCAGATTTAGGAGTTATCTTGTTATTCCATAAAGTTTTAACTACTCCCTGTGCCAAGGAAGGGATGAACGGTTGGTTCTTTAAAAGAATTTGTAAATACTTGTAAAGGTATCGTCGACAGACTTTTTTACTGAATTTACAACCAACGTCATTTTTCTTTCAGAAATTACTTTATACGTCCAGTGAGTATGGTTTGAGCCAGATATAAAAAAGCTGGTACCTCAAATTTGATTGAAAATAGATAATACCTTCTACAAACTGTCGGATGCTCCAAATTCGAAACCGCCCACATCCGCCATTACGGACATCAGATCAGTATTTGTTTGTTTTACTCGTATAATCAGGTAACTCCATTTATACTACGTGATCAGGACCCGTATCATAATTGGACCGCCATCATAAATCTTATCAAGGTAATTTCTTTATTACTATCCTGAATAATTGCATCAAGACGAAGCATATAAAGGATTCGACATAATTTCTGTATTATTAAACTGTATGATTAATTTTTACTTCAATTTAAAGATTCATGGAAATTCATGAATTAATTCAATGATTTTTTTTTTTCAAGATCGCTTAAAACTGCTCGTGGTCCATTCGAAATTCACGAAAGCCCCTCATCTCGGATTGGAGTCCTTCTGCTGTTTTCTTCAGAAAACTTCCTGCAGGAACATTCTGGATAGTCACGACGGGAGGCGTCATATGGAACTTTTGTGATGCTGGAACATTTTGAAAGTCACCCATGACGCCCACTGTAGCAGACTCCTTTCAGATTACGCACCAACTGACTGCAGTCCCGTTCGTCCTTCATCAGGAATGAATGGAAAGGATAGCGTGAGATTTCTTGAACGTATAGAATGATTAATCTAAGAAGATCGCAGTGAATGAAGTCTGAAAACACTGCACGGTAACAAGAGAATATCCAAAATCAAAAAGCCACAGGATAATATTGTGGCGAAGGTACGGCTGACCTAAAATGCACAGAGTCTTTCACTGTAATAAATATTAAAACAAGAAAGTCGACTTTCTCGAGGTAACGAAAAATCATTTAATATCACTGCTCCGCTTTTCCAAAGATTTCACATAAACCCACTTAATGTAAGACTGCCTTGCCTTGTAATTAACAGCCTGTTGTATTCCTCAGATAAATAGGATGGCGGTAGTACCTTCAAGTGTAGAAACGCAAGCAAGAGGATTTTCTGCCATTGGTGACTTACCTGTTTCGGAAGGAGCACTTATGAATTCGGGGTAGTAAGAAGGTAATAGGAGGGCGCGCGTAGGGTGCTTTAGAGGGAGGCCACCATATGGGGAGCATACGGCGAGCAGGCACCCGCTCCCTCAAGGGTTTAATCTACTGACAAACTACTGTCGAAAAAATCAGGTGGCTATTTGCGTCTTATCCTTCACCCTATCCGCCATTGCTTCTTTCTTGAAATCACCTGCGCATGTTCGCCATTGCTGTTACGTTTGCACGTACGTTTGAAATTTTCATAGAATGTTTTTACGAACGATAAACACGCACGCGGTTTTGAATCCGTGGTCAAATTGTAACTAGACAAAAAGTAGGGTTCAAATTTGACAATGGTAATGATGTTTTGTTGCACGTTTTTGGAACACTTGTTGCTTCGGGTTAGGGGCAGAAAAGTTTACGGATAGAAATTGAACGTCGGTGTGAATTTAAAGTGGAATAATTTTTTTCAAAATTTGAATCCATTAACACGATACCCACCCTAGCTATTTTTTATCTGTACTTTTTGTACTAACATGTTATAAGAGTCTGTCTTAGTTTTTACTTCACTTTTTCGTCCTTCAAAGGCCGGTTGAGGGTTGATTAATATGGAGGAAGCAAGGTAGATTTTAGTTTCATCTAAATTAATTACTTAATTAATCATGCACTTTCACTTTCACGGTTAGTACTGATTAGTAAATCACACGAATCACTATCAATAACGTCTCGTGGGCTACTCGTGGTATTTAATATGGGTAAACGACGATTCTGTTACAAGAATCTAAAAGAAATTTAAGGCTTAGAAATGTTAATTTGCAAATTTTTAATTTTCAGTAATATCTACATCTACTTTTGCAACTATCATCTTCCCATGCATGAGAACGCATATGTATCACTCGATGGCAGTGCACAAGAAGCTACGTCGATTCTTTTAAGAATAAAAAGAAAGCTTTTGAATGTCTTCAATTGGCATATCGAACGCCATGAAATTGGACAAATTCAATTGGTGAATTTGACGAGTAGCGGAATAATACGGTGTTGGTGCAGAGTAGAGAAGAGACTCGAGGGTCCCTCGCTTGCCAACTGTCCCAGGTGTAGATCCCAGGAACACGAGGAGTGTGGCTGGCGCGTGCTGCTACTCCCCAGTTCTCGCTGCTCGATCCCCGATCCACGCCTTCACATTGCCACCGATCATTGGTTCAGCTTGGTCACGCTTTATAAACATGCGAGCATAGCTTTTTAAACTGCACACGTTCGCTCACCTCGTTTTCGACACGAACTTAAAACATAAGGGTTGAAATTTTCATAACTATAACTGAACCCCATCTTGGGATGTCTTAGAATCACGCTACCAACGGTTCATTACTGAAAGCCAAAAATTGTAATACAGTAAACTATGAAAAATTATTTTCTAAAACAAGTACAAACCATTTACCGAATAATTGAGTAACAAAAATAATTCAGACTTTAAGCTTCGAATAGTCTTACAATTTTGCTTAACTTTTTCTTTTCTATCTGTGTGGTTTCTGATTGAATAGGAAATAGGGGTTGGAATTAAAGATTGCACCTGAGGCGTTTCGTTTTTCTTACATTGTAATTCTCATATGTGTATTTCGTGATGTGGTCAAAGAATAATTTCGTGAAGAGGGAACGAATCAATGATGATCGAAATTCTCGGTCCTTCTGCAATTATGGAAATTCAACCCTACAGAAAATCAAGGATATCGGTTAACGTGATTCTCGTGCAGACGAATATCGGGTCTATGAAGGTACAGATTAATTAACGATTTTCTAAAGATGCGTGCCAACCCCAGGCGATATTTTAATATGAATAATCAAGCCCTCGTTAGAGCCAGAATCCCGGTGAAACTAATTATGCAAATGTGCGTTAAGATACGTTAACGAATTTTACAATCGCCCTAATAACCCAACGTATCGATAATTTGACAGATAAAAATGTACCGATCAAATCAAAGGTGTAAAATCACCCTCGACATTGTTAAACATGCCTACCAAGAACCAGTGTTCTACCCTATTTAATAATTTACAACCCCCTGATACTACCCCAGTTGCACCAACCCTTGAAACGACCTCCTGCCCAAAGTGCATCCCATTTTAAAAAATTATTTCAACTCTCCACTCCGTCCATTAGTTATCCGTAATCGCAGCTCTTTCAACAACCACGTTGCAAATATTACACGGTTCACTTGGCTTCCTCAATTAATTAAAATATTTATCACTAATGTCTTATCACCAATAAAATCACTCTCTCCCGTAAATCCTTATCCCCTATACTTTCTCGAACGTTCTCACGTTCCCATTTTATACGTTTCCATCCAGCAATTTTCGAGCCAACCACCACCTCTCCCATTTTACCTATAGTCGAAGTAATCGACCGAAGCCTCGCGTTTAAATTCACAGCTTGAACGTTCTTATCGCGCATAATATTATAATGGAAGATAGGAACTACGTAATGGATCTCACGTTAATGCCTGAGAAAAAGTTGGAAAGATTACGTACCGTTATACCGAAGGCAATAAACGAGGGGCTTCTCGCTACGCTTGCCTATATACCATATATATATGTGGGTACAGCTACAACCCTATGTACGTATATACTTATATGTATAAACATATCTTTCATACCGACTGTCACAGATTCTATGCCAAGACGTCACACGTCAACATATTTCTATAGGAAGTCTTCGGTATGGCAGTTGGAACGATTCAAAAAATCGAATACCGCGTGCCAACTCATTCTTCAAGATGGAGGTTTGAAGAAACGGCGGGTACCGTAGGTAAAGAGCTTTTGTATGAAACGTGCTTTATAGTAATTAATATAAAATAAGAACACATTTAAAAAACAGTATACAGAAATGGTATATTTAAAATCAAGAATATACGGTTATTTAAATTTTTTTTTTCTACAAAACATAACCTCCAATCTTCTAATGTCGAATTACTGCATCTTATGCTTACTTATGTCCTAGGAACTTTCGTGTAATACCTGTATATTATGTAGGCTCGTTATGCATTCTTACTAGCAGATAACTATAGAGTAGCGTATGTGATGAGGAAGTACAAAAGGTTTACTGTAAGTACAGTGTAATGGATGACGCTATTGACAGTGTTCCAAGGAATACTAAATTTGACAATTTATGCTTTTTAAAATCTTTTTAATATAAAGAGTATTCCTATATATAAGGACATTTATAAATGTAGAATAATTGGTTGTGTTTTGAGATTGATAAATATAGTTTTACCTTATGATACGTTGTGACTTGGTATGCTTATAACTGTAAAATGTGAAGCACGTGAGGATTCTGGACGCGTTTGAACAGTATAAAATGCTAAGCCTCGTTATCGAATATAACGTATGGGATGGTTTATTACCTGCACCGGAAGAATCTGCGTGAATACCTTTACTGCAATGTGCGTAAAGTTTTCTTTATTACCGTCAATAATTCTACTACCGTCCGCCATCTTTTGATGCGCATCGAACAAAAGTGCGCATGCGCATTGCGTCTAATTGTACGGTTATAAATTACATTGCTTCTAGCGGACAGACATTTGATCGTTTAATGAGTTACCGAGCGACAAGAATAATTTTTGTATCTGGAAAAATCAAATTTTTCACTTTTTGAAATCTCCAATTCAAATTTTCTATTCGCGATTACGTTGCGGCTTACTGTATAAAAAAAAATGCATTGAAATATTAGCAAAGAGCGGCTTCTTTGATCAGTTTTTCACGATCCATTTGTTTTTTCTGCACGAGGTGTCGAATCGCCAACAAGTTTTTGTTAGGGAGGCTTTATGGGGTAGTTCACAGGCATTGTGGATCGGTATATCCTGCCGTGTTACCATTGTATCCCAATGCCGATTGTTCTGTACGTTTGTTTCATTCTTACTTGGAAATCTCGAAAATTAAATGAGGTTGGATAGTTCTTGATTCTTTTTAGTTTTGCCCGTACGCGTTGGCGGTTTTTTTTAGTTTCAGGAAAATCATTTGATTTCAAAATTTCGTTACGGATACTCTTATAGGGGTTTAATTACTTTTGTGTTTTCGAAAATACGGAGGAATCTCGTGGACGCCGGGATTAATCTTGAAAACTGGGCGGTTTTATGGGTTTCGGTGAAACAGAAACGATGGGGTTAGGTTAGTACTTTCTATAGGATTATGGGATTTCTCAGGTCACGTCAGACCCTTTTTTTTGTTTTACCGAAATTCAGGTCACTTTTTATTTCAAAAGTTCTCTCGTGTGGGTGGATAATGGCCGGAACGATTTTTGAAAAATTCTTCCGATATACTCGTCATAAAAATAAACTATGGCCAGGAATTGAATCAATGAATTTTTTAGGGTTATATCCGTTTCATCTTAAACCTCCCCTACCAAAAGAAGACACCGAAGACGTAACTCAAAAAAATGCAGAATTTTTATTTTTCAAACAACAATTTCCGTACACGATGTTCACTGTAAAAATAATTTATATTATGAATCTGGTGAGAAAAAAAAATCAAACCCTTTTTACGTTGGACCACACAGGATGCTCAGATCATTAAATTTTGCATATGAGTTCGCGAACAATGATTGGTAACACTATATTCAATTTTTAAATTGAATATTAAACAGATTCCTATTCATGAATGAGTACTGTCAGTATCTTCGTATATCGCTTAATTCAATATTAATCCTGTCAGGGATGTACCCAGAATATTGAGATGAATTTATAATGGTCCACCAGTCCAGCATCCAAATCCTATAGCAGAGACCTCAGGAGAGTTCAGACTAGAATAAAATACTTAATAGCAACCCCTTGATGTTTGAACTATGATAAACTGTATCTCATCTAGCAGCTAGAATTTGCCTCGTTGATTTATGCTAATCTAATGGCTCCAACCCAAGATATTCGACTAAATGCTCTATTAGGCTTAAGTTAATTATGACGACCGGCCGGCGGTGTGGTCCGTTGAAAACGTTAATATATTACAATATATTAACTCCATAACTAGACCGATACTTTTTGAAAGAGTGAAAAATAATTTTTTTTCTCTTTTACAGATACAACAAAAATCTCATCCAGCATCACCAAACGACACAGAGATACGTCGCGTGTGGCAACTGCCACCAAGAAGTTAGAAGAAAATTTTGAAAAATAAAAATCCTGCTTAAAACAAACAGCCCGCCCTAGACTTGCGGCCGCCTTGTAATAACGCGTCTGACCAATACCGGATGGATAATCGTTTAACTGCAACCCTCGGCTCTTAAAACCATTTTGGCGCAGTTACAAACCTACCGATTGTCCTGCTAACAAGCCGAACCGTAGTTTCGGCAAACCTACAAGGACGAAGTATGGTCGCGGCATCTTTTGTAATCCCTCGCGGACCTTTAATTGCGCACGCGGAGAAAAGATACTTAGCTAAGAAACTATGGTTGTCATAGTTTTTTGAATAAACTACAAAAAATTTCAAAAAATCTTCATACCATCGTTTTTGACATCGACATAAAATCGATTCGTTCACGGCCGTGAACGACGGGGTTAGGTTAACTATGGGTGGACAAATTTTTTTTCGAATTTGTAACTAAAAAAAAATGTCTGGAAATATTAATTGGGGGTAATTTTCTCACACGTTGATCCTCGCTCGAGGCACAATGATTTTTCTCATCTGCACCAATTTTTAGTGTGACACGTCCTTTCCGCCATTCAGTAAATTCGAGATGCCTACGACGTGATAAACATTTATAATATCATTAACAAAAAAAAAAAAACCAGTAGGGATTCTTCTCAGAGACAATCATTACAGGCGGTACCTTATTTGTCCCTGTAGTTTTTTTTTTGGAAATCCTTTGCTGTCTGATTAGGTCATAGTGCCGCCTAGTGATTTTAAAGCGACCAATATTTGATGAAACTAATCACAAAAAAAAAGGAAGACAGAATACTTGTCATTTACCTGTCTTGGTGAACAAAGTTCTTATCGGCTTTTAAATTTGTCATGTTAAATTTTTTTTTTCGTCCTTGTAACAGATTTTGACTTTGACGATTTTTCGCGATAAGACTTCCAACGCTCGCTGACACGCAGCCAGTAAAATTTGAGAGCAGCTAACGAGGGTCTCCTTTCGTGGCTGCCATTATGAGTAGCTGAAAAAAAAAAAGAGTTTCTTACAAGAATAAAAAAAGGGCTCGTGTGGTGTGATGTAATGTGTTTTTGTCACCCTTGTAGCCTTTGATACGTGCCGACAGAACGAAGCCGCCATACGAGTGAAGTTATCTACGCGTATCCCCATGTGGAAGCACTAAGCAGTATCTTTTCGTTCTGAAAAAAAAAGTCCAAGGGATGACCGTGGGTGATGATTTTTGAAAACATAAAATTTCAAGTGTCACCAATGCTAAGTAAAAATATATGTACTTGGAGCGCACACGTGCTTTGCTTTTTTGATTTAATCCGTGCGGATTGATAAATCCAAAAGGAGGATAAATTTTATAATTTTATTGGCAGCGAAGAAGAATTTCCTTTGATCGGTGTAATTTGGGACTGGATAAGTGGAAAACGGGAAAGCGGCACCGACGTGACAAAGGCCAATCCAAAGTCTGGAAGCGGAACCGGATAATGCGATAATGACGTCCACAATTTCGAAAAAGAAGCGAAGCTCTATATGGATACCCGTGTGATTTGATTTTGGTATTTTTGAAAATTTCCAAAATTAATTTTAGTTACAATATTTTTCAATATTTTTGAACTTTATAGATTGGTATGTGCAAGCATATTTTTTTCAAACTTAACCTCTGATTAGGATATATAGATATGGTTATTCGGCTCAGAACGGCTGGCAAGCTTGATTAGAAATTGAGCTGTATCCAACGGCGAAACGGAAGATTAAATAGATTTTTCTATATAGTTCATATATTTTTTTTTTTGATTCATAGCCAACGACCTTACGTAAACCACACCCGTTAAAATCACATAATTTGTAATTTTCTTTTCGTAGACCCCATGCAGGGATCACCCACGGAGACTCCAACGTTGAATCTCCTTATAGGTTATCTATTCGAATTTCGATTGCTAGATACTTTATACTAAAAAATAATTTAGATCTTTCAATAATTAAAGTAATTGACCTTTCAAAAATATTTATGCAGACTAATATATTTAGAAAATGTGTAATATACTATTCGTATAGAAAATTTTCAAAAATCATTAGATCCGTCATTAAAGCATAGTTAGCCCTTATGTCTCTATTCGCAAATGCATATTCATCGACCAATAACTTGAGTTCTGCCTACCAGCTCATGTATTCTCATAAATAACTCCTAGTTGCCGTGTAACATGTTATTTGCCACCAAGCTCCACAAATGAGTTCACATTGTATTTAATTACTCGACTCACGCCCAGGGCGTATCCACATGGACCAGCCTCCCGTTCTTGTATATCAGCCTGTGGCCGCCCTGAAGGACTGTTTCTCATCGTGGCCATCGACCACTTTGCAAACTTGCGACGCTCCCAGATCTAGATTCTAAAGGGCAAAGATCCAATGGGCCAGAGGGATGTTCTTCGCAGTCCTAATTGCTGGTCTCGCAGTAAAACCAATCCTGGATGAGATGTAATAGATGAAACCAATTAATTTTTTCGACCGGACAGCCAAACGGGAAAAATCGATTGGGCAGTCCTGTCCGATTTTGTAATTTGTACGTTCGATGGATATGAGAATAAAACAATTTTGTTTTTCTCATTTTCAAGGTAATGGATATAGCTTAAAAATTAAAATTGTTGTACCTGATTTTAAAAAATAATTTTTATTATGACTTTCAAATGGATTTTCTAAGGATTAGATATTTCTATTTCAAATATACTTACCCCTGCGGATCTTTTCAAAGGCTTCACTAAATTACACCACACTGCCAACCCACAACCCTCATCTTCTTTTAATAGCAGGTCCAATGCGAAAAAAAAAATATTATCGACTCGTTACGTTTTCGAACGTTCCGATGATCGAAACGTTAATGGAATAGACACATTTTTGGTTCTGCTAAGCAGTAGGATGGATGTCTGTATTATTTCGAATTTCAAACGCCAACGATTTAGCTGACGGAAATCACAAAAAAATTACAAATTCAACTGACACCCTGTAAGACTTATAAGGTTTTTCGCACTGTTCACGATTTTCCAAACCCAATATATCTGTTGTATATAATTCTTCCCACCATAGGAAAATACTTGTTAGTTTATTATTCAACAGATAAAAAATATTAAATATTTAAGAATATAGAAATTCAAACTATCGATAATGCAGAAATCTACTAATGCAATAGGTACAGGGTTGCTTTTAACACAACCTTCCAGAAAAGCTTCTCGTCATTAAGTAGGCACGCAGCTTTAAGGTATGGGATTATCGTTCTCTGCTACTTAAAAAGAATTTTGGGACCAAGTTGATCGCGAAATCCAAGACGGCTCTGCGAAGGAATGACAGAGATCGGGTTGCCACGGACCACCGTCACGCTCACCGCAAACTTTATCCTACCTGTTTTCGCTAATTGAGCGAATAAAGATGTAACTGGACCTTACGCCCCTGAGGTATTTGCACCCTTTTTTGCAGATAAAATCTATTTTTCTTTCAGCAATCCTTACACTCACGAAACACAATGAGTCTCACTGAGTGATCATCCAGAAGGATTCAGTGCTGCCACTTAACTAAGTACAGATACCATTTTAACAAAAAGATTCCCTAGGCACCATTTATTCCCTAAATATAATACTAGATAAAAGTATTCTCTCGTAAAGTAAAACTCGTCCTCTCTACCATTGAAATTCAATGACTACCAGTTTATGAAACTATTAAGATGTCATTAGCGAAATATTCGAAACGCGCGTGCCAGCATCGAATGCTACTGATTTCTTGCGTTAGCAAAGATGATCGTTCTAACCTAACAATAGCCCTAATAAGACGCCTACAGGGGCGGTCTTGTTGAGTTCAAGGAGCACATTGTATTCGTCTATTATCGCACAAAGGCGTTCGCCCGTTTGCATGATGGAGCTCAAAGCAATTTTTTTCTCAATCCTGGACATCATGTATGCTAATAGGACGGTTCCTGCTGTTGCTTTTAGCAAACGTAACAGGGAGTAGCAACAGCGATAGCCTATGGGCCTGAAACGAATATGATGCTACCTATTATTAATATCATTTTATTAAAAACGCAGATTCAAAATCTTTTTTTCATTACGTCTTATCACAATACATTTTTATGATTTATCCTTGCGATCGAAAACTCATGATGGATTTTTAGAAACTTCAAGGGGTCTCAGATTCTCCTTTTTTTTTCGTCAGAGGTCAGTAGTAAATTTTAAGAATGAACAGATTTTTGTATTGATATTGATTCGAATTTCAAATTCGATTAGTTATTCTTGAATGTACTGATTTTCTTTTGAATATTTTTATAGGTCGCTCGAGTAGCGGATACCGGTTACATGTGAACCGTTTGTCATAATAATGATTAGCAAGAATCCATGTCAAGAGAATTTCTCTCTTGAAATGTAAACACGGCGAATGCTTCCTGATGGATCTTTTTAACGTTTCCAGAATACTCTTAATCGCTGTAACGCTTTTGTGGCAAGTCTTGAGTGTTATTTTGTGCTTGATCTCGTGAATCGGAGCTCCATAGATCAGTGACTTCGTTTAACAAACATATGTTATATGAATGAAAATATCTCGAGTTACGGATAAAAGTATTCTAAATACATCGCAGCATCTGTAAGACATATATAAAATAGCATTCATATAAAGATACCTTAATCCTTAAGAATTATTGAATTAAAATTAAATGTTAATTCTCAAGTAATTCACACATTCCATATGTAATTTTGTTAATACTCCTTAACCATTGATTGAAGTTTTTTCAGACATTGAACAGATTAGCAAAACCAAATTTAGGCACTAACATTGGCGTCGACACCAGAAAAATTGTCGACGTCACGCGTGAAACGGTTACGCGTGTAACTCGCAATTATTTAGCCAGCAGTGACTCTGGTGAAGTAACGCAAAGGTGTATGACTAAGCACGTTAAAGTCAAGAGTCGTAGGTACAGGTAGCCCGCAGCTCACCCTCGTCATCTCCATCGCGCGACTCTTGGTTTATATAGGTATGTATAATGGTTATGTGGCATTGGTATATAGGCGCCGGGCCACCTGTTGCAGTTCCGCTGGGCGTCCCTAAGGTTTCTGGTGGGGTGAAACCAGCGTATCCTGATTGGTCCTGAGGCACGTGCTGCTCGAGGGTGTCCTGCTCCCCGAACGCATAAATCCCCTGGTTCCATCCGGGGCACGTCAGAACCTCGTCGAGAGCCGAAGGGTGCTTGTCGTGTATCCTTGAAGCATTAAAAAGAATAATTAAAAAAAAAACAAAGGTTAAAAACATATCTGGTTAATAAACACTAACCAGGTCCTTCCATCATCTTAAGTGTCTTGGACTGTCAATTGTGGGACGGAAGTACTTGTGCTATAAGGTGTAAGAGTCGTGAGTGTCATCCAGAAGAGGTCATCATCGGTGAAATGGAATTGCAAGAGATGTTCCGCTATGGGTATCTATTTCCACCTCAGGAGGACGTCGTGCCAACGTATCTTGAGCTACCCAGCTACTCTTATCTGAAAGAGAAGAGTGGTCTGCCACCAGTAACAACACTGACTGCACCAGGTTGTGCAGTTTATGACAATAACAGTGACGGCTGGCATACACCAAGTCCAGCAGCAAGTCTGAGGTCGATCAGTCCAACCACGACGTCAGTCTCATCAGAATCAGAGAGTGGAGTCCTGACCAATATGAGGAACCCGTCGAGTCAGCCCCAGGAGAAGAGGTACAAGACTCATCCGATACCAATGAAGACAACAGAACACCAGATTAGTGTCCAGGAACCTGAGAAGATGCCATCGTCCAGACAGAGTATCGTCAGCAACAGCAGTAGCCTCTCCGACAGGATGGACCTGGAGGAAAGCGATGGTGCAGAGAGCGAAGTCGAGCAGGAAAATTGTGAGAGCAGAAGACGTGGGAAATACGTGAGCTCCACCGTCGTCAGGAAGAGAAGGTTGGCGGCCAATGCGCGTGAACGACGCAGGATGCAGAATCTTAATAAAGCTTTTGACAGGCTACGAACGTATTTACCATCATTGGGTAACGATAGACAATTGTCAAAGTACGAGACCTTGCAAATGGCCCAGTCTTACATCACAGCGCTGTACGATCTTTTGCAGTAACCTTATCGACAGTGGCGCCATCTACGCTGTTGTCTTTATACTTTTCTATGTGCTCAATTTTTCTAATGTAAATATCAGTACTTCGTAAAGCCAGTTTTACATACTTGTAAAGTCTCCTGTGATACACCAAAAGAAACCTGAACCGCGCGCGCGTCCTTATTATACATTATATTATATATCTAATCGCGAGAAACGATATATTTTTTCTAAGCTATTTATGTACATAGTCGAATGGAATATTTTTCTGTATATACACATATATATATATATATGCTCTGTTGTACCATAGTAACTCCATTATATCTATACATATTCTGTAGGGAATTTTAGTGTAAGCGTTAGTTAGATATTTATGATGAAAACGACTATGACATTCCGTACGAGACTGAATTGCGCATTTACATAGAAGAATATGAATAAAAGTACCTTTTAAAATATTTAACTTGCATATTATTTACTTGAAAAAAAAAAAACAAAGCCAGTGTCTAAAATTATTAAATAATAAAAAATGTAGGTACCAAAGGTTTCATAAAACAATCGGTTGTATCTCCAGATTTGAAATAAGAATTTACAACAAAAGTTGTTTCATTTTCTTATAATACTTAAGGGACACCGTAAAGAATTCCATTTCCAAATTGGGACCCCAGCGACCAGGAACCCACGAATTTCCAAACCTTACCTGAACATTCTCCTTTTCCATTGCCGCTCTTGCCACCCTAAACACCATCATTAGGAGCAAGGTAATGTCGCACTTCCGATGTTCCTAGGGTGTCTAATATCTTGGAAAGAAAAAAGAAAAAAAAAACTATATAAGAACATAATATACAAAACTATATATATATATAAAAACAACGCGACAACATTCATATACCCATAAGCTTACCCAATCGAATCTTTTATGTATGTTCATGATCTTCAAGTTCAACCCCTAACTCGTCATCCCTGTAGAACGGAACGCGATATTTCTCCAGTTCACTCTTGCAGTTCAACTTTATAATTTTAAAAAGGATAGATACTCGATGGAGAAGCTTCGTCATCGGTGGTCCGGTTGTCATCCGAAACCTGCGACGCGTCGGTGCCAGGTTTCATCATCGCAATTTGAGAGCCCATCGTCTCCCTCACTCCGTCTTCGCCTGTGTTTATTAAAAGTTGAGTAATATGTGGGCTGCTTCTGAAATAAAAATAAATTTGCCTGATATATTTCAAAAAATTCATTTTCCCCGCCAATACCAATATTTCTGCGAATGACCGTTATTATTTAAATTCTGATTCCATTTTTTTACTGATATCACACCCGTATCTTGTTATTACATAGTGTAACCAGTTGTACAGATTTATGAGTTCACGAACGGGTGCAAAGTCCGCGTAATTTTACGATTCGACGAAGAGCCACGCGTTTTATGAGCTCTTGAAAACCATACGTAATTGAATGAATCGCAAAGATGCGACCACTTTACTGCCGCCTAATTTCCCATACGTCGTAGGGGAACTCATACTAAATGGTACATTACGGCTTTACAGCTACTATACCCTCTACCGCAGTGTACTTTAAATCCTTTACTTCTCCACTAGGTTTACGGCACACGTGAGAAGACAGAAACTGATTCAATTTTATGCCTAGATTCCCCTATACAGTTTATCGACCATGATCACCATGATGCAATTAAAAATACAAATAAGCTATCAGAGATTCAAATACACTGATTATTAAAAGAATGAAATATTTATAAAAAATCTGAAAGAAATAGCACAACCATCGTCTCTTACTTGTTCATTTTCCTGAAGATGTTCACAGTTGTAAATTCGCCCATAACCCCATAGCACAAGTAGACGTACGCTTCGCTTCTAGTAACTTCGCCGCTGGTGGCTTTTCCATTGTTTTTCATTTTACCTTTCCCATTTTTACGGAACTTCACGAGATCCTGGCTACCATCGCTCCTAGACCGTTTCAGATGACTTATTACGCGGAAAGTTATGAGCGCAGAAGTACGTTAAGTGTGCCGCAGCCACCTAACCTACGCCGACTACCGTGCGCTGTTCTTACACGGAATGGGCCGCATTAGCTTAGTTTATGCGCAATTCATAGGCCGAGTAATCGTTGACTTTTAAGCTTGTCCAACACTTCACTTCACTTCTCTGGCTTACTGCCGCGTAAATGCACTCAACTGCTACAGTAACTCGTGCCATCATTTATAAATGCTTAATGAGAGGCACACTTTAACCAACACCATGCAAGCCGACCAGAGTCGTAGTTCGGTACCTAGTGCGGATGCATTTGAATTGTTTTTACGCGGGAAATTCAAAATGGACTATTTGACAGCAGAGAGATATTTCAGTGCCAGCAGGTCATTCGAACAGTCTACTTTGTCTAGAATTGATCCTGGGCTTTGTTAAGGGATGCTAAGGGATGATCAGTAAGCGTTTCTTAGGTAAGCGTGAAAAAGGGTCCGAGGGTTAAGAAAAACCTATATTCGAATTGGCAATCCTTTCTTCTTCTGGTTTCTCGAAATTCGTAGATCCAGTTTCTAGAGCGATACTTTGGCCAGTTTTTAATAACCGATAATTACAAAGCGTGTGCGCAACCCACCCTAATCGCTCTGACGTGTTCTGATCAATTTTAATTGCAGTCTTCTGCCGATAGATTCCTATTGATATCGTGACGAGTTAAATGCTTCTCACCCTCCCAGTCATCAAAACCAAAATTCATCTAACAATTTTATTTTATACCTAAATATTAAGTCCGTACGTATATCTACGTGAGACATATGTCTTATACGTATATATTTGTAGACGTGAGAAAGTTTTCACTTGGAAAAATTTATCTGAGAAAAAACATAAAATATTACGTCTCACTGGTTTTCTCAAGAACAAACTCTCGTTTGAGTAATGCCAAAGAAAATCGTATCTCGTCATAGACTTTACATCATATATTGTCAAGAGGCTGTATGGATCAACTTTTCTATATTCATCTCCTTCACAAATGTCCATTCTTCACGTTTAATTACACCTGTCACACTAAAGACGCAGTGTTGCGAAAATCAAATAAAACCTCGTGTCCGTTAGAATAAAAAAAAAGAGTCGTAAAAGGTTTCTCGCTGAAGATAAAGATACACGACGAAGATGCAGAATCTCATCTCAATTTCACCGCAGACTGTTATGGCCCAGAGACGCGTCCCTCACCTGTATACCGCATGCGGAAATTCTTAAGGACTAACGTGGGAGTCAGTTCACTGACTATACGTGGTCGGAACACACACGAAGCTTTGATGTTGACGGCGAGGGTTGCTCACTGAGTATGAACAATGACGTCACGCAGTGTTACCCACAGGGGGTTGCAATCGTTGCGAGAAAGATATTCCTAGTGGCGCATCCTATCGTTCCAAATCGAATTCACTATTCGAAATTCGGCCCACGCACGTGTTGTGCAATATTCTTATATATGTATATATATATATATCCCTATATACTTTGCAATCCTCAATAGGATACACAGCAGGAAGCTAATACTTCTAATCGGTTCTAATTTAAAGCCACATATATCATATTCGCTGTTAAAGATCCGAGGGATTTTCGCTGTTCGATCTGCATCGTTTTTAAAATTTTCATTTCTAAAAATATCCGTGTCCAGTGACTTTTCTTATTTCGGCAAGATCAAAAGTTACTATATTCCTGTCATATTCATATATATTTTTTGTAATTCGTAATTTTGTATACATAGAAATATTTTTCTTCGTGACATAAGGCGATACTGTCGAATGAAATGTTGCGTTCATAAAGTCAATAAAGTAAGACCATCATTTTAGGCGGTACACGTACACTGTAATCAGTGGTCATTATCCGTAACAATTTTACAAGGCAGTATTATTAAATTAGAGTATACAAGGTTTTTGCGAAGTGGCAGTTTCAGTTGGTAATGAATGTTACCAATGGCTGATGTTACTTGTCTTATGATGATGATAGCCAGTGGCATATAACTTCATACGTATCATCGTGTCTCGGACAAGTGTTTACTTGACATCTCACTCAGAATCAAGAAAGGCTGGTGTTGTCCTGTGAACAAATTTTTAATTTACCTTTCGTGTCAGAGTTAAATTATCACTAGGGTATCAAGGTACCCTTTTATTACGTCATTGAGCACAGTGCACGTTGATGCACATGAAGTGAGCAACAATTCATTTAAGATTACTTGAGATTGATTTCATACTCAAGTAGAGTCCATTATATGGGTATATTATTATATGGTTGTATAGATATTTGAATTTTCGCGGGTTCCCATAAAACGTAATTTTTATGGCAACAAAAATTCAGTACTTTCTGAACTATCTAGTCATCACCTTTCTAGGTAAGCACCAGGAGGTACAAAAATCTGAATAGCTGTCCTGTCACCGACATATAAAATCAAAATGACGGGCGACCACATGGAGCGTAAAATATATTTCCTACCAAGAGAAATTCACTGCGGGAAACTATTTTCCCTAAGACAGGTAGCATACGTCGCCATTATATGAAGACGAGAGAAATTTTAATATAATTTTATGAATTTCTTGGTTAGGTTAGATATGTGTTCACTGCGAATCTATTGATGAATATAATTTTGATTGGTTAATGAAATTTTGTTTAATCCTTTGATCGCATCTTTCAAAGTGTTTTTTTTGTTGTTGTAATCTAGGAATATTCGAAATTGTAGGATCCAAAGGACAAACCAAGATGGTCACGTTGAGAAAAGAGGAGGTTAGGGCGCCAGTCGTAAATTTCATAGCGGGACAATCCGTCCCGAGATCCGCATCAGTTCTCGACGTGGAGTCTGTGGCCACAAAAGGGCGCAGTGCAAAAAATGCTAATATGGGGACGACTGTGTCCACGCAGTGCAGTCCTTTACTTATTTTATGGATTGTTTAGAGCAAATTACGTCTCGAGTTAATTTACTGGCCAGTTGCGACGTAAATCTTACGACGAGGCACTTTTAAACGGTAATAACATCTCGGTTATGACTATTTGAGATTTAATTGTACTTCGCCGACTTCTGATACAGTCTTCTGATACTGTTTGTCAATAGAAATTACTGGCATTATGTTGTAAGATAAATATTTCATATATTTTTTATAATATATATTTGAAACACTTGTCGATCCTTGTAACTTTAAAATATATATAGTAAGTTATTACCTAAACGATATATCGGCCACTGAAAATATATAAGGTTAAAATCCACAAATATTTGTCACTATAAATTTGTATTGAGTTCTCAAAAAAGAAAACCGGGTTTACAGTAAAAATCAAGTAGCTACTGTAAACTTCCGGTTTGGCTGGTGCAGATCAAAGAACAAATAAAAGTAAAAAAATTCAGGTACAAAATTTTGCTCGTATCCCAGTGACTATTTCACAAAAGAAATAGTTTCTGCTTCTGATTTTTGAAAAACATCTGTGATGATAGTACAAACGTTGAGGCATCGAAAGTTGGCGTTTCCTCTTAAGATGCGAAGATGGTGGCAAAGAGTGGAAGCGCAAAAAGAAGGATCCTAACCACGGTAGAAGGTTTTGTAGACGAAAAGGACGTAAATATTTTCGAAAGCAATGAATTCCGAGTCTGGCATAAGAGAAAAGCCGCGCGGACTGGTCGACTACGCGTGCTGGCAAAGCCACTGTCAAAATACTTTGGATAATAAGGATAAAGAAGAAACGCCGCCGCTGTGCGTTGTCTGATCTTGAGATTGCTTTATTTGAATCCGTTAAACACACTCCGCGAATATTTTTCGGTCCTACCTCGAAGCCTCGTCGCCCATGAGCACACAGAGGCGTAACATTAAACATCGAAATAATGCAATCTCAAAGGTAGGATCAACCGATAAATATAATCGGTCGTTGAAATTTGTCTGGTGCAACGTCGCGAGACTCCGACTGCACCTGTACCGTGGCATGAGACTACGGTGGCCGTGGTAGTAGTATTAATAGTAGTAGTAGCAGCAGCAGCAGTAGTAGCTTAGTTCTTTTCTCTTTTTTCCTTTCATGGTCAGTTCTTCTTCTTGTTGTTCTCTCTCTTCTCCACCTTCGACTACATTTCAGTCTCCTCGTTCCAGCTGTACTTTAAAAGCATCTACTTATGCAGCCACCGGAATGACGTTTCGGACGAGCTGCGATATAAATCAGTTACTTCCGACATCGGCCTTCATTCACGACAAAGTTTGCCCATTAGGGAAACGTTTAAATAGATAGCCAAGCCGACAAGTTCGCCATAGCGTCGATTTCAATATCGCACGACCGATCGCCACTAATCGGCCGAGTCGCACTTTTGGAATCCAAACAGTCGCCAGGTTATCGATGAGAATGAAAATTCAATGTTGTAGAAAGGGTAGGTGCCGACAATGACACACCAGTGGCGCCGACCTGAAATCATAGCGATAAATCTATTTTCCATTATTTCATAGAATCTCTGAAAAATCAGTATCTCTTTTTTTATTCTCACGACCATACACAATCCTTTACGTACGGGAACAGAGGGGTTAGCCAACCCTTGAAATAATTTCAACGTTTTCAGGGATACTTTTTGTTCTCGCTCTAAGCTACCTGAACAACAGACTCTCCACGTATATCCGAAGCTCCACAAGGTTAGGATTTAAATGGCGCGCGCCATAAACCACACACGCTAACCTTCAAAATGTTCCTGTCTGTTTGATCATCGGTATGGCAGTACTACAGGGTGGTCTGGCGGAAGTCCATTGAACGAACCCTGCCAACGAGTCTACATCGTTTTCCTTCTTACCACCAAGTTCCTCCAAGTCAATAGCACTTGATGCGTGCTGTCGCGAATACTTTTGGATTAGAAGCAGGTAGACAACACGTTCTGATCCCAAGGGACATTATAAGGAACATGGATGGACCATTGTACACTTTGTATACCTGCCAAATCCCTGCAGTTAAAACCAAACTGAATTTCTCTCCTTTGGCCTGACAGAATAAGTAAACCAATTCTATCACGTTACGTAGTGGTACAGTATAATAAAAATAATAATATGCAGTATCGACTCTTTCAATTTACATCACAAGCCATAGCCTTCGTAACCTCACTTTGTCATAACGATCCCTTTGCACCAAAAGCTAACCTATACATTTTCAATGCACATTCAGAATCGTCTGATGTACTTTCAACCACGGTCTTACATACAGGTCTTGCAACTCGCCCAATTTTCAGCGGTGGGGGTAGACGTGGTTTTGAAGCACGGCACATTTTAAATTTTAGTCAGAAGCGTCGCTGTGAGCGAGCGACCCCTTATCTATCTCACTTTACAATCGGCTGTGGGAGAGAGAAATAGGAACGGATCGCAACGCCTCTTGTGGTCATGAAGCGAAATGAAAAATGCTTCTAAAAGAAGACTACCCCCTCCAAGGGAGTTGCAAGACCTGTATGTACGACCGTGCTTTCAACGCTAACAGTCAATTGCATTAACTTACTTCTTAGAGTGTCCCGAGGGAATCCCTGGACGTCGGCCTGGAAATCAAAGAGCCTGAGGGTTCCCATCGATTCAAAGTCCTCCAGGCAGGAATATAATATCACGCTTGTCGTAACGAGATGACGCAATGATACGGACGAATGGTTTGTTTGTATGTCGTAAATGAAATCCGCTTAGTATGATTGAGATGCTGTAACGTGTACCATTGTCAAATGGAAGGGTGGAACTGGTGAGCAAGCAGCGGTGAACCCTCTCTAGTGACACGTGTACTCGACACTCGAGACTCCCTCAATATTAATTCTATTTAATCAAACACCGGCGCTACTGGGATTTAACTATTGTGTTTAAGCACGGACACTTGAAGTTTGTTCGAGTGGATGCATTTATTTTGGTACTTATTTGAATCGCGTATTAGTCGTTTATGAATCTGGCTGACGGACGCCATGATGGTTTTAGACATTAATTATGTATGGTTTATGAGTAAAAACAGACGCGTCTAATAAGACGATTATTAGACAGTTTGCTAAGGGATTCTTTGGTTAATCAGTATCTTGTTATTTTTGCAGCCCCTTCTTTAAGGGCCCTTTGACCAAACTCTGTTTCAAATTGTTGGGTCTGTTGTGGTTTCAGGTTGTCAATCGCTTTTGAAATTATTGACTTCAAGAATGGGAAACGACGCACTTTTTTGGACAGAGAATGTAAATAAAAATTGATTTTATTGTTACAACTATGGCGATTTAATTAGATATTAAATACTTAGTGTTACGGGACGATTAGATTGCGACATGTAAACATATAGTACTGAAATTATTGAATGTACTTAGGACTTTTTTATCGTACTTTAATTCTTATCAGTAACCTAGGATATGTGGTTCTCCTAAAGAATATTTATGTTCATACACTGTGAACGGTAATATCTAATCAAAAGCTTATTATTCTGTAAAATTTGGATTTTTTAAAAAACAGTCAACAGTTTGAGTTTTAAAAATTGCACATGTTCACTGGGAGACCAAATTTTAATCTATTTCTTGGATTGTTCGAGATGACTGAAGGCTCTTCTTTTAACCACTTTCACGGTGTTTCTTAAGCCAAGCATAATCCTCATCATCTCTCTGTGGTGCAGGCGTAGAGGGACAACTTTTTGATGTACCGCCATCTTGAATATCAACCAGCAGACTCTGTCTGCAAAGCATGGAAACGGTACTCATCTTACTTTCCTTATCCTTCCCACGCCTCATGCGCGCTCGCCTGAATTTATTAGCAATCTGGCTGAATCGACCGCTTGATTCGCGGCATCTCTTTGCCGATCGCGGCAAAGATTCACAGCCTCGACTCAACGACAGCCGTTCGTACGTGTCGGGATCTACGTTTATCATTCCAGCACTTGCCGATTTTATAAGATCCGTCCTGAGTATCCCAGTCGCTACATTAAGATCAGATTCGGCCCTGGAGCCACAGGCGACATCGCCGAGACGATCGATCCTTGGATCGTGGGAATAGCAGCCTGGACCACGAGATAAAAAATCTTCCTTAGCTCTCTGGATCCTGAGAGCACGTAACTTCGAAGCTGGTTGATCATCTTCGGGAATACTGCTAGAGTCAGGTCTGCGTATCAGTGTTGATTGCTCCGAAGATGATGAACGTGACAGACATCGACCTTCCTTTCGTGCAACTGCAGTTGAAAGTGCAGTAAGTTTATGAATAAGTGCTGGTGATATTTTATCATTAGATCCTCGATTAACTAACAATTGATCCATTTTCTTGTTATCCATTTTAGAATAATTTTCACGTCTTTTATCAGTACTTGGAAGAGATCGAGTACCTATGAAGCCTGCACTTGTACTTTTGAGAATCTCACGTGTACGATGTGTACGTTCACCGGAACCGGAAGCTGATGTGAACCTGACATCTTCCCTTATTATACTGGTGCTGGCACTTTTTTGAACGTCATGCTTGTGAGGACCTGCTATTGCTTTTCTTACTTCCTCTTGATACCTTTCCATCTGCGTGCGCACTCTTCTTTCGCTCGAAGGTGAACGCCATATCGGTGATCCACTTCCGCTACTGGCTGGACTTCCGGCGTCCTCTAACTTTTGATTATATCTTTGTATCATCATACGAATACTCGGCGATGTTTCCTTGGGCGATGATTTGCGATATTCTTTTCTTGAGAGTATAGGCGACTGGGGCAATGGCGGCCTTTTTGAATCCACTTCATGTTTTCTTCTGTCTTGCATACTGGGTGACGCCGAATTTGATCTGCTGTTATGTAAACGCATCAAAGCCTGCGCACCAAACTGCTCAGTATTTGCTGTTTGGTTGGATGCACTGACCGGAACACCTGTTTGACTTTTACCGTCACCTTCGACCTCGCTGGAATTGCATCCCGCAGCTTTCCCTCTGCTGTCCCTTCTGAAGGGTGAGAAGATCATGCGTTTCGTCTTCACGAAGACGCTGCGTGCTCCGATCTTATCTTTTTTTACTGACGATTCTTGTGTATCTGAGAAATTTCCACTGTTGCGATTTGACGAATGGGCTGATGACGTTTCTTGTGAACACGATTCATTATTTGCTGTACGAACTACTATTTTGTTCAAGGTATTCTCATTTATTCTTATTCTCTCCACGTTAGGAGTTTCTCGAAATGCAGAAACTGTTAATGGCGTTGTCTTCACTCTTGTTGCCTCTTCACAAATGTCAGCTGGAACACTGGAATCTTCCGCTTCCACTGGTCGCCATTTATAACCTACTTGTGTATCTGTTAATCGACGGGTTTTTAATATTTTCCTTTGTCGGGTATCCTTATCGACAGTGATAACGACATCTTCGTCTTCCGTGCTGCTCTTCCTTCCGGTAATTTGCATTTTTTCATTTGCATCTGAAGTCTCACTGTTCTCCCAATCGTCAACATTTCTTATGGCAGAAGATAAAGGACTGACGTGTGGTCTTTCTTTTTTTTCTTGTAATTTTGATGCTTCGTTTTCATGTTCCTTCAGCCTTGCTGGCGCAGCATCAATTTTCATCGGGGAACAGTCGCTTTCAGTTTTCTCGAGTTTACCTTAATGAAGAAACTGTGATAATTGCATTGTAGCGTGAAACTGTGAATACGGTTGTTCAATACATTTGAATTTACCTTGTGAAAAGTTTTCTTCTCCTGGTTCATAGATACCTGTAACAGCATCTCTTATGCTGGAGAGTAACATCTGCGCGCTCTGACGGTGATGATCTGAAATAGTTGGCGTCCTTTTCTCTCGGCTAGTACAAAATGCATCTGCATTATCCTGCAGGCACTGATTGTACCGATACGTGAATGTGGACTCCAATTTCTTTATCTTCAGAGAAATACAAGAAAAATGTATACATTAATTACAAATGAGATATTAGAGTGTTACTTTTTACAAAAATTTATAATTGATCTATACGATTTACCAGACGAAGTAAACTCCTTTTTCGGTTTTCGTCCATATCTTTGGCTTCGTTAATTTTCTTAATCAAATTACTGCACAAATCCTTTTGTTGCTCTAAGGTACATTCGAAAGATTTCTGAAACATTTTTGTTTCACTGGAAAATACGATCTTGTTGTTTTTCTACTGGCAATGAAATTAAACTATACAGTATTTTTTCCGTCATGAAAAACTTATGGATTTTCTTGGAAGTATTTTCAATCGTGTGCTTTACACATCGATCGATATTTGTGAAACGGGAAATATGGAAGTAATAAAGATGAATTTAACGTTATTTTTGCTAGAAAACCGATCATGCTGTGATAAACACTGTACGCCATATGCATGTGGCTGGACTTATTGTTAGTTTTGATTATGCGCACGATGTGTACTTTGTAAACCGGAAGTTGTGCAAGCAATGCGTTCGATTAATGACGATCTTGACGTTTAAAGTTTAAAAATAACGCAACATTTTCAAAAATAATGGCTTCCACAATTGATAAACAATATTCTAAAAACTTTCCAATTTATATTCCAGACAAGTAACTTTTCTACCGAAAAATGTCTTTGCCATGAAAAACAGGAGAACTTCCGGTATCTACCTTTAACTTCCTCTCCATCGCGAAATCCTCTTCCGCACTTCCTGTCCCGACCTCGCTAGCTCGTCCTGAAATCAGAACATTCTGCTTCGGATTTTATAATTTTAACTCTGAAAATATTCTTACCGGCAGTCTCATCCGTTTTTGAAGACATACAAGCGCGTTCTACGGTTGCTCGACGAATTTTTCTATAAAACATGAATATTTTTATTGCACACAGCAGTCAATGAAGAAATCATGACAAATGAAATCCCTTAGAAAAATTACCCTAATTTTTCCACATTATTTTCAATCTCTTTAAAAATTGTCAAGAATTCCTGACGTCCATTTGGGTCACCATATCCACCGTCATCTTCTTTAGATCTAGATGATACGAATACAGTTTGATGAATATTTTTTTTAGTCGCCACATCCAGCACAACATCAGCTTCCTTGTTGTCTGGCGTCGTGATGGAATCCAACGTGACAAGACCTTCTTCTTTGCATCCTTTGAGCGTTGCTCGTGCAGCCATAGGATGAACTTCACCAGCTTCAACCAAAATGACTGGTGACGGCTCGTGGCTGGAAGTAACTGTACCTAAAGGAACAGCGATACTGGTCGTTTCACTAGCAGCTACACAATATATCGGAGTTTGATGAGGTCGAAGTTCAACCATTGGACTAGCAGTCTCTTCAATGACGTCTTCAATATCAACTATCATAGCTTCCGGTTCAGAATCGTCAAGTGCAATATCTTCAGCATTCTCTTCTGCAATCATTGAATCCGAACACATTCGAGAATCAACTGCAGTAGAGAAGATCAATTTTATAATTATGAAAATAATAATTTTCATTTTTCATATTATTTACATGACAATCAAATACCTACCAGCCATGCATTCTGCTTCTAATTCCTCCATGTCATTTAATGACAAACTTGAAGGTTGTCGAATGGGTGTTTCATCACGTTGACTTCCTTCTACTACGCTGCCCACAGATTTTGATCTTGTTAATGGCAAACGCGAGACTCTATCGTCTGTAATCAAAGAACGTTTAATTACCTGATACGTTTATTTTATTAGTAAATGACAAAAATTGATCATCTCACGAGTAGCGTTAACTGTCATCACTCCTATGGGTCCTCTGTAATCTGGATTTAGAAGACGGAAGGTTGATGATTCAGGTGAGATACCCTGACTCTTTTCCCATTCATAAAGTTTCCTTGTAAATTTACGTGATATCCCTTCAAAACGATAAAATCCTGTTGACGTATGTACCAATACTTCTTTCTTTTGCGGCGACGAACCAACCACACGTCTTAGTTTGGATAATCTGTTTGATTCGATAAAATGACATACTTCATTAATTTTGAAAAAAAATTCATTAAAATAAATTATTACAAAATTACCTGGCTTCTCTATCCAGTAACTTTTCTTTTTGTCTCTCAAATTTATGATACTCCCTTTCAATTTTACTCCATTCTCTTTCCAGTAACTGAAACTCCTTGTCTTCCGGTGTCTTCCAGCTTTTCCCAAGCTTGGTAGTGCCACTTCCGGGCGAAGTCCCTGAGTCCATATCATCCTCAACACGACCTGCTTTTATCTTCTTCCATTCTTCCATCTTCTTAATGAAGTCTTCCGACAAGTGTGGCTTATTATGCTCACCTTCAGACTTCGTTTCCGGTTTCGAAGTCGAGCGCCACAATTGCCAATCGGTAATACGTCTTCGACCAGCTTGTTGTTCACTGCTGATAGGACTGTGAGGACTTTTTTTAATTCGTTTCCACTCTTGCAATTTTTTCTTAAATTCCGGAGTAAGTTGCTCCTCGCCCAATAATTGCAAATTTGCAGAATCTCGTTCTCGTGCTGACGACCCTAGCCCACGTGGGCTTAGATCATGACTCGGTGATACCGGTTGTAAATTGCTGCTATGCGAACTCGCCTTTAGCTTCTCCCATTCTGTGAGCTTTCGATAAAATTCGGCACTCAGTTTATCATGAAGCAGTTGGTAGTTCCGTTGTATCTCAGCCTGAATATTAGAATTCGTCATATCGTTCTCCAAATTCTCAGCACTGGCGTTGTAGCTCTCCAAACCATCCGCTTCTGCAATTTTTAAACGACGTAAATATAATAACAACGGCGATCAGATAAATTACCATTTTAACATTAACATTATTTATGTTCATTTAGATTCGAGGAATCTGAAACAGCGACTATTTTCTCAGCCATTTACGCAAATATTTTCCAGACACTTCTCTACCCAGGGTATTCATTCTCTTTTCATTTTTTTTAGCCACATTTCCTGCTACTTTTACCCAATTGTTTTGATTCACCCTAAAAATATGCAGTTCTTGTGCATCTACAGACATTTCATTTTCGTATCAACAATCAGAAGCAAAACTCTTTTATACTGAGAGTCTAAAGATATTGCCACGTGATCCATGAGAGATTTTAAAGTAGCATATTGAAAGCTACCCTAAACACCGATTCACCATGTGGCAAGACCTTGGATACAGAGTTATTTTTGTTAATACTGGAGAGGGCCGCAGAGTCTCGTTATTGCCAGCCGAGATTTGTGATCGTCGTGAGAAAATGTAGTTCTCTAAAGTGTTCTACGAATCCAGGAAATATTCAACGTAGAGTCGATATAACGCACGGTACTGTTATTAATGCCTGGTAGATTAATACGTGGGAATTAATGGGAATAGTTTAAAATTTATTTGATTTCATAATGAGATCCAGATTCATAGAATTGCAAAAGCGGAACTGATCTTATTTTTAGGATCGATAAAAAATTTATAAGCGGTTTTTTGCAAATCGTTATCTTGATTTATAACCTCGTAAATTGTCATTGCGTCGAATCATTTATACACATGTCATAAAGACGGAGTAGGTCTAATAAAATTGGACGATTATAGCGATTTTTATATCAAACTGAAGTTTGTACGCCATTTTTTGTTCTCTTTTGAATTCAATTACCGATTATAGGAATACAGGTATTCTGTATGTGATCGAATTACAGTCATTTATTTGACTCTGTACAACGCAATTTTGTATACGCTCGTTATTTTGAAATAACTGTCACTCTGAATGTTCAAGGAGTTCAAAGTTTTCGTTTAACGATCTGACAGCATGTTACGATCATGTTGCCACATAAATTTACAGTATTTTTAATTCGTGAAATATCAAAAATCGATAAAAAAGTTCCGTGCTTCTGTCGTTATCTGTCAAAGAAAATATGTCCTACGGAAAAATCCTCGTGTAAATTACCAAAGGAAAAAATTGGTGGTCGAATAATTCGTAATCGATGTATGGAATACAAAAAGTCTCTTGAGAAATGTCCAAAAAAATCATTTGACGAGTTATGCTGCAAGAAGCTTTTCGAAAAAGCGTTGCCAAAAGTATCTGATAATTATTTAGAAAAATTTGTATATTATTAAAAAATATTTGTATTATTACGACAGTGCGAAAATACAACGTCGTCAGATGATTACAGGAAGGCTCACGTGTCGATAAAGATTCGTGCGAATAAAATTATGAATTACGTGGAAGAGTCGGTGAAGGCAATTCGCAAGGAATTAGAGGAGGAACTGAAAGTTGCAAGAAACGAAGAGACGTCAAAGATGCATAATATTTTACAAAGCGTCGAGTACAAAGCAGTGAGATTATCGGAAATGGATCCGCATTGTGGAATGTCTAAGAAAAACGATATTCTAATGTTGAACGATAAAGCAAAACGAGAATTAAATGTTTGGCAGTGCGACAGTGCTCCTGGTATCCGAAAGATCAAATCAGACCTATCAAAACTTGAGCAAGATGCAAAATTCAAAGGAGAAACGGCAATGGCGTTGATACAGTGCTGTCGCAATTGCAGGTCGCCGTTAGCTTTAAAGGAATGCATAAAAAAGAATGCAGAAGAAGCCATGAAAATAATCGAAGCAGCAAACACCGAGGCGAGGAAACGTCTAAACGTTATTAGAGAATTAAAAAACACGACATTCAAAGAAAACCGCGCAGCAGCCTCCGAAATCACAAAATGGTACGAGAAAGAAATGAGGGATATGTCAAATCACTTATCAGACTGTATCGAGGGTATTATAAAAGCACGACGTACTAATAAATCGAGACCTTCATAAATATCGTTCTCATTGATTCTATCACTCTTATTTGATTTAGTAACACTTTTTTTATAGTAGCACAAAATATTAGATTTTCCATCTCGACGGTAACCCATTCTAATTATATCAAAGTTAGACAGTTCGACTTGCCGTCAAAGAACGATGCAATTTTGCTTGGACTTGGCGGAACGGATGTTGTGTTGGTTAGAAAAGCCTTTTTCACTTTGTTCCACTTTGAGTCGTGTCGTTGCATCTTTGGGGACGATGCCAAAGATTGAGCTCTTCCTGATCGCTGAAACGTATGAATGATTTATATGAATTTTAGCAATATGCTTTTCGTGCAAATTTCATTTTCATATAAAATGCATAGAATTTTTGTATCCAAAATAATAATACCTGTCTTTTGTATTCTGGTACATCCTGACAGGTTTTTGACTTTGTTACTGTATAACGTGAACTAGATGATACAGGAGTTGTACCAGTTGATATACTTCTAGAAATTTCATATTCCTCCGAGGTAGAACGATCTTCAGCAGAATCTGGTAAAAGGGTAAACAGTGGCGATGTCGATTCTGGGGATGATATACTTCGTAGTTCTTCTCTAGATGGCACTGTAATCGTCAGGGTTGGCGTTAACCTCCTTGCAGCAAGGTCCACAACTTCACCACCAGGAGTCGATGGTTTTAACGATAAGGTAGGACTTTCTGAAGTCACATGAATACGTGGTCTGCTGCATTCCGCCTGTTTTCCCATAAAGGTTTATTTCACAATTGTTGCTACAATATTGCTATACCAGCAAAATGTTATATCTGGTTGGTACTAGGGTAAGATCTATCTATTTAGAATATTAGACAATGGATAGATAACGGTTGTGTAATATCTGCCATTATCAAATTCTAAATTATAAGATCAAAGATCAATGAGTTTTGGCTCTATGCAAAATATAATTTTTAAATATATCGCACTTTGACATTGATATCTCGAATCTCTTAGAGGAGGTTATATTTTTAAATCCCAGTGGCAACGTAGAAGTCGAGGAATTATTGGCTGCTAACGAAGATCCACCTTTGTAAGTCGAACTCAATCGTATTTGAGATGAAATCTGAATCGTTATACACTGTTCATATTTCTCAAAGCAAAATCATCCGATGATTTTTATAACACAATTATCTTTTACCATAAGAATCTTCAAAAGCCACCATTAAATGCTTCTCTCTGATCTTCTACCCTCATCTCTCTGGAATGCATCTAATATTGAACTCTGGCGTAAATAATGCTTGATAATAAAAACAGCATGGCGGTATACAAGTGGGAAGTTACCTCCTGTAGAATTTCCGAGGATTCAAAGCTGGAAATTGAATAACCGTCTTCACTACGGAAGCTACCACGTACCGGATGTCGTCGTATACTTTCACGACGTAAGTTAATCATATCCTTTACTTTTCCCCATGGAGTCTTGCATCCCTTATCACTTTTTCTATTACCACTGGTACCGTCCTACAAAGAAGTTCCGCCAAAAAATATTTCATACCGAAATCAAGTGATATTATTTTTGTCTGCAATCCATTTTTTGTTTATCTTAATTACCTTAACAAAGCGATTATTAAATGCACTGCTGTGGGACATTGCCAGGTCGCCGTCAAGGGAACGACTTCTGCGACTCGAATCCTCATCTCTGACGTCATTCTGAACTCGTGATGATAGTTGACCGGAATGGTTTGAGACGCTTTTCTGTACACCTGTTAGACGAGTTGAAAATATTTGAAGTGGATAAACGAGGAGGGATAACGTTAACTCTTTGGATTCTGTGCTTTATAATTCTAACATGAATAATACATTGAGAGTGTATTTTTGCAGGAATTGATACGAAGTTGGTATTCGTTATTCCAGTCATTTTTAAACTAACTCATACTCACTTCATACATCGAATGATACAAAGATTATATTTGTATCTAGGGATGGATTGATGCTTTAAAAAATATATCAGATCAGATTCATTATTTTTAGTATCTATATATTATATCGGACTTGATATGTGGAGATCAGGGGATAATGATGTTAATTAATAACAAAAAAAGTATGAATTAATATACAACATATTAATCTTTACCAGGTGATACGTCTTCCGTAGAAGAAGAAGATGACAGTGTACCAGGAGTAGGCGGTACAGACATTTCTGAAGTACGATGAGATGAACCGGAAGTAAGGCAGGTTTCTATATTTTCCGGTACCCTGAGGTATCTGATGACATCAGAATCTCCAGTACCACCGGTATAAGCTCTTTCCCATTTAAAGGCAGCTTTCACTTTTTTCCACTTTGACACCTTCGGCGCTCCATGCACTAGGCTGTCACGTTGCTTCCTGGAGATTTGATGAGTGAAAATACGTGATGAATCTGGACTACCAAAGACAGGTTGATCGACGCCGACGGAATCGCTCCTCTGGCGTTGGACCGGTGGTCGAAAGTTACGTCTTTGTGGAACATCTGGACCAGCTGAGAGCATAGCACCTAGTAAGGACTCAGCGAACCCAGCATCCTCCTCAGGTATAACAGGATCTTCTCCAGATAAAAGTGCTTTCTCAGCATCCCTATGAGCAGTCGTGAGCGCTCTCAATCTTTCAAGCTCTCTGACACGTCTCGAGAGCTTCGCATTTTGTTCGCGAAGATTTAAAACCTGTTCCATGAGTATATACAATCGATCTAAGTGATCGAAAGCATCTTCAGCGCCCAGAGATGCTGCGAATGCTGACGCAGATCTGGATAAGGAAACTGGATGCCCTTCTCCCGGAGTAGGCAATCCCATGAGATAATCAAGAAACTCTCCCTCTTTTTGGAGCGCTTCTGCTTCCAGATGAGCTTTATGTTTCGAGAAAGCTTCCTCAAAGATATTTCCTTCAGGTATTGGATCTGGGGGTGGTGTTGGTAGCTGACCTGTGTCGACCTTATCACGACGAGTTTTTCTCTTCTCTTTACAGGAATCTCCAGGAGAAGACGTATCAGCTGTTCTACGATTAACTTTTTCCTGCCGATTCCCAGCATCTTCAGATTCGCGTCTTTTAACGCTAGTTGGTCCATCCTTGCTAACGGATGAACTCGCAATCGCAGAATCCTCAAGTTCACCAGGTGGACTTATCTTTTCAGCCATTTGAAATTCCTTCAGGTATCACGCAATAGCGCATGACTAGATACACTGGGCCATTTCACACTGTCTCACTGTCTTCTCTGTTCCCAAAATTAGTCAGCATCCGGAAACTGTGAAAAATATCCTGAAGACACCTCACTCTCTACCACAAGAAAACGCACTTCTACCTAAACACAGTTATCATTCACATCTTTATTAAGTACCAGTCCAAGATGATAGCAGGTAAAAAATCAAAGAGATCTTATCGCGAGATGAGAGCTACGCGTTTCCCTGTACCAGACTGACATCCCTGGCTTAGATCCAATTACTCAGGAACGTTCGGTAGCGCCCTGGACTCTCGCATAGAAGCACTTCGCGCAAAAGGTTGCGCGGAACGTAGTAAGCTTTGAAAGTTTGTAACAAAAATTATTTTTGATTCAAATTTACAAAAAATCTATAAAGTCAGACCATTCGATGACGATCTTCACGTTTAATTTTAGGTTCAAATCTCTTGTTTTACTTTCGGATTTCCGGAAGACGTCGACACTAGCAGTACAGAATTCAGTAAGACGGTTAAAGAAGCTACGGAGAAAGTATTGCACTTTGTGTAGTTATTTTCGGCCGCAGCGCCGGCATTAACATATTTCCGTTAGGATGTAAGCTCAACCCCACCAATACCTTCGTAGATCGTGAAAGCATTCGGCGATGCTTTTCTCGGTTAGCTTTTACCGTGGCTTCTGGCGTTTACTAAGCGTGCGTGAATGCGTGCAATACGTTTCGGAAATAAGTGCGCATGCGCACACGAGAAACGGTTGAAAATAGATACGCGGAAGACGCAGACTCCGACTCCTGCAGAACATAGCTGGGTTCTTCGATGATGTTTATTTATGTTCAACAATATCCAATCAGTTTCGAGCTTTATTCCTTTGGCGTTATCGATGATATCCAATGTGTTATTCCCGATCGCATCTCATCTCGCTGTATCATAACAATGAAAACTTCTGTTTTGGATCACCAGTCTGTGTACGGTAAAACCATAAATTTCAACTACAATAAGGACGTAGTTTCAAGCAGATAATTTTTTATTTAAGAATTTCAAAAAATTATAACATTTTTCATCCTGCTTATCATTTAAATTATTCTTGCATAGGTAACTTCGTCAAATCCGGAATTGGTATTGCTGTTATTGTTGCACCTAATTGTAAAAAAATAACGTAATCATATGTATCTAAATACTCAATAATTTATACTCGCCTATTATAAGACCGGACATAATATAAATTGTTGATAGACATGACATCTTCATGTAGAGTCTCATAAAAAAGCCTGCCACGTGTGGAAGTATTCTCATCACACCTATGACAGTACATCTGAATAAAATGGTTACTGTTATTGTAAATTATATAAAAATCTAGGATATTATTCTACTGGAATATCGTTACCTTACAGACGTTGGATAATTTTCCAAAATTGCTATATTTATTGACGTATAGTTAATTGCGTATGAAGCTAAGATGAATATTGATAGTACGACACGTGTGACGTAACGTGATGCAAATACAAATGTAAGCAATGCTGTACCGCCGATTAGACCAGATGATACTGTAAAATAGAGAATTACGGTTAGTCCTCACGTGTTAACAACCGTCACCAGCGCCTATGCTTGTACGAGATAATCAATGTGAAGTAGACATCTTATAAAACGAGAAGTAACCGGTTGTCATCCGGGCGCTATTTTTAAATCTATAATTTATGTGTGACTGGCTGTGGATTTCGTTGGAAAATCAGAAGGTAATTTTCCGTAGCTTTTTGACATAAAAAAGATCAAGTTTAACGAGCCTGTAATGTCTTTGAAGTACATTGATGGGATGGATGTTGAAATATTTTCGCGTTGGCTTCCTAATTTATGGGTAAAGTAAATGCACGGGATGTTAGGTGGATAAAAAAAAGTGATATACTAACTTGTTAGTAATTTTCTTCCAACTATATCAATTCCAAGCACGAGAAATATTTCACCGAGTATGTAGCTCAGTGACATAAGTAAAAAATATTTGAATCGAGCGTCATTGACTTGGTGACAATTTTTCAGAAATCCTGAAGCCAAAATTCCAGAATCTGCTACGCAGGACGTATCGTCCTTTAACGGATTCATTTCCAGACCTTTTGAAGTTTCTTGCAAAACGTGAGAGTCCCATAATGCAAGCCATGTGAACCTGAATAATAGTATATTAACATAATTTTCTGTGATTACAGTAAATGATAAAATGTTTATCTTAATCACCCAGGAAACAATAACAGGGAAGTTAAAAGTCCCAATAGCGTAATGCGTCTGAGAGGCTGTTTAAAAATTTTCATAATTCTTTTTATAGTCACTATGAAATATCTGTGGAAATTATTTAACATAGTTCTTGAATGCTCTTCGGACTCTTCTTCAGTTTCTATACAACCATCCAATTCACATGGCTGAAACGAATGACTCATTTGATTGCTGACTTATTATGACAATTAAGAAATTCACGATGGAATCATTGTATTCGTTAAGTGTTAATTATTACTGCTGGCAATAAGTGTTCCGGTTAGACGAAATCATTTTGTAATTCAACTTGCTAATTTACCGGATAATTATTGCCGTGCCTCGAATAATTAACTGCATATATTTGCTGAAGAACTGCAAGCGCTTGTTCAGGATGCCGACGATAAAGTAGATACCGAGGACTTGGCGGTAATAAACTTGATGCACATGCCATTATTAGAGCTGGTGCCCCACCTAATCCTGCCAGGACTCTCCAGGAACTTGGTCTAAATTCATTGCCAAGCATACGAACTACAGAAGGTACAAGAGACCAAGATATACCTTCGATTGAAGAAAAAATGAAGGAAAGTATTAGTAATATTTTATAAACGTTATATAGTGTAATTTGGTAATGTTCATAATTAATATTCTACAAGTATTGATGAGTATATAAATTAATACCCAATGCTGACATATAGCCAATTATCCATAAAAGATCAATAATGACTAAGGAAGATCCTCTTCTTTTTGCAGGTAGACACTCTATTAAGTAAACTCTTAACACTGCATTGCTTCCTGCCACTCTATATAAAGTTTATTGTAATTAATTTATTAGGGTTAACTTGCTGACAACTTACCCTACGCCAAGTATAAATATGGAAAGATTTATAAAGAAATATGTTTGGGCAAATGAAAGTCCTACGGATGCACAGAATATTACAACCATAGTGACTGGAATTGAACCTTTACGACCATTCATGTCTGATAATGTTCCAAAAACAAAACCTCCTGCAGCCATGCCTGGTCAAGATAAAAACATATCTTGTGAATGATACAATCAGAATTGATTATGATGATATTACAATAGTCAGACAATTAAATTGGTTATGACACACTATAGGTGACTGTGCAAAGATTCAATTATATAGAATTATAAAAATTAGTTTTTTACCGATTAATAACATTGCGTTTAGCGTCAAGTCAGTGTTCTTGTTGAGTTTCAGATCACATGTCAATAATGGTACGATTATGGGAACCGTAAGGGATGCACCAGCCTCTGCCAAAGTGCACATTCCACATAGGACAATGAGAAAATAATTACACAGACCCCATCCTGTGGAATCAAATTGGTTAATAATTTTTAAATACTAATTACAACCGCGCGAACCTGTTGTTGTAATTGCCGTTTCGCATTTATCATCCATTTCTTTGTAACAGGAAATCAATGCTGTTGTATTAGAAAATTTTCCAGTGCTTTCAATTCAAGGCTAAATTCCGTCATTAAAAAATTGCATAAATGACGTAGTTCACGTAATTGCGCTATTTGCCTTGAACGTAACGTTCAGAGCATTAAAAGAGATATATAATGCAAATAACCTGTTGATTGGTTTAGCCCCGTACCCATATCCTTATACTAGGTGTGACTTTCTAAAGAAAAAGAAACTACACATGTAAAAAAGAAACCCATTTATTGAAAGAAAATTAAAAAAAATATCATTTTCACAAGTACAATCAAGTGGAATATCATCTCACAGAGGATTGCCAATTTTTGCAATCACTGATCTACAAAAATCTTTGCTCGTGGTTTATGCTTCTGATTGAAAAGTGAACGTGGAACACGCAATCGCCTATTGAGAATATGTATTACATAAGGAGTTTTTCCTTTACGTGTCCTTGAAATAATCCTTGGATGCATGAACATCAGGCTTCATTGTCTTATTGCCTGGTTTCCAGCCAGCTGGGCAAACCTCACCATGTTCGTCTGTGAACTGGAATGCCTGGACCAATCTTAGGGTCTCGTCAACGGATCTAATAGAAATAAGAATAATCATTTTTATAATTTTTAATTGAATACTGCTTTGTAAGTATTATTATGTTGAAAAACAAGCTATTTGCAAAGATACAAATTAAGTAAAACCAACCTGCCAACAGGGAGGTCATTGACAGTAATTTGGCGAAGATTCTGTTTGCGATCGATGATGAATAAACCACGGAATGGAATTCCAGTCTCCTCATCAAGTACTCCATAATCACGTGCAATCTTAGTACTCTTGTCTGCCAAAAGAGGGATTTTCATTTCACCTAGACCACCCTGCTTACGAGGTGTATTGACCCAAGCAAGATGACTGAAGTGAGAGTCAGTGGACGCAGCAATGAGTTCACATCCAACTGCACGGAATTCGTCTGCACGATCCGAGAAAGCGATGATTTCAGTGGGACACACGAAAGTACTAGGCAAATAATGTTTATAAATTGGTCAGTTAAATATTAAACAGTTGGTAATAGTATCGTAATGACTACAAAATTTCTTAATCAGTAATTTTAGGTGACTGAAAATACTTAAAACCTTAGCTAATTAAATAGATTCAAGTTTAGTTATCAATTATATCAGCATAGATAATACACATGACAAAGATATATTGTCTGTCTAATACACAAGGTAAGCCATATAATAAATATAAAAATATTAATACCACTAAACCAAAATAAGAAACTAACTAAATTAATAATACAGGGGTTCAAAATACTTACAAATCCAATGGGTAGAAAAATAGAATTAGATATTTGCCCTTGTAATCCTCAAGGGAGATATCCTTGAATTGACCATTAACAACAGCAGTGCCTTTGAAGGAAGGAGCTGGTTTTTGCAGTGCAGGAATAGGCATGATGAATTTTCTATCAAAATAAAACCACGAACAAATATTAATATCCTCATTAAACAAAGTAAGAAAATCCATAAATGTAATCCTTATCAAATCATGTCACTGATGGTGCAATATAATGTAACAGACCAATGCTATTACGTAAATCATATCACTAATGTTAGAGCACTAAAATAAATAAAAATAATAAACACCAGAAATTTTCATCTCTAATAAGACTTTCCATCATAGATAAACAATGATAGCCTTTGATTTCCATTTACGGCTGCTACTCCCATGGCGTCGTTAGTGACAATATTTAAATGAACACCAACCATAGCAAGTAAAGCCGGAAATAATGATATGTTAAAAAAACGAATGTAACTTAGGACACGTGGGAAATGATTAGTAAAAGATAAAGATTCATGAATAGAAAAGAGTATGACGCCGGTATATTAATCGCGTACCTATGTATAAGTCATCGCTCGCACATATAAAAAAAAATGAAGTAGAAAGGTAAAAGTCTGCGAATTGAAAGTGATATCTAATCGGGATAATATTCGTTAATCTATCGATTAGACATTCTTCTGCCTATAGACTAATAATTATTGGCAACCTTGAAAATGATGGAAGAAACATCGAGAACCGCCTTAACGCTTATACCCACCGCCAAGGAAATGAGATAAAACCTAATATATATTAAACCTTGAAATAAAACAATAAAATAGCTAAAGAACTAAAGAACATACGCATAAAAAGTTGATCGATTACGCAATTTATGGAGTCAGTGTACTAAAATTGTGTCAGGTATAATTTTTCTTTGTCGGTCATGTTGAGCCCTAAGGGGATATATCGTTCTCAAAAAAAAAGGACCGTTACAATTTAGAATTTACAGATGGCCGTGCTCTCGAGATTAATTTAAAAAACTGATAAAAATTGAATTGTTGCATGCTTCTTTTGTATCATTGTATTCATACGATTTCCCCAAGGCTCTGTATTAAAATTGTTTTTGTTAAATAACCAGTAATAGTTGTCAGTAGAACAGGAATATTGCTCACCGGAGTTTTTGAAGCTGGAGAGAAACCGACCGTTCACTTGAAGATCTCGAATAAGAGTGAACTCCAGCAAGCAACCGGTTACGAAGTTACTTGCCAATTTAATGAAAGTACTAGATCACAGTGACGTGCTTTACTTGTTCGGACTGTACGGCAATATAATTCGTGGCAACGCTGCTTCCAACCGTTCCAACCTGATATCTTTTGTCCTTTTCTTGTCTGCACTGTGATTGCGTATTGACTTGCGCAGAATATTTGTATGCCAGGGTTGCAACGGAAAGTCTCTAGAGGAGCAGTGATTTTAGGTTATCCTATGTTGTATTTAAGCTTTTACATTGCTAATAATATAGTTAATTCTTTTTACATTATAACTTAATAATGGTTTTACTTCATTATTCTGCGGTGGGATTAGTAAAATTATTATTGGATTATATCCATACATGAGTCATGAAATTTTAGTTCCTCATGCTGCTTCACAGGGTTTAACAAAGTTACTAGGTACTTTTATGTAAATTAGGTAGTATGTACATACAACAGCATATAAGTACAGGTGAACTTTAGTTGTTATCTATACTTGGATGAAGAAGGACTGTTCATTTATTAAAGTTTGAATAGAGGCATTAAAGCTATAGGTCAAAGATAATAAGTTTGATTAGTTAGATTTGTAAGAAATTTAGTGTAATCTTAAAATTATCTAGAATTGAAGAAGATTCTAACCATTTTCTGGAATAAATATTTTCATTAGTAATCGACTTTGTAGTTGTTTTTAGTATTGTGCATTATTTTTAATAGATTTCTTGTTCAATTATTTAATATATGTCAGAGTGAAACTATAAAACTTTTTTTAGTATGTCTGGAATCGTACAATATGTGATTGTTCGTGGTGATCTTTTAAAATCACTTGGGTGGCCTGTTGGTGCTGTGATTGCTCAAGCATGCCATGCGTGCTGTGCTGTCACACATCTTTTCTATAATGATCCAGATACACAAACATACCTTGCAGATTTAGATAATATGCATAAGGTAGTGTTAGAGGTAAGTTTCTTAATAAGATAGTTTTCATGATGTTTTACTGTATCATATTCTATTAATACTTACCGATAAATTCCTAGGCTCCTGATGAAAAAAGCATCAATGATTTAAAAACAAAATTGGAGGAAAACAACGTTAGCTATAAACTTTGGATAGAGCAACCAGAAAACATTCCAACATGTTTAGTCGTTAAACCATATCCAAAAGAGCAAGTACAAAAATATTTTAAGAAATTCAAATTGTTTAAGCACTAAGTGTATATTTAGGATTTTTAAGAATAAAGCTGCTGCATATTAATGAAAATAGAAAAATCTACTTGTTCAATATCCATTCAAATTTAATTATTATTCCCGTGCTGATTAAGTACTATTATAAAGATTGTTTAATTGAAGAAAACACCCGAGTCCTGCGGCTGTTGCGCACAGGACGGCGGGGGAAAACCTCAGGAAAGGAAGGAAGTCGGGTCGAGCGACAAGGAAAACGCAAAAGATAAGTTAAACACGAAAGGTCTATCCTTAGTCAAGATTCATCGGCACAAAAGACCCCGGGCGTAACACCCTTGCCCATGCGAGCACCGTCAGGACGTCTCGAGGGACGACATCTTACGCTGCAGCCTGGAAAGTGAGAGGGAACAGAGTGTAACGAGAAGATAGAAATAAAGAAGTTAAGGAATAGAAAAGTAGGGGATAGAAGCATAAAAGTAGAAAAGAAATAAGGAAAAGGATAAATAAGAAAATAAAAAATGAAAGATAAATAAATAATTAGGTACAGAAAAAAATATAGAAAAGGAAGAAGATTGAAAATGGATAAGAGGGGTGCTTCCAAGAGACCAGTACAGGAGACAGGCTCAACAGATCCAATGATATTTAGTAACATTTGGAAAGCTATATTCAGTGTTTCGAATTTTCAATATTTCTTTGCAACTGATTTTTTCCTTCTTCTCGCGGATGATCCAGCTATTCGTCAATCCCAAAGGTTTGAATATTTGTTTTACCTAGTAGGTAGTGGTAACTAAACACTATTAATTATGACCCAAGAATCGATCTATTTACAATGTATGGGCTTATCTCCTTTAATATTATGTACTTCCTCATTAAAACCTTCCGTTCATATTTATCAGCCAATAGGTACATTCAATGGATCTTAATCATTTAATTTCAAACTGTATCGACCAATAAGTTACGTTTGCTACTTATTAGCGGCATTTTATTCGGCGCTGCCATGCGCAGTCATTCTACCAATTTCTGCGTATATATACGTATAAGCGCATGGCGTCGCCTGACGTTGAAGTAGTGAGAAACAAATAAATACTGCTGGTTACTGTCGCAAAAACGTTAAAAGCGTTGAGCCTTGGTACGGTATCCAGGCTCCCTACTTTCTGTATAAAAATATTTTGTACAAGTTCTGTTACCTGAGGAATATGGACAGTAAACTGTGAAGTGTATTGTATAACCTAAAAGCTTTGAAACGTAACTTAAAATCGTACCTATAACGTATAACACTATTTCATAATCTGAATATTGTGTTATAAATAGTGTTAAAATATTTGATATTAAACATTTTAGGCATTAAAGTTAAGCTAACAAAATGCCGAAATATTATTGTGATTACTGCGATACATATCTGACGCACGATTCTCCAAGCGTAAGGAAAACTCATTGCCAGGGTCGCAAGCACAAAGACAACGTAAAGTATTTCTACCAGAAATGGATGGAAGAACAGGCCCAGCATTTAATTGATGCGACAACAGCAGCGTTCAAGGCAGGAAAAATTGCATCGAATCCATTCGCAGCAAATAAGGGAGCAGCAATTCCACCACCTCCAAATCTAGGCCCAAGACCTGGTGTGCCGCCACAAGGTCCACCGGGAATGATGCCACCTCCGGGAATGCATCCAGGTGGACCGATGGGACCTGGAGGACCAATGATGATGGGACCACATGGGCCGATGCCACCAATGATGGGAATGAGACCACCAATGATGGGACCAATGGGTCCTATGGGTCCTATGATGGGTCCTATGGGTCCAATGGGACCTATGAGACCTCCTATGAACGGACCACCACCACCTATGGCTGGACCTCCACCAATGAAAAAGTGATGACATTATCTATGTGGATTATCTTCATATTTCTTGGACTTTGTCTTTCTTGTATTGCGGATAATTGTGTTGAAATCATATAATCTTAATGTTATACATATTACTTAGGAATAAAGTATACAAATCTTTGTGAACGAATGACTGTAAATAAGATTGTGTTCAGTAAATCGAAGATATATGTATCATTTCAACACTGGAATACATAATTTTTAAAATTTCTGACAAATCATTTTTAATCTATCATAATATAGATTAGGTAAAAGAAGAATCATAAAAGATTTACATAAAAGTGTTAACAATTTATTTTACATTGTTTTACATTTAATTATTTTCTGGTATATAAAGATATCAGTTATGAAGTTATGCTCTTAAAATTCATTGACTATATACAGAAAACTTACTTTGTGAGCAATATGAATGATGAAATTGTTCTTTAAGATCCAAACTCTTCAAAGTAACAGTTTTACTTAATATATGTATGCAATAATATCTATGTATTTGATACACTTTTGTAAGTATTATGTGTAACATACATAGATAAAACAAAACCAAAATGAAAATTGGTACATGTTACTGTAGAACTAAATTATAACAAAATCTTTCAAGGTAGACATTTGGAATTCTTAGAAAGAAAAAATATTTCAATAGAGAACAATAAAATTATATTTCATATTACTTATTCTTGAATCAATGATAAGTATTATCTATTTATTTATCATTAGCAGGTTTTACTATACAACCGAGACATATTTAATGCGGAGAAAGTTTTTGACAATAAACAATTTACATTTAACTCGTTTGTTTAGGTCTGTTTTTAGGTGCAGACAATTTTAAAATTAACTGTTTAAACAAAAAGACGTCATTTTTTTTAACGTTACCATCTCTCAATTTATTCTTTAATACATTAGCCGCTGTCGTTAATCTTGGTATATTTAGATTTTCAGCTATTTGGATAGCAAATTGTGCATTTTTTCTTATAGCTGGTGTAGCCTTCTGAGCGTTCTTGTTCTTCTTTTGTTGAAATAACTTGTCTTGACGCTTTTTCTCCAAATTCGCCCTCCGTCTTGCTTTTTTTGTATTTAATATTGGCTGTAAGTTAGGTATTGTATTAGATGTATTTGCCACATAAATTGGTGGATTCAGATTTTGTATTTGCTTTGGCTGAGCATTGTCCTTGAGTTGATTATTCTCAACATGGATAATCGTATCAATTATGATGTCTGATGAAAAACTATCATTGGGAAGTTGATTCATTTGTATGGTATTCTGTGATGCATTATTATAAGCAAACTGATAAGGAGTACCATGAATATTGTTTGAATGACTTTCGTAAGGCAATCCCAATATATTAAAAGGCTGATACTGCATTCCACTACGATTACTAATCCCCGTTAAAGGTCCTTCTTGGTTTAGATTATGCGACGGCATATTGTAAGGGTTATTATTATCGGTATAAACAGATGATCTTGCAGTATCCAAAGGCAAAAAGTTTTCTTGGCCTACATTGTCAGACCTTACGAAGCTGCTGTTGTTCATGAAATTAATGTTGCAAGGATTCACCAAGGGAGGTTGCAGTGGTAGTAGCAGCTGCGGTGTGGCATGAATATCGAAAATTGAAGGAACTGGAGCTACTGTAGTTGTACAGGTCGATGAAGCTTCAATAGGAGTATCACTTGTTATTGTGTGACTCGAATTTCCAGTATCACCACTGCACGGTCTTGTATCTGTAGAACTTGTTTCTTTGTTAGATATCGAAGCACCCTTTCTACCGGCAACGTTTCCCGCATCTGAATTATAGCGAGCACTACGTTCTGGATTTCTACGTAATATTTTCTCTCTTTTTCCTTTCTTATTATTTTCATTTTTATTTTTTTTATCCTTATTAGGGATCGTCCCATCACTTGTTAGTTTATAAGCTTCAATCGGTACGTATTGTCCAAAGAAATTATTACATAAGAACATAATATTGAAAAACGTTCCAATAGGTACGGTTTTACTTTTCATTTGACGTAAATCATGAATTATATTAGTTATACGTGATAATTTGCGTGTGTTAAGTTGCCCTCTTGAACTTTGGCATTTCAAAGTCATCACTAGTCTACATTCCAGTTTCAATAAACGTGTCGTCGCAATTTCGCTTTGAGTACTACGGATTCCGTTTCGGTGAAATTCCTTGATTTGGCGCTTCAAACTTTTTATCTCAGTTAGTAAATCTGCAGGATTTCCAAAATCTACCTTTGCCTCGTTAAATTTATTTAACAACACATGGATCATCTCTGATTTTTGTAGTGGTAGTTCTTTCAAGATTATATGGTTCTTATCGACCTCGTCACGACGTACCCACATCATTATCATACGTTTAATAGCTATTAAATATTTTTGTTCACATCTCAGAGTAAAACGCAGATATATTTTTGTACTACTGGAGATAGTGAACTCTAGTGGGACTAAATCAGCAACATCCTCTAAAAACCATGGCATCGTACCTGCGTCTATAATGCATTGTATATCTGGTTTCACTGTTTTCCACTTTTTTCCCCACACACGCGGGTTTTCAATTACATGACGAGAAGTGTATGAATATATAACATTTTCTTGTGCCTCTTCGGCATCATTAGGTACTTCTTTCGGTTCAGGTTCTTTCTCGCCAATGATATTTTCATCGACATTCTTTTCATTATTTTCATTCACAAAGGATTCATCAGGGATTTCTATGACTTCGTTTTCTGTGTTACTAATATAATGTGGACCATCAGTATAATCAGTTACGTATGACGGTGTTGGAAAATGTTGTGACCATCTATACTTAACACAATCCGTATAATCATGTCCACGTCGAGCACAATTGCAGCAATGCAATTGATTTGCAGGTTTCATTATCATATTATTGTCTTCAGATATTTTCACCGTTAAGGTATTTGTCTGAAAAATAAAATAACAAATCAAAATGATGAGTGATAAATTTGCCTGTAATCTATTACAAAGGAATTATTTTTATACTCACGGTTCGGTGAAATCTACGCCACAGGTCAGGACACGTGGATTTTTCATGACCTTTCGAACCGCAAGTACTACATTTTAATTTTCGACAATATTCGCAGGTTTTTACATACGATGATGTTGGTCTCCCACACTAAAAATTGATAAAATTTTTTATGAGATCGTTGATCATAACTTAATGAATACTATAAAAGCACGATTCTTACAGTGAGACATTTTTTCTCAGGACATCGAGGTTCTGTGTGTCCTTCCTTTCCGCACATGTGACAGTTAGGAACTTTTTTTGGAAATGGACAATCAGCCTTATTGTGTCCATCAGAGTGACACTGTTTGCACTTTTGAGTGGACCAATATCTTTGTCTTCTTGAAGGATTACATAAATCTGAATCTAAAATCGCCCAATGCCGTGGATCCTCTACATAGAAATATAATTGTCGTAAAGATTGTTTCCACAGTTTGTAAAATCTAGTCAAACTGGTTTAATTATGAATCTGGTGATTGACTTACTCGGCATATCACCTTGCACCTGTTGGATATCAAAACGTTCTCCGCCCCACGATTCATTGTAGAATGATTTCAGCTCATCGCTCATAGGTAGGAAAAAATAATCGGCTGCGCAATTGCGACGACTTGATTTTTCAATATTCTTTTTCTTTGGGGTGTTAACTCCCACACTACTTGGTCCAGCCTCCGCATCAGAGTATCTTGCTTGTTTAGAACTAGTACTTGGACTAATGATAGTATCTGATAACCTTTTTCTCTTATTTGGTGATTTTTCTTTGTTACTTGTTTCAGTATGGGTTATTATAGGATCATTTTTTTCAGATGATGTTTCTTCCGCAGGTTCAGGATTTTCTACTGGATCTTGTATTAACGCCTGTGTAAATTCCGTAGAATTTGCTTCTTGATTATTAGATCCCTCTTTAAAGTTAAATGTTACACTACCAGAGAATTCAGGAATATAATTTTTCTTGGTAGCATCATGAGATTCCTTGGTGGAATTGTCACTACCTTTTTTGCTCTTAGTTTTCTTATGTTTCACATTTTTTGAATTGTCAGCAGTAACTTCGTTTTCTGATATTGAGACACGTTTCATACTGCTTAGGGCTGTTTCACTTTCATTCAAACTTATTCGACTTTGAGCTAGTTGACCCCAATTATCAGCCTCACTTTCTGTCATGCTGTCATCGCTGCTTACTTGCTTAGATTCTGCTGTAGCAGACATTTTCTTTATTTCTTCCAAGCTAGATGCTCCTCTTTGGATTCCAGTGCAATTTAAAATTATATTGTGTTCTTCGCTTTCAACAACAGGTTGTTCTTCTGGTGTCGAATTAGCATTACTAGGTAGTTTTGCAGTCCAGTTAGTTTGTAATGTGGTATTACTCAGCACAGTTTGTCCTACTGGCTGTGAATCATTACTACTTTCAGAAGATGTAGTTTCAAAAGTAGGTACTGGTGTGTCAAGAGCACCTGTCTGTGATACTGTCTGATTTCTATCTTCGTCAGATATCGGTAGTAATTCAGAATCTGCAGTTTTGTTTGCTTTTTTAGTTGTCAACTGATGATCACTAGTCAAAGAAGTAGTTGGTGAATTCGGTCGATTTCCTATTTCCCTAGATTCGTCATCAGAATCGTGTAAATTAATTACTGGTGGTGCAGGTTTTGGTGGTACCGGTACTTCAAGTATAGAGTCGTCGGAATCGGAGGTGCTGTAAATTCTGGAACTTTGTCTCTCTTTTATTTTACTCTTCTTCGAAAGAACTTTGTACTTGCGAAGAGTTTCTGTTATTGTATCTGATGAATCTGAAGATGTAAGTATGATTATGGGTGCGATATTTTTATCATTTTTCCGTTTAGAAGCCTTTTTTCGCTTTTTAGATTTCTTAGATTTTTGTACTGTTTCTTTCTCAGTTGTATTAGAAGATGTTGTTTCTACATTAGCACTTTTTGAATGTTTCTTTTTATTTTTTGAAGTCCCTTGTTTTTTCAGATTAAATGTATCCACTGCAGCTTGTCCAAGTACATTTAATAAACTGGAAGGGTCACTTCTTGCTGGATTTTCAGAAATTATTCTTTCGTTCTCTGCAATTTTATTTGTAACACTATCTTCTTCAATCAGCTGCTGCTGATTATTGTGTGACTTTTTTTTAATTGGGGTAACAGGATTGTTTTGACAGATTTTTGACTTTTTGCTTCTTGGTGTTTTGTTACCTTTATTTACTTCGGTATTTGTATTATCATTATTAATAATATTTGTAGCAGATTGACTCTCTAATTGAATTTCATGAACTTCTGTATTTTTTTCCTCAAAAGCCTTATTCAATGAAGGAACATCACTTTCTTCTTGACTCTCGTTAGTCACAGATTCTATATTCTGGCTTTTCTTTTTTTTAGGCGTATGTCCTTTCTTTGAATGAACTTTTTTATTAGTATTTTCAGAATTGGTTTGTTTGAAATTACCATTATTCTCATCAACTTGGGAAGCTTCAATATTATGACATCTATTAGATGATTCTCCTAAAGCAGGTTGTGGCTTATCCTCAATGTTCTGAGATACTTCGCTATTTGTAGTAGGATTATTAGTTTCTACACCTTGGTCTATATCTGCAATATTTCTCCAATGATTTTTCACATTAATAGTTGTCATACTATATTGTTCCTGTGGAGGAGACTCTTTATCAGGAATTTCATTAGAATAATAAATTTCAGCGTACAATCTAGCTTCAAGTTCACTATTAGCTTCTCCTTCCTCTTCATCATTCATATTAGAACGATTTTTCTGTAACAATGATAATTTTAAATAGCATGCATCAGTGGAGAAGAGAACAAGAATATAATATTCATATGCAATACTATAAATATGTAATATTATAAAATGAATGACAATGTTATGTAAAGATAAAGTAAGGTTAACTCATACGGTTTTCTCACCATAACTACATTGCTATCCATCTCTTATTACGCTTCTTCTTGTTATAGCCAATGAAGAATAGTTCGAGTAGATTTATACACATTGAACAACAATTGTATTTCGATTTGCCAATAAAATGTAAGAGTCACATTAATAAGCTTTGTTTCTCTCGTACAAATGAGCACATGGCCGAAACTTCAAGTTTAGTATGAGAATAGGAAGGCGCCTTACCGTTACATTAGTTTCGCAAAGATGCGTTTCGACCAAATACAAGGAAGTATCACACGGACCCAAAAGGCAAATAAAGAAAAAGTTTTAGAAGAACCAAGAGTAATAAATTTAATTATTCTTTTATATATTTAGAGAAATTAACATATATACGTAAAATTAAAAGATTCTGTACAACGTGCAATTTTATTTTCAGGTACTTCGAAAATAGTATACAGAATATATACATCTTTTGGCATATATTCTTTCCATAGAACTTTACTAATATTTACTATAATTATGAATTGATACTCAACATGAATATACTTGTTATGTTACTTTATAATGAGTTTCTCGAAGTAATACTCGAATATACCGCGCATGATACGACAATAATTGAAGATGATGGTTGCCGGAAGTAGACGTCATCAGTGCCAACTGCCAACTAACTTGGCTCTCATCTGAGCTGCGCCTTTCATCGGAGAAAATATATTTTTCTCTGTTTCTCCTTGTACCCGCACATATTTCCACATTGGGTAAATATACTTTTGGTATTATTTAATAGTTTAAGGATATTATAATAATGATATATGTTTCTTTGGGTGGCGACGAATTCTATGTTTTTCTCATCGTGATTGATACTTATATTTCTGTTATTTTTGGAGCATAGGTGTCTGGGCTCATCCAGACTTTTTTGTTGGTTCCGCAACAATATAATAATACTGTCAATTTGCATTGTTCTGGATTATAATTATTTTAATCGAGCGATTTACTCGTATGTAAAATTCAAAGGGTTTTTATGGAACCTAAAGGTACAGTGGAAGGGTGATATTTTTTGACGTATGTGTACTTTATTTTACGATTCAAGGTTATCACGTATCTAAAAGAATATTAGTCTCTTGATTAAACTTAATTTCTTATGCACGTCGTCATTTATTTTCTTTGTCTATTTGCAGAGTCATTCAGTAGTTAACATACATAGTGGGCCTGACACATAACACTGACAAATATGTTTATTTGGGACTGGTTAACTGGCGTTTTGGGTTACTTGGGTAAGTAAAAGATTAATCGTTTTATTAAACTGTAAAGAATTTTTTAAATCGCAACAATATCCAGGATTTTATATATTTTATCTATGTAAGACCATATGTTGAAATATAAACAAAGGATCCTATAGGGTCTTTTGTAAGATTCAATATATGTTTTGATATTTAAGTTAGTATGATTTATAATTAAGATCAGTAAATATGACTTTATTGAGTACATTGTATTTTTCTTAACTTATTTGATTTTATCGCATTTAAGATATAAGTACAAGCTTTGTAGGTATGCCATTGTCTGTTTGTCGCGGACGATTTGCCATTCTTGGTTTGCCTAATTCTGGCCGACATTCGTTACTAAAGGCTACTTCAGAAGAGCATCTTATCGATCCTGTAGCATATCTTGAAAGTAAGTGAATTTTAAAACACTGCATGATGCTTGTTCTTCTATATTTCAGGCCTGTGGAAGAAGAGTGGCAAGCTCCTGTTTCTTGGCCTGGACAATGCAGGCAAAACAACGCTACTTCACATGCTCAAGGATGATCGACTAGCTCAACACGTACCCACGTTGCATCCAAGTAACTAACTCCTTTGCTAACCCTTTCAATGCATCGTTAGATATCTTTGGGTGCCGGACATACTATATTTTCATGTGTAGTTTAAGTATTTGATTGTGGATGACAGTGTGGATGACATCATATATAAGTGATAAGTCATTAACCATGGAAAACTAGAAAAATGTTATTATCTCACAATATCATCTTGTTAACACTAATTAGAAATAGTACTTTTTCACTAGTTTTCCTTTTTGAATGACTCTTTGTATCAACTAGGTACATGATATGCAATCCTACATTAAGCAATCAAAGGATGCCATTGAATATTGAAAGAATGCAAAATTTCATTACGCATTTCGTAGTATACAGAACGTAAAGATATCTCAGTGAACTTTGATCCTAGTGAATGACTTGGCATGATAGAAAGTAATACTCACAACATCCTACTATTAAATGATTACTTCTATGCCAATGAAATAACTTAAGATAACATTCAAGCAAGGAAATAAAAAATCACTAGAAATAACAGATCAATAAAACGAATGCTCTTTACTCAATATAATAACATTTTTTATTTCAGCGTCGGAAGAGTTATCGATTGGCAATATGAGGTTCACGACGTTCGATCTTGGTGGCCATTCTCAAGGTACACAAATTCATATATTACTTGACTTCTTTAAGTCCCAACAATTTTAATTAATTCAATTTAATATTACAGCCCGTAGAGTTTGGAAGGATTACTTCCCAGCAGTAGACGCGATAGTGTTTCTCGTCGACGCAAGTGACAGATCCAGATTGTCAGAATCGAGGGCCGAATTAGACGCTCTATTAACCGACGAGCAACTCAGTGCGTGTCCAGTACTCGTTCTTGGAAACAAGATCGACAAACCCGGTGCAGCGTCCGAGGACGAACTTAGAAATTACTTCAATCTCTACGGCCAGACAACTGGAAAGGTAAGCAATAAGAAACCAATAGTACATAATTGCTTTCACACGCTTCCTAGCGCACGCAATCGCATACAGAAATATGCGCAACGTAAACATTCAGCAAATTCATCATCTTTCTGCTTTCTATTGCGTAATTCATTGCGCATCATAGTCTTGATCGTCCATCAGCGACACAGTCAACTATCTTCTTTACAGGGAAAGGTTGCACGCAGCGATATTCCTGGCCGCCCCTTGGAGCTGTTTATGTGCTCAGTGCTGAAAAGGCAAGGTTATGGCGAGGGCTTCCGCTGGCTCGCCCAGTACATTGACTGAACGCACGTAATCACAATCTAAACCAATCTAAACACTCCAATTTCCAACAATTTCCCAAGTATATTCCTTCCTACGAAATACCAATTTACCCAGAACGTCTCTAATATCAGGGGGTTCCAATCCTTGCGCAGATATTTTCATAGACAGTACTATAACCTCTCAACTGAAGGCTGTCTACAGATTGGGAATATCAATTATAGAATAATTCATTGTGATGTTCTTAGACAGATCCTGAAAGGAATGTGTAAGGGCTTAGAAGAAACGTGTATTGTATGACCGTGGGTAATGGACCTCCTTGTTACTGACGTTAACGTCATCCTGAACCTATCGTTGACTTCATTTCCAAAAGTTCTCTCAATCCCCATAGATATCCTGCCACAGTTTTAAACAAATATTACTTCAGTGCTACGGGATACGTCGATACCGTTGAGGAGTGATATAAAAACCATTTTGATAAATAAAACACGAATAAAGTAATTATTTAAGAAGTGCAAATCTTCGCGTAAATTATTTCTTTATTTAATTTCGATACGTGGCTCGATCATTCATAATCGGGACATTCATTCGTTGCATGCTAATGAGTTTTGAAGATTCTTTTTATTCTCGTTACAGGTAGCGCGTTGCAGCTTTTTTTTTACGATCAATGTTATTTCGTACTTTTTAATAACGCTTTAGCGAACGTGTCTTAACTTTTAGATACAGGGTGCGATTATTCTTTACAGTAATGGTCTCAAGGTCATTCCTTCTCTTGTACAGTTGTACTCAATTACTTTAAACCATAAATGTATAATGATTGTTAGTCTTTTCTTCTCTTTTTTTTTCCCGTCAATTGAAACTCATGCTACCACTTTGCAGTATACAATGTTAACTGTATTATACAGTTCATCTAATCTTTCATTATTCAATTCTCGTACATCTGTCATTTAAACACGCTCATACCTTTATGCCAAATTGATTTTGTTACATCTGCACACGTCAAATTAGGTTCATATTAAACGAGGATACAGGAGTGATAATGGATTGATAATAGCGACTAATGTTCAGATTAGTCACGTCTTGTCTCTTTTTCTCATGGAATGTGTCCAAGGTGACTAATAAGTCAGTTAGTATAATTAACATGCTACTTAGTTTCGTTAGTCAATACATCGTAGCTGAAGATTTTAATAAAATTATATAAATTTGAATACGCTGCTACTTATTGCTGTTTGATTATCCTTGATCTTATCCTCTTCTAATGTGAGCCTAGTCTTTGGGTCTCTAATTGTAATAAACTAACTTTATAATAATTGAGGTTCGAGGTTTAAATTTGTTATCATTATTTATTTGTAACGGGTAAATAGTCTGTTCTAGCTAATTCAATCCCGTTTAATAGCTGTTTATAAAGTTGGGTTTCTTAGCTCAGTCAAAATATTCACACAAAAAACGAATGAAGTATCTATTATACAGATAGTGATAGTTAAAAAGAAACATTCTTTTGTGCGCTGCTGTAGTAAATAAGTACTTAAAATTATTTTGTTGGTTGGTTTTACAAAAATAAAAAAGGAACACTGCATTTGTAACTCGTCTAATTATTATTCTGCTATATCACATCTGTTACAATAATTACAGATGTGAATCGTCTGTATGGGAATAACTAAATCAAACTGTTCAATGTTTAATGAAGCTTCACGTCCATACTTATTTTGAGGATGATTTGATGTTACAAAAGAATATTCAATATTTACACAACTGCAGTTTTAGGTTTCGCTCACAACTGCAATTCCTTACTTGTTGGTAGCAATTCTAATCTTTGTTTTATACTTTCATCAGTAACTTCCTGTAAGGTTTTTGGATTCCATTTTGGATTTTTATCTTTGTCAATCAAAAGGGCTCTCACACCTATAAGCACGAAGGTTGATAATTTTCATATTTACAGTAGATCAAGCTTCTGTACTTCTGATTGTTTTTTTTTTTTTTTTTGATAAATTATTCTACGTACCTTCATAAAAGTCACTAGTTTTTGTCAATGTTGAGCACATTAGTCTGTATTCCATTTTTAGACATTCTGCTAAGCTTAACTGACTACCTTTATCATAGCTGATTTTGGCCATTTTCAATGCAGTCGGTGACATGTTATTTAATAATTGTAACACATCCTTCGCCCAATCAGAACCGTCTGCTTCCAGTCTGTAACAAATTTAATCAATAAGAATTCACAAAAACAATATCTAAAATTCAAACCATTGTATTATTATAAATGATTTTGCTTTTTAATTCAATGATTACCTATTGACTATTTCTTCGACTGTTGGAGCAGAAAAGTAATTATCAATTTTACTGAGATACGGTGCCAGACTGAATTCTTGATTAAGATTTTCGGGTTGAAACTTTTTTATGGTACTGTCAATGTCGATATTTCCAGTTGTTAATAAAGCTTTGGTTAAATCTTCGATTCTTTCAGAAGGGACATAATGCGTGGCAATACCCGCAAGAAGAACGTCGACACCTTTAAATATATTAATATATAGTTGTAAGATATATTTTTCCAATTGCTTAAATTATTTTATTTACTCAATATATGACCTTTGCTTTACAACCCTTTACCTTTTATTCTCTGTCCAGTGAGTCCTAGGAACAGACCCAACTTTCCTTTCAGTCTTGGTAGGAAGTAACTGGCACCAACATCCGGTACCAGACCAATCGCTGTTTCCGGCATGGCGAAAAGTGTATTTTCCGTTGCCACTCTGTACTTCCCATGTATAGATATCCCCACGCCACCACCCATTGTTATTCCATGAATCAATGCTACATAAGGAATCTTGTATGTTCCAATTAGATGATCCATACTGTAAAGCAATAATTTAACACAAAAATTATATGCCATTTAATCTGGCTCTTTTCTTGCATTGAGTGACAAGAGTACAAAACTATTTTACATACGTATATTCAGCTCTGAAGAATTCTTGACCTATTGCTTCCCCACCGGGTTCGTTCAAAGCTAATACAAGGGACTTAACGTCCCCTCCAGCGCAAAAAGCCTTTCCACTAGCTCCTTTTACGACTACCAATTTTTTCGATGTTTCCCATTCTTTTAGAACCCGATATATTTTGCGAACCATGGACAGATTTAGCGCGTTCAATGCTTTTGGCCGGTTGAGGACAAATACTCCTTTGTCAGCTACCTAGTTCAATTTATACTTGGTAATTTATCGGTCCTTTAACACACTGATTTTATTATATACAGTTATTTATTATATTACAAATCACTTACATCTTCGAACAATACATCATCCTCGGCCTCAGATTTTGCGTCTTTATTATTTCCCTTGGTAGGTGCTGGAATTTCAGTTGGGGGTACAGATACAGGTTGCGGTTGTGGAAGTATTGGTTCAATTATAGGACCTAGGTGTTTTTATCAACTTTAATTTAATGTTAGTCTTTAAAACATTCTTGTACCTACAACGCTGTGTGCTTTCAAACGTGTATCACATAGGTATGGTGCAAGCGATGACGTAACTTTAGTTACCAGTCAAATGTTCGTATAGTGAGAAAAACTCATAGACCTGGTATTTCTGTGAGAGGAACGTGCGTGGGAAGTGGTACTCTTGGCGCAGGTGTTTCAGGATTTGGTTCCGAAGGAGCTGGTTTGTGCTTTGGTTTGGTCAAGTTGCTGATTTTTACTTGCTTACCTGAACTACTGTGGACGGAAAGCATTATTGTTGACTTGCGTATTGCGCGAGTCGTAAGTCCCGCGGGTTTCAGCTTTGAGGTTATGCTACGAATCTGAAGCAAGGAATTAATAAGTAAATCTTATGAAAGAACCACACTTTATGATTAAATTAGTCGTTTTATTGTAATTTGTTACCATTTTGATCAATGAACTTTGTAGGTTGGATTTTCTTTTACGTATATGTTTCAAATTGTCATTGGATATTGCACTTGTTGTAGATTGTACGAAGTTTATTGTTCTGACTGTCTAAATGGCCTTACAGTGTCACGTGTTAATTTCTGATTTAAATATGGGCATTAATTACATAGCGATTAGTTTTGTCCGCCGATAACGTTCTGGCATTTCATTGGAGGATTTGGATTTAATTTTTATGTTTTTTTGTGTGCTGATTATTCGTGACACTTTAACTGTAAAATGTTTTCTGTATCTTCGAAGAATGACGTAACGAGACGTTTGTTACATAAATTCAAGCATTTCTTAAGTGCGTCGGTTGTAGGAAGTTTTTTTTATTCAATAAAAATTTTAGGTTCATCGTTACGACAAACAAAAGTATCGATGCTTCTATTTTCCTTCGGCTTTCTATTATCAAGCGAAGATTTCTTATCGTGCAGATAACTACTTGTTTGCAGGAATAACTAAGATTAGTATCAGACGCATCATATGCCAGTGGATTTCTTTTGATAACCATTCGAATTCGTTTATATCCAGGTAGACGTTGCTTGAGTGCCATTTCTTCCCGTCACTACATATATTCAATACAATATTCAATATAATTTTTATTAAATCAGAGAAATATCGTTTGACAGCTATTCTCTTTTAAGCAAGTCAAATCATCTGAGTTTGTCTCTGGAATGGAATTTTGAATTTTTACCGCGCTAGCATGTCGACATCTACCACGAAATATATTCCTGTTTCCGCTACACTATCGTGAAATTCGAAATGCGTGAATTTTATTTATCTATTTCGTTCTTTTTATTTCAATATCGATTTATTCTCAATGCGGACATGCTCCAGTCTCTTTATGCTTTTCAAAAGGACAATCGGTACTTCGCGAAGTGACTCGAAGCTGGCTGCATACATTCAGTCGTACCAACATTCATTTCTGTATGAAGACACGTCGCGCAACGTAACCTCTTGTGCCGCGTAAGATTCCGTACGAGTTATTTACACCAAAGCCATGGCAACGTTACGTAGAATCTTAACAATAAGTATTCCACCTTATCACGTTATGTCAATGAAGAACAATGCGAGGTCAATGAGTTTTCACAAACTAAAAATAGCTCTTCGAAGCTTCTGGCGCTCGGACAAAGATGCCCCCGTCTACGGTCACATCTGTCAAGTTGGCGACCCAGTGCTACGCACGCAAGCTATGCCGGTAGAACCGGAAATCATCTGCACGAAGGACTTTCAAGCGGTATTTATGAAAACCATTACTAGTGATACTTATAAAAAATTAATTGGTCTCCATTCCATTGCATTTAACAGCTACTTGGACATTTGAAAGACGTCATGAAATGGTACAACGCCGTGGGATTGGCCGCGCCGCAGATCGGACTTCCCTGGCAGATATTCGCAGTGGAAGTAACGAAGAGCCACCTCAAAAGTATTCCCAAGGAAATGAGGGATGCTCAAGGCATGGAGGAGATACCTTTTCAAGTTTTTATTAATCCCACCTTAAGGGTCACGGACTATACGGTGTTGCGATTACCTGAACGCTGCGAAAGTATTCGAGGCTATTCCGCGGATGTTCCGAGATCAAAGGAAGTTGAGGTCACGGCTTTGACTGAGAAAGGAAAATCTATCACGTGGATAGCTAAAGGCTGGTCCGCAAGAATTGTACAACACGAGTATGATCACTTGCAGGTAATTATTTTTTTTTAAAAAAGAAATGTTTATTCAAAGTACATCTTTCATACTCCTATCTTGGTATTAATCCATTTTCTATTACGTTGCAGGGTAGAGTCTTCACCGATATCATGGACCCGAAAACATTTAATTGCACTGCCTGGAACGCAATTAACGGTTGTCGAGGTCGCATCGAATTAAAATATATTCCGAAATAGTATTAATGCCTAGAGATCATATTTCTTGTGTAGTTTCTTTTGGGTAATAAAAAAACGGCTGTCTTTAGAGACGCGCAGAGAGATATTTGTCAACTTGAGTGTACGGGGGATTTGTTTGGGAGAGGTCAGGACAATTTGCGCTATTCTAAAAAATAAGATATTTTTATTGGTGCATCTTCCAGGATACAGTCATAGCCGATTATACGATATTTGAACTACAGCTTATGGAATTTATTCTGACGTAATATCAATTTGACGAGCCGGGGAGAAGGGAGGGAAGGAAAAGAGGCTAAGGCAATCGGATAAGCACGATAACGATCGACGTGAATTGAAAATTATTTTCTTTTTTTTTCTCTTTAAGACAGAAAATCTTAATTCTCATTTTCTACGGATATTAATGTTTATCGATAATCATCCCGTCGCCTTTGTCACTTCTCTCGAATTGCCCAATTACACAAAAAATGCTTACGCGTAATATTGGTTATAGTAATTTCTTTTTTTTTCTTATCAGATTAAGAGAATTATGATCGATCATTGTAATAAATACTTAGCGAATTTAGTGATTAATCTTTACGTGTCTAACTTAGTCTACTTATCATTAACATTTTCTCTCTCCTTTCTCCACTAATCGTCATATCGTTAGATCTCACGCGATCCTCGCTCTCATGCATTGTAATTATTAAGTGCATCGTGCCGAATTATACTGCAGAAATGTTTCATGATTCTTCATAACGTCCGTCAGCTCTCAGTGCTACAGGTAGGACGACGAGAGCATTGCGTAACACGATTAATGATATTTTAACGTGAAATAGCTAAAGTGTTAAAGTGTTTCTGCGTTTACTCAATGTATAAGGATTCGATAGAAAATTCATTTCAATTCCAGGTTTCTCCTGTTGACTCGATTTTTATCTATTATATAGTACTATCTATAGTACGAACTGTAATGAAATTATCGAAAATAGACGTTAACATGTATACAGTTGTCAATCTACATTCACCGTATACCCGCCTGTACACTTACTTACAGTTTTTAATGCGTTATCTTTAATCACAACAACTATAACAGCACCTTTATACACTTAAATTACTCCTTAAAAAGCGTTTGGTTTTCCCAGAGTATTTTTGCTCCGCAGTAATAGCTGAGAATTCGTACTGAAAACATTACCAATGCACCTTCGGTTTAAAAAATTGTCAAAGTTTTTTTTTTCTTTCTCTCTTCGGTCATGTGTATGCATACATGCGTGCTTTATCTATACGATTTTTGGTTTACTCGTAAAATAATTTCTGACTAGATCTCTCGTGGTTGTTACTTATAAAAATTGTATTTGATATTGCGTCGCGCCATTTTTCTTTTTTCTTTTTTCTTCATTACGAAGCGATTTTGTAATTTTTATTTTTACGATATTTCGAAATCAAAGTGCTTTGCCACTTAGTACCAACGGGACTCTAATTGTAAGCTTTTAGGTTAACTCCTCGTCGTCTTGTTTAACTTTACGAGATATAGCTCGTAATCGATTAACAATCAATGAGATCGAATTGAATTGATTTTCGAAAAGCGTTACATATATTTTTTTTAAGACCAGCCACTTTTTTTAAAATGTATTGTAATTCGCTCTGACACGTCATAAGACAAAAAACAGTCGATACCCGAGATTTTTCTCATATCGAAATCGATTGAGTATCGATAGAAAAATTCGTATACCCTTCGATCAGACTGTAATTCTCTCCGGCTCTTTTTCGAAAATTCACAATTTCTTACTTAACGACGGAGCTTCTTTTTTTTGGAAATTTTTTTTTCTTCAATTTCTATCACGGGGGAGAAGCTTTCTTTAGGACTGGTTAAGCGATATAGAGTCGACTTTTTTTTTCACGATGCTTATATATCTATACATGCTTTTAGCATTCGTTAAAAGCAACTACACGACTATAACGACAAACATGGCGACTGGTCTAAAATATCTAAATCTAAATCTCGTTTAATATCTACCACATCGAAAACCACCGTAAATCATTAATCCAATAGAAAAGACAGTATTTCAATTTTATGGAAACAAATTGTTACGTAGAACATTGGTCCTTTTAGTCTCTTTATATGCGTTCGTGTTTCTGGTATATATATATTCTATGTTTACATGTGTGTGTATATATATATATATATATATACATCATATTCTGTATGATATATGTATATACTGGTGTATTATATTCTACGCATATCGGAATGGCCGTTTCTCAATTTTCTCGGTGAAAGGAACAAAAAATTCTGCCAACAGTTTCGAACTGCTTTCAGACTTCTCCAAAGATCACGTGAATCAGAGTTTCTATAGCAGTTGCCAGCCTGCGTTCAATGTACAGTGAGGTGCAAAAATGCGTTTCATTATAAATATTGCACTAAGGTATTACAATATTTATAACTTCTAAGGAATATTTTCTGTTTTTTTTTGTTTCCAAAATTGCCTCTAGTAATAGGTATAGCATCGAGTCGCCCGATCCTCGATATGCACGAAGTTCGCCTTTCCTCGAGACAGGAATATGGGACATCTTGTTTACTTCCGGTTACGACCGACGCCGTAGCGAACTAGACGCGATTTTGCTAGCTAGGATTATTTTTCTCTTTTTAAATTTTCGCGCCATTTCATTCACTCGCATGGTCATTCGATAATTGGAACACCCTGAGCACAATCGATTTATTTAGGCCACGAGAAATAGTGGCGCGATAACACGTATTTTATATTGGTAGTTACAGGTTAGGTTAGTTCACTTAAGTTATTGTATATCGTACGTTTAAGGTGATTCAGATGCTGTTATTTTGTCGCGCGAACGATCTAACGCTTTGGATTTTCTTTTTATATCCAGGTATGAACTCGTTGTTGCTGCGCGGTATCCTCTTCCTGTCAGGATACGTGTCCACGTGTCTGGGATGTCCTCCATCTTTTTCCGTGGCCACGATGGTGAACCGGAAATCGACTATTGCCGGCCATTCCTCTGGTTGATTGTAAGTGCAGCGGTATCCTTACCGTGCCTATTGAAATTGAAAATAAAAACATTATTTATTCGAGTGTCCTATTTGTTTTTTTTTTCAGACGTTTCTTCCTTACGTCGTCATCATCGTCATCGAGAAGAGGACTTTGGGAAGAGATTGGGACCTTTGGATGAGAAGCAGGTTCGGGTACCGTGATCAAGGTTGCAGTCGGTGCTTGACTTGATGGGAAGGTGGATTATCGTGGATGATCTCCATTATATATAGTATACGACAGTTTATTCGTTATTGATGAAATTTCTATCATTATTATCGATGATCTCGAGCTCGAAGTGCATCTCGCTTCTAGAACTTGCGGAAGTGCCACTGATGTAAGGATGCTCCGAGGACGCGAAGGACGTACCGTTCCGTGAAATCCTTGCGTGAGATTCGGGACTTCCGGTACAGCTGTATCGCGAGGTCACGGCCTCCGATCTGGACAGCGATGGTTCCGGGGCGACCCGCACCCACGGACACCACGAGAAGAATTGGGCGAATCCACGGCGAAATCTGTTGGGCAAAAGATAGTATTAAGAAATTTAGTAATAAGGTTAAGTTATGAAAAAAAAAAGTAGTTTTATCAACGAGCAGGAGGAATATTCGTGAATTAGCGTTGTGCGCATGCGCGGAACAGAATGTTCGAGTATTTTTAAACGGCTTCTGTATTTGCTGAAACGCTTGAAAAGTCTCTTTGAATTCTCGGCAGAGTGTTGACAGACCGGCTTGATTTTACAAGCCGAAGATTCTTTGGAAAACGGGGAAACTAGGCCGGCGCACTTTGAATTACGAATATTTCTACCGGCTTCTCACCAAACGTACAATCTGAGAGCAGAAGCACTGCTCGTAGCGAGGATTTGCTAATTCTATTAAAATGGCCATTCGAGATTGCTTTTATGCCGCGAACGCGATTATACATTTTAGTAATTGCACTTAACGACTCTGCGGTAATTTTCAAGCTTTTTCCTTGTCTGCCTATTACGTAACGTTTGTGTCATTGGTTGCCCGCCTTGCTTCTTTATTTCGAACTTCGTTAATCCTTTTGACTTTTCCTACCTCTGGTCTACGCTGCTACGCTTCCATTGAGATACTTTGGTATTCAAAATTTAAACTTTTATCTTTAACCAAAATCTCGCCGCTATGCTTTTTTTTAGTTTTGTAATGCCTTGACCACTCACCTGGAATTCATCCAGCAATAAATAATCGGGTTGTACATGCTGTTGGACATGGCCAACCAATAGATGCCCAGATAGAGCTCCTGGATGTAGGGCTCGTTCGTGATTTCCGGCAGATATGACGTCACTATGAAGTAAACGTGAAAGGGCAGCCAACATACGGCGAATATCACCACCACGACGATCATCATTTTGACTACCTGCAGACAAAGCGTTGTCTATAGAAACATTTATTTTTCAATGCATCAGGCCAATCAGTAGGGATTTATATTTTCTTAGTCTATTCTCGATTCAATGTTTTTTTTTTTTTTTTTTTTCCAACGTGCACGTAAATGAATAAATAGGAGAAATTAAGTGTTCGGCTTTTGACAAGCTGCTCTGTTATTATCTGACGTCCGATCAATAGCCATGCACGTTGTTCTTTATTTGTGAATCAAGACAAGGGTTTCGGAGGCTGGGTTATTTTTCTTCGTAATATTCATTGGCACAGGCGATTGGTGGTAAAAGTGGTTTTTTTTTATGGTTAAATTAGCGAATAACAATTTATTAGCAAAGTGGCTTATACAAGTTATCCTCTGAGACTGGATCACACGTTTGGAGAAGGAATCCTTTTTTCTTTTTTTTTTTTCCAGTATTTGTTCGTTAACACTAAGTCAGGTTTACGCTGACGCTGATAGAGAATTACGATGAGTCTTGGATTTCTTTTTACGCCTTTTTCTCCATTTCTATTCTTCTCACTCGGACACCTTTCACCCTTTGCACAAATTTACTTTCACGATATCACGTTTCGTTATATACGATTGACTACTTCTGGTTTCAGGGTTAGGACTGAAGCCTTGGCACATATAATTTTTGTTCTTTCTTATTTTTGAATCTCTCGCGTATACACCTTGACATATTTATTTACTCGTGTGCTTCGCTTTGAAGTTTCTACTGTAAATTCTCTGTCGTCAGTTAGCTGATTGCAATTGTAGTTACAAAGAATTTTTTATGAATTCTTTTTTTAATACTTTCAGATTCTTGAATAAATTTTATTTTACCATATGCTGAAGACGCGTAGCTACAAAAGGCCATTTATATGATTGGAGGATACCTGCTTATCAGTCCATGGTATTTATTCGAGTTTTCAATTATGGCGATATTAAGCTAATTGTCAAATACCTCATACGAACACTTTCATTCGTTGCTGTTGAATCATACGTAGTCCCCTAATGTACATACATACACGTGTCAGTGGATGTAATCAAATATTTTATACGATTTTTTTCTTTTTTCAATGCGTCTCAGTAATGTTATGCTATTTCATGTATGATTTATGACGCAACGATACAATATATTACCGCACGTAACATAATTATCCCTCGCGTGTCGACACAACATCCAGTATCTATTTCGGGGCTAAGCAGAAATCGAGAAATCGTGTGTAAATTTCTCGGTAGGTAAAGTCATTTCCATAAGAGCGACATTGCGCTACACGAATAGCCCAGAACTTGGCCTCTTACGTATTCAGATATATACCATTAAGTCAGTTGGATGTTAAAGATTATACCTACTGTATATTTGATATACAGAGTAAAATATGCCGGTCATCATAAAATCGTGAAGTATTGAGAAAGATGTAGTTTAGAAAAGAGAAAAAAATTTTCTGTATACTTTTTTAAAAAAAATATATATCTATAATAACAATATGATATGTGAATACACGAAATAAACAAGAATTATTGCCGCGTTACGTAGCTATAATAAGCTATACGTATATATATACGTAGCTATAAATAGTATCGTAAATATTAATTTAATTTCCAAACTTTGTTATTATCTTCATATACATATTTTAATCCTGTGTCCACTGTTAGCTATTTAGGGGTATACAGGGGTGTGTCTGGCCTTTGAAAATTTATGTCTCTCTACGTTCCTCAATTAATAGCTGAAAATTCGATTAAGTTTCCGTGTCCAACGTCTGGGAAGTTTGCATAGTACTACCGTTGATGATGGAGATATAGAGTGACGAAGTAGAGAAGGATGATGAAGATGCCCAAGAGAGAGAGAGAGAGAGAGAGAGAGAGAGAGAGAGAGAGAGAGAGAGTGTGTGTTTCCTCCAGCAGCGTCTCAATAGGGTGAATTACGCGTCTCGGTGTGATTTATAAAAGCCATTCGAAGGTACGTTAAATGGTTACTAAGTGATTCCCTCAGCACGATTAAACCTTGCTTTGGTGAAGTTCAAACGATTAAAATTTAATTATATAGATTCGCTCGAAGGATTCGATGTAGGGTTAAATTATATCAGGTTTGCGAACGTCTTTAAGAATCCATGGTATTTATGGGTCATTTGTATTTTTGGTGTTTCTTTTTTTAAACCACCTTACGATTATATGCTCGAACCACGTGGGACATTTACTCGTGAAAAATGGTTGGCCCGTTCCGGCTACACGTATATTTTCCCCCTTTTCACGGCAGCCTCATAAATCATGCAATAAAGATCCATTCGGTCGGGCACAATTTTCTGGCACCTATTGTGCATATGCAACGGTGGCGCCATCAGGTGCTTTTTTTTTGGACATGCTGTTACGTGAATAATGCATATATACAAGTGACACTTTACTACTGTATATCTTTTATCGGATGGTTCGTCTTATTGCGAGGTGGATTGATTTATAGGAGCATCACGATTTGCGTGCTGCTGTTCGTATGTTTCCGCCATCTTAGAATTTATGGGTGACGCTTTACCGTATACGGTGGACGTGTATTTTACATATATAGTATTTTAAGTCGTTTGGGTACTTTGAAGACTTTAACGTCAACCGCGAAAAGTGATTATGTAGACTGACGGAGTTTCTTTTGTTTTTGAGGTTATTTTAACGCAGTAACTGTTGTTAGAAGTTGCTGGAATTAGAGGCTATCGTAGAAGTAACGTACGTCGGGGATATAATTATGTAAAATATAATTAGAACGTACGGGAAATAGGTATGTACATTGTTATTGTTCTTATACCGTATATTGCTATAGTAAGAAATTTAAAGTTCAAACCAGCTGAAAGTTTACATATTTATTGCTGCCACTAATACTGCTAGTAATACTAGCAGTACTGCTAACAGTATTGGCAGTAGTAGTAATGTATTGGATTAGGAAAGGTGTAATTAACCTTAAAATCCAGGGCCGTATACGTCTGTAGATATCCGTTTGGGGTGAAGTATTTCTTTTTAATTCCTACTACAGTAAATTCGTAGAGATTTTATCGTCGGATTAGAATTTTTGATTGCACGATGGTGGTTGGTGAAATTGGTACGTAATTAAGTATGTATAATTAATGTCAAGCAGAGTTTTTTTTCTTTCTTTATCTTGGTCACGTTATTTAATCGTTTTTTTTTGGCGTCTCGTGATTCCTCGTCTCGTATACGTAGAAAAGTTTTCCCATTACTTCGGAGACTTCTTGGAATATAACGAGTGACTAATCAAAAGTATAGGAGTTCTTGCCGAGTTGGATTTTTTTATCTGCGAGTATTTTTGGCCAAGTCTTGAATGTTGGTCGTGAATTTTTTTGAGGGTGGAAATGGATTTTCTGGGGCCAGATTGACGTACCACGTGTACGCGATTGGTGAGGGTTTGGTAAATTGTAGGTTAGTTGGTAAAAGTGATCATAATGGGTACAGAGGGTTTTAGTTATATTAAAAAAAAAATCTTTTTCAGGGATGTGCTAAGTTTGTTCGATTTTTATCATACGGGGGATGCCATTTTGTTTTATGGAAATTCAAGTGAAACGATTCTTCTGGAAATTACTCGAGCTGTCTCTTTGACTTCGTAATTTGATTTTAATTTCATTATTACCCCGAGTGTCGTCGAGGAGGATGTTTTTACGAACACCTTTCGCGAATTTATTGAATGCTGGAAATAAAGTTTGTTATCTCAAGTATAATTGTCTTGGGCGGATAATTCCAAAATAGCTATAGGTGAGGAATTCTGAAAAAAGAGGAAAAACGTTCTCAGAAAAGATACAGTAAATTAAGAAAAAAATCATCTCATGACTTAGCAGAACTGTGAAATTATTTCGGAAATTTTACAAAAATGTTTAATATTGTTCATCCTTTTTTTTTCACTTTTTTCATCCAATACTGACACTGTCAATTGAAGTTTCAACTATTCCATTGACTACTGCAGTACTATTTGAATTTTACCCTATTTTACCGTCGTTTATCTTGTGGCAATGGGTTCTATGTGCTTTCAGAACTATTTCACACGTGGGTACCAGACTTTGCTTTGACCTTTATGATCTAGTTCCTTGTTTCAAATTAATGTGTCTTCATCCTCCTATACCCCCTGCATTACACGAACAACCTCAAAGTCCTCCATGCCTTTCGCTCTTCTGCTCAACTTCATTTTCCGCTTTACAGGACAGCCATCCTCTGGAGGCTCTGCATCCAGCTACGTAATTCCGCTTAACAACTTTGACAATCTACAAGTTGGTACCACTGCACTTCTGTGCTTCTCCATGCAACCGGGCATTTCACGTTGCGCCGTTCATACTCGTTTGAGATAACGTTACTCCGAATACCCGAATACTTGGTGAATATTTTATTGGAAATTCTAACATTCCCGGGGGTTCGCGTGTAATTGTTACGCTCCTGAATACAACCCTGTAAGTTAACTCCCGTATTCTTACGCGTATCCTAAATGGACATTGGTTGAAAAATATACGAGATTTGTACGTAGACATTTTTTTTTATCTTTTTTTTTTCGCAAAATACTTTTTTCTTTTAATACGTAAAAACTGCGTAGTAATTTATTTTTATTATATGTATACGGGTCACGTCAAATAGAAATACAAAAGTTAGGTTACGTTGTGACTCCTTTGGGATTCCTGAAGGCTATAACGAGATTGTCAAGTTAGAAGTTTTAATTTGTAGTCGTTATACGTATATCGGCTCGGCAGGTTTGGGTATTGCGAAAAACTTTTTGCTATGTAAACTTGGCGTAACTCAACACAGTGCGAATCTTTTTTCTTCTTTTTTTTCTCCTATGATATTCACTGCGGGTGGTACTGTTGCTAGGGATATTTGTGTCCTGTAATTTAATAGAATGTCCCATAAGAGATCTGAGGTGGAAAATTTTGACAGTCGGAGTAAAAATGTTGAAAAGTTATCTTTTAATTTTACTTGAAAAATTCTTTTCCTATAATTTAATATTTAATAGCATTGATCAGCAC